TTAGTCATTGCTTCAATGGAAAAAATTACTATTTTTGCCATTTTTGCATAATTTTCATAGGATAAATAGTCAAATTGTTTTTAGTGAGAAAAAAATGACCAAAAAAAATGAATAATTTCATTTTTTCCCTTTATTTCTCCCATTTAAAATTTGTCGTTCGCTATCAATTGATGGAGAACGACCATCATTCTCTCATTCATTTATGATAGTCATGGCATCGTAAATGAGAAAAATGGCTGTCAATATCAAATGGACATGAAAAACTAAACCAAAAAAAATCACCAAATAGTCAACCTAATAACAACCTGTTATATTATATGTCAGACGCGGCTGTTATCAACGATCCAGTTCCAACAGCTGAAAAAAAGAGGAAGAAATAACCCGACAAGTATTCAGTTTTTAGATTCAAGTGACAAAAAAAAGAGAAAAAGAAATTTGAGAGAAAATAAATGCTATTTTTCTCTTCGGTAAAAAGAGAATCATATATTTTTCTCAATGTATAGAAAGGAATGTATATGTGGATACGATGATGATGAATGTGTGGATGGCAAGGCAAACAAGTCAAAATTCACAATCCATCGTCTATAGTTCATTCGTTCATTTTTCTTTTGTTTATATTCATGTTTTGTGTATGTTTCGTGTTGTATGTTCACATTCTCGTTATATTTGTTTGATTTTGATGAAACAACAAAATCAAACAACAAATCACCGATGATCACAAATGATAAATATGAAAACCATTTTGAAACTAGTGGAGGTCAATTCGTCACAATCACAACAACAACAAAAAAAATTCAATAATTGTTTGAACATTTCAATGAATGTTTGATCATTCGAATGGAGCAATGTTTTCTGTTTACTAATTTTTTAAATTTTAGATTTTTTCCTTCTGTTGTTGTTGGTCTACTAACCGGATATCGATAATTTGTGATTGAATTGTCGAAATAATTTATGTTGGTCTTATGTGATTCAAATTGTAATTAAAAAGGTAAATTTTTTCTTTCTTCGTTTTTCTCTTGAGCAAACATTTGTTTAATTTTTTTGTTCAATTCAATTCATACATTTTCATTTGAATTTACGCACATTATAATTTGTCAAATTAAAAAAACCAAACCTACGCCAAAATTTACAGCTTAACAAAATAACGGTTTTGCCCATTCATTCAATCAAACTTTATCATTTCCATTTTCGATTTTTGTTTTTGTTTTTCGTTTCATCACAAGGACCCCAATCAATGATTTTTTTTTAAATATTTTACTGTGCTACGTTGTGTCTGTTTGTGTAAGTTTGTGCCTACGGGTGAGAATTTGTGTGTTTTTGTTGTTGTTCCCATTCGGTCCAAACCAATCGGTGATTAGTTTGTCGGCCTCAATTATCATCGATAGATATATATCGATGTCAACCATTTGTTTGATTGTGTTAAATTGGTTGATTGTTTGCCGTAATAGGCAGATTTTTTTTTTCTCTCTCTCTCTCTTTCTATGATTGATTGTCATTGTTGTTGATGTAATATGAACTATTTCTGGGAGCTTCTGTTTTCATCATCATTTCACCTTTTGATTATAATTAGTGAATTGATCGTGAAATTTGCATGATTGAATGGAACAAATTGTCCATCGAAAAAAAATGATGATGATTTTCTTGTGAGACATTTCGAACAAATAATGAAATGCATTTTTGATTTCAAATCTTAATCATAGATCTTTTTTGGATTGTTTGATTGACCTTTCATCATTGAATTTTTCTTTTCATCAGAAATTTTATTATATGATGAAATAATTTTCATATGCATTGGTATTCTATTCACTAGCTTTTCAACAATCTTCACAATATTTATTTCCCGTTGCAGAAAAACAAGCTATTTTATCAATGATCATCGATAGATAATGATAATGATGATCCAGCAGCCGATTTTTTTTATCACAAACATTTCAATAATGTACCAACAAAATATAAATTCAATGAGAAACAAATTTTGACAGCCAATAGTGTGATAGTCACCTTGATGTGAATTCAATTTACAGAAAAAAAAATTTCAAGGAAGATTTGTTGAAAAAATTGCAACTTTCAAATTAACAACAACAAAAAAAGTAAATGAAGAGGAAAGAAAAGACAATTATTTTAGAAAAAATCTTTTGCAAACAAATTGCATTTTTTTCGCGAATGATGGTGATGATGATGATTTGAAAAATTCCCAAGAACAAACTTTAATATATAAAAAAATATTCGGGCACCAATTGGTTTTTCCATTTTTATTTTTTTTCTTAATTTGATTTTGTATGTTTTTTTTTGAATTTCACAAAATAATCAAATAATTTTGTCTCTTTTTTTCTTTGATTTATCTAATAGAATAAACTGACAACAACCGATCAATATATAAAATAATTGATGATAAAATTTGATTGAAATTCATTATTGTTATTTGCCATTTCATCCTTCATCAAAATGGTTTTTCTACCATGTTTTTTATTGAACGAAATCAAAATTATCAAATGAATTTTATCTTAATGATTTGATAAATGATTTATTCAATCATCTAACCGGATCAATCATCATTCATAATTGTGCAACATATTTCTCTTTTGATAAATAATTCGGGTCAATTTTTTTACTCATTCTTCAAGGTAATGATTTGCTTCTGTGAAAGTATTCGTGCCTCAAAAAAAGTAAACAAGCACAGCATACATCTAGCAATGAAAAAAAATTTCAGTAATTTTCTCTTGTTCATTCATCTCATTCGTTCAGATAATCTTGCCGTCGATCCATCCGTGCAATTGGTTGACTAAATGTTTCCAAATGACGACATCATCATCATCAACAACAACAACAACAACGAAAAACAAAAAGTTACATAACCACTAGCCAAAAATATATTGTTTATAATAATAATAATAATAATCTCAATCACGATGTCTCAATTATATGAATCAAATATGTAAACTGTTGAAAATAAATTATCAAAATTATCGATCCGATCCCATTCAAATTGCTCCATAGCAACAGGAAATAAAGTATCGAAAAAAAAACGAAATCCAATGATAATGAAAACATTACCAATTCGATTTGAAAAAATGTTCTTTTTTTTGCTATAACTATTCTCATATATAGCCAATGATTTCCTTCTATCTAATCATTACTGCCATTGACTAATTTTTTTTGTGAAAAATTAACAATTGATTCAATTTAAAAAAAAATATGCTAACAATAAGAGAGCACCACCATATGTTCGAATATACTCATCACGAGTGAAATAAAATTACAAACATCCACCGTCAATCGACATATTTTTGCTTTGCTTTGTCCTCGACATTTTATTTTTCTGACAAAATCATACGGAAGTCCAATCATATATCGCAGAACATTAACAACAACAACAAAATGACATCAATTTGTTTCGATGTGCATAGATCACAATTACAAACACAATAGTTTTTTTTCACATTCATATCAATCGATATCATCATTATCATCTTCTTCTTCATCTTCATCTTATATTATCAACCAATCACAATGACCACCATTATATTTTGAATAGGCCAAATAACTAGAGCCATTTTCTACAAAAATTACTATTTTATGGATAATTTCTTACAATTTTTCGTACGAATTGAAAATTGTTTGTAGCTTATTATCTGGACAATTGATGTACAGTTTATATCTGAATTATTATTATTATTGTCGTTATTGTGTTATTACTATTGTGCATTCCTGTCATCATCATCATTATTATCAACTTCCTTTGCATATAACAATCAATCGAATGAAAATCGACAAATTCAAATGAAAACAATTGTCACCATAGGCTTCAAATCACAAAAAAAAGTTCAACTGATTTTTCAAAACTGTTTAAAATAATTTTTAAATTGAAATAAACATCCGAATAGCAAATGTACTTGTTGATTGTCAAATTGAATAATAACTTTGGCGACAACAACCCAGTGAAAATATGTTTTTCGAATAAATCAACAACCAAAATATTTATTTTTCAATTATTATCGAAAATGCATAAAACAATAATAATATTAATTAAAAAAACACTACAATGACAACAGAATTGTCAAAAATTGAAAAAGAATTCTGCTTGTTGTTTTCGAAAGTGATTAAACATTTGTTGTTGTTGTTTTTTTCATCGGTTTTCATAATTTTATTGTTGTTGTTGATTGAATCATCATCATAACCATTAATTAACTTCGTCTTTTTTCCTGATTGATAAATAGAGAGTTCTGTTTTTTTGCGTGTTTGTGTGAACTTAATGACACAAGTGTCCAATTTCCAGGTACATTTTGTCATTATAACCAATTGTTCACACAAATATATAAAATTTTCATTCAAATTCAATAGTGAAAATAAGAGAAATAAACATCGGTAACAACAATTAAATATAATTGACAATAGTTATACCTATGTGCACCGAACCACACAAAAAAAACATCCTCATCATATAGCATCACTGTTATTGAGACGCATCAAAATTTTATCCATTTTTTTCTCTATATTCATCATTTTTTTCCTATATGACATATTATATATGCCAATCATCATAATATGACTATTGGCCATCCAACAACTTGTTGTTGTTTTCATATGTAATGCTTGGCTGGTTTCTTCAACCATCGATAATTGTCATCTTCTTCTTGTTCATTTAATTCAAAGTTAATTCTTTTGAATTTTTTTTGTTCAAACTATTCATTATGCGAAGTGATTTTTAGTTATATGTGATGTTGATGTTCGTGTGTGTTTTTAGTATTAAATGTACTTTGAATATTCTTTGAAAAAATTTTATCAATAATTCATGACCATATTTCTAATAATTCTTCAATTTAAATTCATTGTTGTATGAATCTTTGTTTACTTCTTGTTGTTTCTATTTTTTTTCTATTCGTCATTTGATAACACAAGATTGTTTTTTAAATAACTGATTTCATATTTAAACATCGTTTCCACAAGTTATTATTTACATTGTCATTTTATTTCTTACAAAATTTACATTGAACTAAAAATCAAAATCAATTTCGTCAACATTTTGATTTGTGATCGTGTACATCGTCTGTTTATATGAGAATTAATAATTTTTTTCAACTGTGATTCATCAAGGAAAAACAATGGCCACAATGGATCTGGAAGATTTTATTCTGGCCAAAAGTAATTTTCCTTTCCATATTACATTGAATAGTTTGAAGTTTTGGAAAAAACATTCATCATCCATAACGATTAACGAAGGTGAATATTGTCAAAAAGTTACTTATTTAGGCAATATGTTGACAGCATGGGCTAAAGGTGATCCATCCGTAAATCGTGCTTTAGATACATTGTGGAACAATCATAATAGTCGAAAAAATCATCAAAATCATATCGATATACAAATGAGATTAACCATTTGTAATTCTGGATTAAAAGCTGAAACAAAACAATATGGTCTTACCGAATATTGGGCAAATAGAATAACATACTGTTGTTGGAGACAAAAATATCCAAAAATTTTTTGCTGGGTATATCGCCATGTCGGTCGTCGTGGTAAACCTGAATTACGTTGTCATGCTGTATTATGTCACAAGGAAGATATTGCAAAACGTATGGCCAAATTATTGGAAGAACGGCTTGCCATGGCGTTACGAGAATTTCTAAGAGAGAAATTAATACGACAACGTGCACGAATGTCATTGATGGAAATGCCCATAAGAAAACAATTACTAGTCAAAGGTATGGCTAATTTTAGGCCACCGATTGAACGATCACGTTCAGCACCTCGTTTAGTATCGATCATTGAAGATGCACAACAAGAAGAGGATGAAGAACGTGAATTATTAAAATTATTCGCAAAAGAAGAAGAAGAAGACTATGATGATTTTGCGGAAATGTCCAGCATATCAATCGATGATGATGATGATAATGGTAGTGGTAACAGTGGCAATATACGGCTACGAAAATGTAGCAAACATCATAGCGATGATGATTGTGATTGTAATTGTGATGATGATGAAAATGATTCAGCCATCGATAGTGAAAGTTTTAAATCGGATGAAATCATTTATAGTACGAATGGATAGTCTTCTCTCAAAAACCATTACCAATTCCAGATTTTCATTGACATCCGGAATAATAATAATAACTTGATCTGATATTATTTGTAAAGCTTGTGATCAATTCTTACCAATTTGATTTTCTATTTTGTATAAAAAAATTTTATTTCGATCAAATAATAAAACTAAAATTTCGAAATTTCGCCATGTTTTTTATTCAAATAATATGTTCTCATTATTCTAATTTCAAATTGAATAAACAATTTTTTTACCTTTAAATCATTGATATTTGATTATTTTGATTTTATTTAGTCTAATTGAAGTGATTTACATAATTCATGAAATTCATGATTTGTCGTCGTATAGAAATAAAATGTATATTCCATTTTTGATTAAACTATTTTATGATGAAACATTGTATGATATTCAAAAATGGTGACATTTTTAGGTGTATCCACAACAGGTGAAAATGAAACAAGGAAAAAAATTCTTAAAATAAAAGTATTTTTAGGCGTGGAAAAATTTGTCGACCTACGACTAAAATAACGTAATTATTTTTTCTTATTCTAGGTGATTCAAGCTATTTTTAGTGTGTTTCATCAAACTAAAATCGCACCAAACAAAACGAAACAGCAAAGAAGAAATGAACATGTAGGAGTCTCATCAACATCAACATCATTATCATCATCATCATCAAAAATGAATTTCCTATTCATTGGCATAATAATGTCAGCGACGATATCACGATTTTCACATACCAAAATGATTTTTGTTTTTGCATTTGTGTAAAAACATTTCACTTCTTTTCAATATTCAATATCCGCTATGGTTTTTGATCGATCAATTGATTGAATCGGAAAAGTGTTTTTACCATTTGAATCAATCAAATCCAAATTTCACTGTATACTCATTTCGAAACAATGGAAATTATATTTTATAGAAATAAAAAATTCAAATTACAATCATTCATTCATCGTATTACAGCGATTGGGTCATCCGATTGTCGATTGACCGACTGTTTATGATTTTTTCTTTGATTTTAAAATTTTCAATTTTGAATAGTTCAACTGTTCTTAGTAGCCAATGGACAACATTAAAATTTTCAAAACATCACTCATTCTCATTTACTTTAGAAATGATGTTGAAAACAAAACAAAACAAAAAAATGTTCACATCAATTTTTGTTTTTCACTGTTGCACAGTTCCAAGTCCATCACTTTGAATCTTCCTTTCTTTTCTTACGATTTGTCTAATTCCCATTATTGAACTTTTTTTTTCTCTTACATTTTTGCAACTTTTACATTTTGATCGATTTAACCCGAAAAGGTTAAAGTAATTTTTTTCCACATAATATCTACATAATAACGGATATAATTTCTTTTACTATATTTTTTGACAATTAATGATGGAAACAAACACACAAGTAAATGATTTGAATGAAATTATTTTTTTGATTTTGTTATCATTTTGAAATGAATTATGCAAATTATCTAAACACTTAATCTTTCAATCTTAATCTTTTCACTATGTGTTTGTGTAGATCAACAAAGATTTTCATTCATTCATTTTCATTCATTTACTACAATCCATCAACATTTTCATGATGATGATGATGATAATTTATCTGAAGTAACATGGCTCTAGTTGATGTTTTTTTTGTTTCATTAAAAAAAATATTAAATTATTATGATTATAACGATTATGAATGATGGTTCTATTTTCATTCATTCATTCATTTTTAACATGACAAAAATAATTAGAACATAATCTAGTTTAAAACTTGTTAAGCATATATAATATTATGAATTACATATGGACATTTATAAAATACAAAGAAAATAAACATACACATCACTCACACAATTAAATTTCATTGTGATGATTATTATTAATGTAAAAGACGAAATAAATAAATAAATATAAGCTTTTTGAAATCATAATCATCATCCATTTGTAATTTGTAGCTGAAAATTTTTTTCTCTTTTCTTTTCTATGAAATACAAGCACATCATCAAGTATAGTCAAACTTTGAGAATTTTTAATAGGATTTAAATATTTTTTTTTTGTAAAAATTTTATGTACTTATAATAATCATATACTTTCAATCGCATTTTGTTCGGAGAAACATAATTTAAAAGTTATCAAATTTTCTTTTTAAAATTTGTTATTTATCTCGATAAAAAAATTAGATTGATTTCAAATTGATTAGAAATCGCCATTTTTTTACTTTTGTAACTAGATCAGTTTATGAGAGATGATTAGATTATTGAGAAAACAGCAAAAAAAAGTTCACACACATATACAAGCTCGTGATCCTCGTCATCATCATCATCGAAAAAAATATATAGTGAACTTGGACAAATCCTTTTTTTCATTTGATTTTAGCCAAAAAATTCGGTTTCAATTTACAGTTCGACAGGATATATAATATATTGACAATAAAGTTGACATGCTATTCGAACTGATTTGATTGTGATGAGAAAAACAAAAATTGTGAAAGGGCGAATAATTGTTGAGAACTGAAGTTTTGATTTGTTTTTTTTTCAGTCGTCAAAGAAATCGAAAGTGTATAATAGTTCTGTAGTTATTTTTTTTAATTTAGTTCAGCTCTGGGATCCAATTTTCTTATCGATATTGATACTCAATCGAATTTATCTTCCAGAACTATCATTTTCTTCACATATGTTATATTCATCATTTGAGCAATCATTTATGGACTGATTTATTTTATTTCTTTGATTTTTTTTTACAAATCAATCAAATGGAAAAATTATTTCATAATTGATACGTGCTCATTAATGATTTGTTAATTGCTAACACTCATTGTAATTGTCGCTACTAAATTCATATAATTTATGACATTAAATATGAAATATTCATATAATTCAATTATGATTTTTTTGTCACCGAACAGATTTTTTTCATCGATTAAAAGTAAAATATCTTAGCGTTAAGTCGATAGTTTTTGAGTTTGAGAAATTAAATCAAAATGAATAAAAATTTAATGGATGTGTTTTTTTTCGCTTGATCACCATATACCAATCATCATCATTATCATCATAATAAAAATAGATTCTTTTCCATTATATATCCAAGTTGAGTGTTGTTGGAAATTTTCTAATATTGAAAAAAAAATATTGTAAGACAAGTTACCTTAGTCTTATCACCATCATTCGGTTCATCATCATCATCATCTAATAATAGATATTTCAATAATAAAAAAAATGAAAACGATAAAAAAGGCCTGAACAAAAAAAAACCTGAAAATTTAATCCCGACCAGATATCATAGACAACAATATTATGTACTCGATATTACATATATAATTGTTTATTTATAGACTCATATAAAATCCAGGTTTTTTTGACATGTCCTGAAACAACAACAACAACAACATTGAATGAACACCTGAATGTACTTGATGGTTGTGTTTGTTGAAACAATGTGTTAACAATGATTGGAAAAATCTATCCATCTATTCAATGCGGATGATGTGAATTATTTTTGATGAATAAAAATTTCATTTTATTATTATTAAATTAATTGAGCCGATTAATTGAAAAAACACATGATTGGCCATTGTGTAAATTATGATTCTCCATTCATTTTATTATCGGATGACGACAACAAAAAAAATTCATCCGATCGAAATTTTCGATTGTTTAAAATGTGTCCTAATTTTTTTTAAAAAATTTTGATACAATAAATAATTGTATCAAGTTTGTTAAATTTTTAGTTTACGATCAACGAATTGGCTGATAAATCACAAACAATATCTGATAGATGAACCATTCACATCTATCTTTATTCTCAACTTTTTTATGTAATTCAAAAGACAAGAAACTATTGATGTGATTGATCAATCATTCGTTCATTTATACAATTCAATAAATCATTTTATGAATACACGGATACCAACCGGTCAATCAACCGTTATCATAATAATGGTTCATTTGTCGATGTCAAATATTTATTTCAATTCATTTCGATACGAATTTATATCAGAATATCAATGATTAATTGATTCTTTTCTTCTCATTGTCATTTTCTTTTGTTTTTATATTACATTATTCTTGAAATTATTTGAAATGTCAAACCAAACAAACAGAGAAAGAGAGAATATATTATAAAATCCAATTGTAATGTTTGACTTGAAAGACAGGTATTTATTCAAGAAAAAAAATTCAATTCATGATACAATCGAAATTAGAAATTTGATTCATTGTCATCGTTGTCAGTGTGTGTTTGTTGAATAATGATTGACAACAAATAATGTTGATAATACCATTGACTATTTCAACAATTGCAAGACAGGTAGTTGGATAGAAAACATTAAACAATGAGAATAATATAAATCATCATTTTATTCGTTAAAAAAAGCAAAGATGTATCCGGCTTTTTTTTTCCTTTGTTTATTTGTTTGTTATTATTGTAAAGAAACATTCTTTTGATAATGTCAACTACAATATTATTATTGTTACATACTGATTTGACATTGTTTTTTATAATATCGGTTCTTTTTTGCCATTTGCTGTTTATCTTATAAAACACACACACGAACATTCCATTAAAAAAACTTAAATTATCTTTGTTTGGTCAAAATTGTAAATGATTTTCACTATTGTTTGATGATGACATTTAATTTAAAAAAAATCGAAAAATTATACCTATGGCTACTGTTGGTTGGTTCAATATAATCCGTGATAAATATAATAATATTGTGTTTTATATCCACACGCAAAGATTTTTATTTCAATCAATTTACTGTTGGAGGCATATTTTCATTTCCTTCACTTTATTTATTTATCATATTTTCGTGACTCTTGTTACGATTCTTCCGATATGCTTATAAATCATGATCTTTCCCTACGGTGATTAATGATTTTTTTTGTTAATTTGTTTTCGTTGTGTATTGGCACTGTTAATCGCTGTAATAGAAGAACACTTTTTCATTTGGCTTTCATACAACTGTTTATAATCTATGCACGACAACGTATTTAACCCTTTGCGATCGGCAAATTTATGAAAATAATGTCGCACATTTTCCAATTACATTATTCGATTGTTGAAAATTGTCATCATCGTAATGATAGAAGTAAAATTTGTAATATAGATTATAGAAATAAAGTCGACCGCATTGAACGGCCGGTCAAGATTAGTTGAAATTTGAAAAAGACTTGGATTTTTTTATTTGGTGGATCAATTGACATTTCTGAACACAATGGACAAACTTCATAGTAACTTTTCCTCGTATTTTGTTGATCATTCATTCACTTTTTTTTCTTTCTTTGACCTCAAAAAATCAATCATTTCATCCATCACTTTAACTGATCGATTAGTACGATAATGATGTTCTGGGACTTGATTTGATCCAAAAAAAATTCGAATCGAACGTATTGAATTCGCCTGGCAACATTAACTGAAGTGTCGCCATCTGTCAAATAGTAATTGTAGCTATTTGTGGGAATATTAACTTATTTTTATGGCGCCAATTTGTCCATTTTTCAGTAAACAAAATTATAAAATCTATTTCAATTTCATATATCATGAACCGTAAAATGAAAATAAAAATATTGAATAGCATATCGGCTGATGTCGCGTGCCTAATATACAACTTGTGCTTGGAATTTGGATGATCATCATAATAATTATCATTTATTGATGGCTCGTGCCGATTCGGTCATAATTATGATGATGAGTGGGTGTGTGAAAAAAATTTATAGTTATTACTATAATAGACCAAATGCAATTGGACAAGGTACAACAATAATTGGTGATGTTGATGATGTTGGAAAATTTTAATCCGACAAAAAAACTACAACCAATAATTCAGTTTAAAGTCGCTATAAGAATTATTATTGTTTGTTTGATCATCGTTACAATGATCTTATCATTGATCTTTGTAGTTGGATTTTCATTTGAAATCCTGTTCAAAATTCACAAAAAAAAATTTATTTACCCAACTTCGTCACGTTGTCACCTTGAAAATATTGATGGAAATTTTTCCTCTTCATTTTTCGAACAATCACAAGATGGATTAAGCGAGTTGTATTTTTGTCCCTTCTTTGTTGTACAACCTCATCATCATTATCATAATAAAGGGGAAAAAGTGTTTGTTGATCGCCCTCATAGCAACATATTAATCGTGCATGATGAGGCACACAATATATCTTCCCCTTTATTCATGATCATCAGGTAAATAATAATATTTTTATGATCTTTATCATTATTACAGTGGAACAAATTTTTTTTTTGGACAATAATTATTATTATGCAATTAAAGGGCTTTTGTACGATCATTACAAATGATCATAAAACAATGTTCGTCATCATCATCATTGATTTCATTATTAAGATGTTATTACACCCTTTTTCCTCTTAATTCATCAGATTTCTAAGATGATTTACTATAACACGGCAAAGATAGAAATGATGATTGTTGTCATCATGAAATTATTTTGATTTTTTTAATTCAAATTTTTTCAGTATATATAATGTTGGCTGTATAGATTTATGGATTTCATTACAAAATATTACAATCGTTATGTATGTGAGCTGAAAAAAATTCCCTCACATCTATAATCCAGTCAAATTCGATAGAATTTCATGAGAAATTTTTTTTGTTTTTGTTTTTTTTTTGAAAAATTAAATTCGCGTTTACAATTTGAAAATACCGTATACATTTTCTCTTAATCAAAATAATTCATTCATTGCTTCATTGAATGTCTTATTGACATTGAACTTGGCAACAACAACATCAACATCGGAAAATATTCTATATATATTGTGCAACAATAGCTGAACATATATATCACCGAACGATCATTCGTCCCTCCGGATCAACGAACAATTTTATCACAAGGTATATATAGCAATAAAAACAAAAATTTTCTTAGAACGATGAGACCATTGCCATTCATTTTTCAACGAATGAAATGACGACGCTGATGATTGTTGCTATGGTTTTTTTTCGGTTCAGTTCGATGGATATTTAGTATGAACATTGAAAACAAATCTTATGAAGAAGAAAAAAAAGGATTCGACTCGATTCACGTTACAACATATACACACACATCAAACATTCTCTTTTTGTCTGTTCAAATGTTCCGTATTTTGTAATCACCGTTTTTTATTTTTATTTTTTTTTATTCGTTCGTTAAATTTCGTTGCATTTCATGACCATATACGATGACTTTGATGATAATGATGGTGATGGTTAAAACAATTTTGGATCCTGATAAAATCCATGGGCCAATACAACGCATAACAAATTTATTTTATTACTTTCGATATCCTGTGATCATTTTACCGTTTGATTGAAATTCATCAATATTGTTTTTATTTTATTTTCCCTACTAATCAATTAATTTTATATCGGTATTTATTTCAATGCAATTGATTTTTTTTCTTTTAATTGAAATATTTACCATTTAAATCACACATTCAACTTTTTCCGTATGAATGGTGATTGGTAACGATGCATATGATGGCTGTAAATGAATTACAATTCAAAATCAATCATACCGAAATTTTTGATCATAGTCGTATGTGTTGGTTGGTATGAATTAATTTTGATTGGTCTTTCAACCTATAAAAAACGACTATATTGATCCTTTCATTTGTCAAGAAAACTATTCTGAAAGGTTTCTATAACCAGCAAAATGATGGGCAAAAATTTCGTAGATAATCATGCTAAACAGCAATCATCACCTCATGATAATGACCGAGGTAATTGTGATTCAAAGATTAGTAAACAGCAACTATCGTTAATAAAATCGTCGTTTTTTGGTCTAAGAGAACGTTTAAAAAAGCGTTATCTAATTCTATTAATGTGTATGATGATGAATGCATTATCATATATGGTACGTACAAATATCAATATAACCATAGTTGCAATGGTATTGGAAGATAATGAACGTGTTAATAATACGAATATACATGAAAGTTGTCCAACTAGTCTTGATGTAACATCATCAAATATCATCGATAATAATCTACCTCTTTCAATAAATGAAACATTTGTCTATGACAATATTAAACAACATTATGATGTAAGTACTAATGATCGAGTATTTATGAACAATTTGAATCTTCATTCCCTTCTATTCAGGATGTCAAACATTATAATAAAAATGGTCTTGAATTATTCAATTGGAGCGAATCACTTCAGGGTACAATTCTAGGAGCCTATTATTATGGATATATTTTAACGAATTTTAATGGTGGACAATTGGCTGAAGTAGTTGGCACGGGACGATTATTGACAATATCAATAATATTGTCATCAATATTGACATTATTGATTCCTTGGGCTTCATTTTGTCATCCTTGGTTGTTGATAATTCTTCGAATTTTGACTGGTATAGCACAGGTATTTTTGTCGTCAGATTATGATTATGATTTTTAAAAAATATTTAAATCATAGGGAGTCGTTACACCAGCTATCTATCAACTTCTATCCTATTGGATACCAAGAAATGAATTAGGTCTTGCATTTGGATTGATACCAGCCAGTGGTTATATCGGAGCGGTCGTAACTATGCCTTCATGTGCCTTTCTTTCACAATATGGTTTTTTCGGTGGATGGCCTTCTGTTTTTTATGTAACTGGCGCTGTTGGAATGTTTTCATTAGTACCGTGGCTTTGTTTCGTCTATGATTCACCTGATGCTCATCCACTTATCACTGAAAATGAATTGATCTACATAAAAACAAATTCGATGACACAACGGCGAGATGTAAAAATCGGTGAAAAAGCCAATTCGTGGGTACCATGGTTATCCATAATTACATCGAAAAAAATTTGGGGTATAACCATTTCGAAATTCTGTACAGCCTGGGGAAACCTTTTTCTCATGTCTAAATTGCCAACATATTTAAGCCAAGTTCTTAATATGCCAATCACATATGTAAGTTGATCTTTTCTTATATTCATCAATAATTAAATTATGATCTTTCTTCGTGTTCTTACAGAATAGTTATGTCAACGCTTCAATTTACATATCGTTAGGTGGTTCAATGTTAGGCTGGGGATCGGTTGCCGATTGGGTTGAACGACGTCAATGTCTTGGCCGCACAACATCGCGTAAACTTTTTCAAACAATTGCTTTGATTGGTTCTGCTGCATTTCTAGCTTCCATACCATTGTTCGGTTGTCAAATCATTCCAATCATAGTAATGCTTAACCTGTCGATGATTACTCTCGGCCTTACAGCTGGCGGTGATTCATTAATTATTGTTGATGTAGCGCCTGATTATTCTGGATCAATTTATGGATTTTCAAATTCAATTGCCAGTCTTCCAGGATTTCTGGCCCCAATGTTTGTTGGTTTCATGTTGGATCTACCTCATGTATGATTTCCTTAATTATATTCTTTCAAAATTATAATTGATTTTGTTTTGTTTCATAGGATGACGAAATGCAACAATGGAGTATATTATTCTGGATTGGTTCAGGTATCTACTTATTCGGATCATTAGTGTTTATTTTGTTGGTAGATTCTAAACCAGAATCGTGGGGACAACAACGAAAATCACAATCGAATGCATTAAAATCAAATCATCAGCACTCAGAAAAACAGTCAAAACAAATTGAATCACGAATATCCGAATCAAATCTTTTGTCAAATACGACTACTAGCTCATCTTATTCATCATCATCATCATCATCGTCAGCATCATCGACAAGTGAATCAATAAACTCGACGATCGTCATTGTCGAACCGTATTCAAATCATGGTCAGAGATCACCAATCAATGATAAAAATTATACAAAAAATTGCTAAAGGCAAAATATTTCCTAAAAATTTTGGAATGATTGTTGATCAAATATTTTGTTTTTGATAATATCTATATAAATTTTATAAATAAAAAGTATTTTTGTAAATTTTAAAAATTGTTTATTACATACATCGATAGATGGCAGAATAAAAATTTATATTGACAAAGCTGTGAAATGAAAAACTGATCGCGCCATCAATTGTCGAAGAAATTGATAGGAGTTTTCAATTCTTTTTCATTTATTCTATAATTCATCAATTTTTCACCAATTTTTATTTTGTATACAAAACAATTATCATTACAAATTATAATTGAAAAAAATGTAAAAATTATTTACATTATCATCTCAGCGTAAGTGTGTATGTGTGTTTTTTTTTGGTGCAAAAATGATTAATTTTTTTCATAGAATGTGTGTATGTGTTAAACAAATGGAAATTTGTTGGGATAAATTAAGTTCATTTTTAAAATAAATCTATAATATCGATTTTACAAATTATACCCTATAAATCTTCACGTATATATTTTGATTTGAGCTGTTCAATACGACTTATAAATTCGGCTTTCTCGATGCACCCATCACAGGTTTCATCCCAATCGGATAGAATTTTTTTTAAATCTTTTACTTTTAATTTTTTCAGATCGACAGTTTTCAAATCGATTATCTTCTCATAACGGAGATCACAGATTTGTGAATCTTTTTTCTGTAATTTTTCACAGATTTTTTCAGCTGGCATACCCCAACTTAATGGTTTGGACATTTCACCCAAAATTTTGGTTGCTGATTCTTCTAAACCCCCAATGTAATAACACTGAATTATGATGACAAATTTTTCAATATGTTATATATTTACAAAAAAATTCCATACAGCTTATACTTACAAAACGATTTTCAGCTTTTTTTGTTTCTAAACAAAATTCACGAAAACGTTGTTCAATTTTTTGAGGATCAGATTTTTCGTCCGATGATAATTTGGATATTAATTTATTCATGACGCCAACACAGACTAAGAATCGATTTATTTATCAAAGAATAGAATTCAATTTTTTAATATAATATTAATGAATGAAGCTTACCTTCACATTTTCCTTCGGCTAATGCTTCTGATAAATGAGTAATCGTAACAATTAAAATGATCGTAGTCCAAGAAAATAACAACATCTTGAATTGAGAATTTATTATAATTATTATGAGAAATGATTTTTAAAAAATTGAATGTTGTAAATAAAACTTTAATAAATTTTTGACTTGTTGGCAGAATCGGCTTTTGTTTTCTTATTATCGTAAAAATTCAATTTAATATCGAATGAAATTCGCGTCAACCTTAATAACCAATGTGCCGTGTAGAAACGTTATTATTAAATTGTGTATATGTGTAATAACGTGTATGTTTCCCCATTCTTATATGTGCCTATCCAACGATATTCGAAGCATTATCAAAGTGCCGGCAATATGACGTCATTTAAACTTTCATGTTGTGGCGATTTGTGATTGGCTGATAAATTACACTGCTACCACATTCACACACATGCGTAAATCATTCATCAAAATATACATAAGAAATCAAATCGAATCAATTCAAAGATGGAAAAAATCTTTAACATGTGAAAAAAATCTTAGATTTTCAAAATATATAAGAATTGATTGTATTTTATGTTTAAATTCAATTTAAATACAAGAAATCGAAATGCATGTGGTTTATGAATTTTAATGGTTTTTGTTAATTTTTTTTTTTCAATACAATTGTAAAAATTAATAATTCGTGAGAATAATTCTGTCTGTTGGTGTATGTGTGTGTGAAACTGAAATTATCAATAAGATATATGTATTGAAATTAAGAATTTTATTTATTCCGCATCTTCGATGTTGATGTTGATGATGAGGATGAGAATGATAATGACAACAATGATGATGACAACGATGATGATGATGATAATGAAAATTTGCAATAATAAATGATCAAATTTTTTTGAATGATACTTGTAATGGTCGATTACTGACAAATTTATAGCCATTAAGATTAGCGATAGCATTCAATGCTTCCTGATAAAATTTCATCGTTACAAAACCATAGCCTTTACCTTCTCCAGCATTTTGTGGTCCACCTTTACGTATAACATTGACTCTCAAAACTTGGCCATAGTAGGAGAATAATTTGCCCAAATTATATTCATCTGTTTCGGGTCCGATATTATAAACAAAAAGAATATATTCATTTAAACCACCACTACTGCTTCCACTTCCGCTGTTCGTTGGATCAAGCTGATTTCCATCATAACTGCCGCCATTGCCTGCTGTAGCAAAAAGATCGGCATTACTTGTAGCAAAATATTGTGAAGAATCTCCCACCATTTTCATTGTACCATATGGATTATGATGATGTGATGAATGATGGTGGTGGTGATTACGGTCTGAATATAACATTGATGGATCATCGACCATTGGTGCTTGTTGTACATGGAATTGTGCTAAAGGATTATAACCTATCGGTTTTTAAAAAATCGACAATTAAAAAGTCAAAGATTAAAGAATTAGAGAAAAATAATTACGATTATGATGCGATGTATTGCGCATAGGACCGGATGATAATCGTTGATTGGCTGAATTGTTAAAAAGATTATTATTGTTAGATTGATTATGGTAACGTTTTTGATGTTTCGCCGTGGGTGGTGTGAGATTTATATTATTATTATTTTCACTAAAATCATTATTATCATCTTTGATCGTCATTTTTTTGTTTGGCTCATTGGTGGCGAATTTAACTTTCATCCGACAATTAGTACCGGGCACCAACTTACGATCAAATTGATCGATAGCTTGTCGTGCCTGTTCATTGAGATTGAACAAAACAAATGCTGTACCACTTCGATTTCCAATCAATCGACATTGTATAATATCGCCACATTCGGCAAACAGTTCTCTAACATCATTTTCGGTAAATGTCGAAGGCAAATTGGTGACATAAATGTTGGCATTTTTTATATCATCACTTGATGGCCGTGCATATGATACTTTCATCTTTTTATTATTCATAACAATACCATTAAGATTTTTAATGGCCATTTCAGCATCTTCTTGTCGGAAATATTCGACAAAACCAAAACCATATGAATAGCCGGAATTTTTATTCCGTATTATTCGTGCTGATCTAATATCACCGTATTTGGCAAACATGACACGAAAACTTTCATCTGTCATAGTTTGCGGAAGATAATTAATAATCAAATTGGCTTTACTATTCGACATTGATGATGATGGTGATGATGAAGCGGCTGATTGTGCCGAAGACATTGATTGGTCATTTTCACTGTTTGTTATGGTAGTGGCTGCTGTCGTATTCTGTGTTGATGACATTTTTCAAATAAAATTCTATTGTAAACAAATTACAATGACCATAAAAAAATCAATGATTATTCTATGATCCAAGAATTCTTATTCTTTTCCAAACCCGAAAAAAAACCCGAACACAATACACACACAGAGAAAGACGGACAACAGCATCAACATATCACGTCAATCATTCAGGCGCTTACTACTCTCTTCTTCTTGTTCTTCTTTTGCACTCGCTCTCTTTTTTTCCCATCGCTGTTGTCTATTATTCCATAACAAACACACACAATTGTCGGCATTGATTCCTTAATTCAAAAGTACGGCCATCTGTCGATTGAATGTTATAATATTTATTGATTTAATTTTTTGAACTTTATATAGATTAAATGGATGAAAAAGTGTTAACCGCCATTATTTTTTATTTCAATTCTTATCGAATTTAAGGTAAATTTTTTTCAAATGACGTTCGTTTTGTATATCAAAATCAATTTTCTTTTATATGAGAAGATTTTTTTTCCAAAATATTCTTCAATCTGGAAAATTCACAATGAACAAATAATGCTGCAAAGAATGAGAATTGTGGTAAAAAAAATCTGCTGGTTATTTTTTTTAAACTACAAAATTCTGTAATTTGTTGTTGTTGTTGTTGTTTAAATTACAACCTGAAATTATATAGAGATAATGTGCAAATAAATAAATAACTAAAATTCATCTTCTATCAATAGAAAATTTTCCTATATAATGATATGATTAATTTAAACCAATATGATTATACAAGCGAGAATTGGCGCGCAGATATTTTTGAGAAGGTCCTAGCAGTAACAAAAACAACAACAAAATTTGAACTGTATTTGAAGACAAAAAAAATATAATTTTTTTACCGTTATTAATTCATAGTTTATTCTAGTTTCTTGAGTAGAAAATTCCTCTATCATTCACACTAGCCACACACACACACATATAAAAGCCTTTTTCTCACTTTTTCGATCATTTAATTCTATGTGTAAATAATAATTTGCCCATCTGTCAATAATAATCCCTTTTACACATTTGTTTATGAGAATGGAATTTGTCGCCACTGAAAAAACTAATTCTATATTCATACACACAATCATCAACATTTTCAAGTGGCATCACAAATTGAACGGTCAATAACAACAACAAACAAGTAATAGGTTTAATTAGCGTTATATTATAGATTTTATTTATTGTTTTCGTTCCAACGATTTTATGAATTGAACATTGATTGAAACTATAGAATGAATAAGTGTATGAATTCAGATGTTAAAAAATCATCGATTGTTCCTTATTTTTGCTAACATTAAATTTAATTCAAATTCACTAATTATCAAATATAATGAAATCTTCCATGAATACCATTTGCAGTAGAATGAATTCCCAATTTACTGCCATTTATTCGATAATATTTGTTCTGATGATTATTAATGGATTCATATCATTGCCTAATTGTGGAATTAGGATTTCAAATGCTGCTGGTACAAATCGTAAAGGTAAATGAATTATTTTTTTTTTACTATTTCATTCAATCATAATTTTGATTATTTTTTTTCTCTATATAAAGTGAGCTCATCTATCAGTTGTTATACATGCAATAGTCGTAATGAGACAGATATCAATTGTCATGATCCATTCAATCCGGCAATGTCAAAATATGTGGAAAATTGTAAAGTGCCCAAACAGAATCATATTGGTGTATTTCCAGCTAGATTCTGTGTAAAAGTCATAGGCAAAACAGGTAAGATAAATATTTTTATCGATATAGATAATTATGTAAACTATTTTTTTCTAATTTCTAGTCGAAACCGACGAATCATTAGTGATTCGAGCTTGTGCTCTCGAATCAATGGACAACCAATGTGGTAAATTTAAATTCGAGGGTTCTCTTTACGCTGTAAGTGTTTTATGATGGATTAATTTTACAATAAAATATAATCAATTGATAAATCCTCTAGGGTTGCATATTAACCTGTGATTATGATGGATGTAATCATGGTCGATCATCATTATTAATTAATGGTGATTATCAAGTAGCCTTCATATTAATACTTTTTATGCTGGTAAAAACATTCATTGGTCATCATCATTGAAACAGTATCAACTATCCATGCTCCATATTATAGAAACAAATTTTTCAAAAAATGAACACAAAAGTGACCAAATATTTCGCCTAAGAAATTATTTCAAAAAGTGAAATCGACATTTTTTTTTGTTTGATTTATCGAATGACATTTGTCAAACTAAATCACAGAAAAATAGCAAAATCTTGTTTGCCATTCAATTCATTTATATTTTATCATCACTGTCACTCTTCATTTTTATTATTTTATCACAAAAACTGTTACTTTGAAACACTGAAAGTGAGACATTTTTTTTGATTGTGAAATATCAATCACATCATTGTTACACATAAAATCATTTCATATATGATGGCATAAATTTATCATGAAAAGAAATTTATCAAATTTTTAATAACTTTAAGAATTCATTATTAAAAACCCTTCCAAATCATCATCACTTAAGCACTTGTTGTTTGTTTGTAAAGTTTGTAAGTTTTAAAAATGTCACAAATAGAATTCTACATAGTTGATGCTTTTGTCGATTCGGATCGCTTTTTCACAGGAAATCCTGCAGCTGTTATCGTATTGCCATGTGATGTGTGTAACGTTCATTGGTTTTTAATCAACATTTTTGTAATGCTTTTTGTGAAATTTAGGATTATCTTTCCGATGAAACTAAACAAAAAATTGCAGCTGAATTCAATCTTAGCGAAACGGTTTTTGTTTCTTCAATAGATGCTCAAACATCATTATGGTCGATTCGTTGGTTTACGCCAAAAGCCGAAGTAAAACTTTGCGGACATGCTACAGTAGCTGCTTCATATGTATTGGCAAAGATAAAAGGTGAAAAAATTTTGCGATACGAAAACGAATTCAATAAGAAACTTGACGCTATATACCATGAAGATGATTCGATTGAGTTGGATTTTCCGAGTAATGAACCACAAGAAATAGAAGACAGTAATTGGTTGCAACAAATCAAAGAAGCTGTTGTCGGTGAAAATCATTTGGACCGTATTGAATCCATTCATTATTCAATGACAACTGGTAAACTGTTGATACGCTTGCTAGATACTGAAACCGAAGATTATCTGCATGAAATACAACCAAATTTTCAGCGATTGCTCCAAATCAATACAGAAAATCAGATCAAAGGTGTCATCGTGACACAAAAACCGAACAATTTAGGTAAAGACGGAATTCACTTTAGGTCACGTTATTTTGCACCTTGGGTAGGTATTAATGAAGATCCGGTTACTGGATCGGCTCATACAGTGCTAACACCATTCTGGTCTCGATGCTATCAAACCGAATGTGATCAAACGGTAGAAGAATTCAAAGCTAAACAAAGTTCGCGACGAACCGGTATACTGATCTGTCGGCTGAAAATTGACAGTGACAATAATCCCCGAGTATCGATCAAAGGAAAGGCTAAAATATTCTGTCATGGAAATATTTTATCAGTTCAACAAAACCACCAAATTTGACTTTCGAATGAATTAAAGCAGAGTTAGTAGTTATATAAAGAATTGATAATAAAATTCTCTTAAAACAAAATTCAATCAAAATGTTTGCTTTTATTAAGAAAAAATAATTTCAAATAATTCAGTACAAACATAACCTAGATTTTGTTAAAAGCAGCAACATCAACCGATTGAACATGATCTTCAAATTCGGCCAATTTTTCACCCAATTCTTCCACAGATACTTTTTCATCTTCAATTACGCAAACAATTTGCAATTTTTTGATTCCATAAGCCAATGGTACAAGTTTAGCTGTAATAAATATAATAGTTGTTAAAAAAAATAGATAGAAATTCAAAATTTAGATAGGATTATTACTTACAGGCACCCCAAACAAGTCCGTCCATTTTTACGGTACGAACTAAACGTTCCATTTCTTTCATGTCCGTTTCATCATCCCATGGTTTAATATCGAGAACAACACTAGATTTGGCTACAGCAGCGGGCTCTATTTTTTGGGGAAAATTAAACAATTATGTCATAAATTAAATGAAATTTTCCTACTTTTAGCTTTCTTAGCTGCATATTCGTCAAGTCGTTTTTGTCGAAGTTCATCGGCAGCTTCATCATCGTCCGAACCAAAAAGATCAACATCATCATCATCATCGTCATTATTGGCAGGTGCAGGTTTTGCTTTGGATTGAGCCGGGGTTGATTTATTAGCTGATTTTTGTTGACTAACACAAGTGGTCATCAATTGCGAAAGCATAGAAGTCAATTTTTGGATAGCTTAAAACACAGATAAAGTCAAGAAATTATGATCAATTTTGTACTAAATAAAAACTTACTGGATTCCATTTCGGAAACACGTTTTTCCAATTGTTGAATTCGCTCATCGCCTGCACGACAGCCCGTTGAGCGATTTTCATTGGTCTATTTGACAGGATAAAATTTAAATTAGAAATAGATTAGGTTAACAATACAGTAAAATTAGAGGTTAAAAAGAACGATAAAAGGATTTAAATAAAAAGAACGAAAACAAAACTAAAATCAAAATCTAAGGCGAATACTCGATGTGAAACCAAGAAATATTTGGTAAAAGAAATGAAACAGGAAATAATTTGATTGAAACGGATAAAGCTACTCACAGAAGCTAATGTTAATTGAATAATCTTTCTTATTCTCACTATATCACATACGATTGAATTATGATCATCATCATCATCATGCTCATGATAAAAGGGGGGACAGATACATTTATCATCATCAATTATTACTTCGTTATTTAGATTGACTTTGTTTTTATCAATATTTGGATGTTTTTTAACAGTATCAGTAGTAGAATTTGAATCATGACTAGATTGATGAACGATTACCACATTGTCATCACTTTTGTTCATATCGACAAGATGTTCATTATCGTTATTCATTAATAATGAAGATGTCACAGCATTCTTAGTCTTTTTGTTCGCCTTCTGAATATTATTTTGAACAAAATGCGGTGTGGTAAAAAATGAAAAAATTCAGTAACAAAAGACAGATAAATTAGACAGACAAAAAGAGTGTTAACAATCATTAATCGAAATAGTAATAGAATTTTGAAATTTTAAAAAGGAAATAGATACTTTAGATGATTTTACATTTTTAGATGATGCCGAACAGGAGACATTTTCCACTTGCCAATATTGAAATGTTTGCAATGATTGCAATTCATTGAGTAAAGCTTTAGCTGGCATTTTTCTTCGAATTGTTTGTTGATCTTGTTAGTGAAATATTAAAAAATGACCTGTATTGATAAAATCAATTAAATAAAATAATTTTAAATATTGGTGCCTACAAATTATACCGAATAATTAATGAATAAAATCGAAGATGAAAGTATTTTAAATCCTTCAAAGGCCGCAACGTGTCTTTTATACTGCAAAGTATGGTGTGTGCAAAATAAAAAGATTCTCATCGATCAAGATTTGGAGAAAAATTCGGACAATTTCTAGTCTCATAAATAAATGACGTGACAAACAACTTTAAATTTATTTTTCTTTGAATAAATAATTTTGAAACAAATTCATCAACATGATTAGATTTAACACTGATGAAATTATTGCCATTAGATTTGTTAATCTAGTTATAACAAATCGCTTTCCACAATCGAATCCAATCCTATTTTCATTTATTTGACTTTCCAATTCCATTGCTTTCCATCTATACTGAAAAGGGAGATTCTTTTGATACAAACGTTTCCATTTTTTCGTCACAGATTTTGTCAGATGAATTTGTATGAATATTTGATTATGTAAATAATAATGACGAATAATAGGTAAAAAAATTCTTGAAAGTTGATTTAATCGTGCCAAAGATATAAATAATATTGTTGAAAATCCAAAAATCATTATTAAAATTATTGTAATAACAAATCGAACTAATGCTTTAGAATTTGGATTGATCATTAATATGATTAACATATTCAACATAAACAGCATTGTTGAATGAAATGTCAGAATCATTGGCGATGCTTCTTTGGACAATTTCATGATTTGAGAATTAACAATGCCCAATTTTCGCAAAAACAATGATTGATTGAAACCTTCAGGAAATTGATGTTTGAAATGTTTGAAACGAAAAAGAATTTCGCGATAGTTTAATTCGAACCAGGCGTTTGTAACATGAATGTATTGCATTGAAGTACATATGAATAAGATCAAATAAGTTGCCTGCATTAAACATATTATATCAAGGAATATTTTCTTAATGATAAAACCAATCGAACAACAAATTGTCCAATTATAGAAACCAAGATAAAAATCTGCTATGATACAAATCAATAGCAAGATTGGAAGGATAATCAATGACGAGGAAGCAAAAATTAAATGAATATTGACTTTCAGACAAATTTTTCTCAAGATTCTGTCATCTCTTTTGATTGAATTTCCCGTTGGTTTTAATACATGTTCAAATGTTGATTTGAGATTTTTACGATGCATATTAATTAATGGGTTCAATACTATCATGGTTCTATTAGGTTCACTAAATATCAGTAGCCACATAATATCTAAATAAATATGAATGGAATTAATTGAGAAACTACTCCTCAAACATTTTAATTACTTAATAACTCACATATTATTTCAAAGCTTGCCATAATAAGTGCTAAAGCCAAATGGAAAATTCTATAGCTATGTTTGTATTCTATGAAATATGGCAAAAATATCATCGTCATTTGATTATTTGGTGTGATCATTGAACTGATTCCATATCGAATGAAATTAAATATTGTTGAAATAGAAATTATCACAAACATATAACGGAAAAGTCTCGAATCTGATCGATTACGAAGTACTTTATCGGCATCTTTAAATGGTATTATATGTGTTCGACAAAAGAATGTCAAAAGTATTCGAAATGAATCATTTGATTCCAAAATATTCCAGAGATTTTGGACAAGACGAAATTTTTCTGAGCTGAAAATTTTATAATTAAAGATATCCATTTCAGATATTCGATTAGAAAGCAATGAATGAAGCAAAAACTACTACATATTTTCGTACTTGACATTCTCTTAAATTGGTAAAAATTCCTTTAAATCGATTGGGGAAAAAAATTCACAATTCAAAACAAACATTAAAAACCATAGAGACAACAAATTTATTTTCGAATTATTTTTAATAGTTAAATTGTTATTGTTTTTTATCGAATGGTTTCGATGTGGGCCGCAATAATTTATCATAGATTTCCCATAGCATTTTTTCATTGACTTGATGATTCATCAAAACAAAAGCTTTCTGTATGAGCATGGATTTTTGTTTTCGTACACCATTCTTAGCATATTTCTTGGCAATTTTGGGTACTTGTTGGATAACTTGACGACAAACATTTTCTATTTGATCCATATCCTTTATTAACCACCAATTATAGTTCTCGACAATCTCATGAGGCGATCTTTTTTCATTCTGGAGATATAATTTTAGAATATCATAAGCAGTCGTTTCCGAAATCTTTTCATCAAATATCATATCACATAATTGGCCCAAATATTCTTGACAAACAAATTCCGATATATTTTCCATTGAAAATCTATAATTTATCGATTCGATTTTGTTCAAAGTAAATGGATCAATTTTTTCTTGAAAAATCGGTTTCAAATAACCGATGAGAAATTCAAAGCAATCTAAACCGCATTTTCGTCGTGAAGATTCGAATATTTGATGAAACAAGTGCAACTGAGTCGAATCCTGAAGAAGAAAATAGATTTCCCTCAGCGATAAACCAAATCTTTTGTCTAAAAGACTTTGACGGATATGTTCAGGTAATCTAGGCATTTCTTTTTGAATGGAATTGATATTAATCAATTCTTTAGACATATCTTCGGCATCATTAGTAAGAACAATTGCAGGCAAATTCGGCTCAGGCATAAAACGATAATCTTGTACAATTTCTTTATCGCGCATAACAAACGTATTTTTAGTTCGTATGTCATAGCCAAGGGTTTCGTTGATTATTTTTTCACCTCTTTCTAACAATGAACATTGTCTTCGAATTTCATATTCAGAAGCTTCGCGAATAAATCTAAAGGAATTGAGATTTTTAATTTCAGTTCGTGTTCCTAATTCACGGTTACCAACAAGTCGAACAGAAACATTAGCATCAACGCGAAGGGCACCTTCTTCCATCCGACATGAACATGCTTGTATTGATTTAAGAATGGCAATCAATTCTCGTACTAATGATATTGCTTCTAAAGTGGAACTAAGATCTGGTTCGAATACAAATTCCAATAGTGGTACACCAGCACGATTCAAATCAATCAAATTGGCATTCATTTCCCCATCGACCAAAGACTTTCCAGAATCTTGTTCCAATTGGATTTGTTTCAAACGACATTGTTTTAGATATGGTTGAAATGATCTATCATTTTCATAAAAATCATCATATACGATAAATTCAATGTATCCGTCTCGAGCAATTGGATTTCTCTGCTGTGTGATTTGATATCCATTCGGCATATCACCATAAAAATAATGTTTGCGATCAAATGTACTTTTATTTGAAATTCTACAGTTCAAAGCCAAACCCGTTTTGATGGCAGCGAGAACACATTTTCGGTTCAATACTGGTAATGTTCCAGGTAATGATACATCGAAATAAGTGGCCTGTGAATTGGGACGCGATGTGAAATTTGTTGATGCAGATGAAAACAATTTTGAATCGGATAAGATTTGAGCATGAACTTCTAAACCGATTACTGGTTCATATTTGTCAAGATATTTTTCAGCTTTACATGAAAAAAATAAAGTCTGCGAAGCCGAATGAAAGCCATTCTTCAGGCTCGTATTAATATTGAAATTTGAAAATTTGAACAACCTTAGGAACATGATCCTGATCACATGACGCATACAACTGTTTCAACAAGAAAGATCGGCATAGGTTTGCATAGATGGATCTGTTCAGCTGTTTGGCACATGTTCATTCGTGGAAAATTATCAAATTCTTATCATGTTGGTCGCTATCTTGAAACGCTCATTATGTAATAATCAAAGTAATGCAATTATACGGAATCATGTTGCAAGCATATTCACTACTGCAGAGAAGCGTGTCAAGGAAAGTAAGTCCCTTGAATACTTTGAAATATATGATTCTTATTTGACATAAATTTTACAGTTCGAATCAAAGAAGATGATAATCAAATTACAATTGAGGGCTGTCGCATCGAATCAGATCGTAAAGATCAATTGATTAAATTGTCGCATTCAACATGTGCTTGTCCATTGTGTCGACTTAATCTTAAACGATTAGAATATTCGGTAACTTCATCAAATGAGATAATTTATCGGACTTTTTTTAATTTTATGTTTGTTTTTTTTCTCTTCTATCCTACAGGATGTATTGATATTAAGCCAATTTACAGAATCGAATGGTCGACTTATGTCACAACCAGACACTGGGCTTTGCAGTAATTCATATCGAAAAGTCAAAAGCATGGTCAATCAAGCACATTCAGCTATGTTATTGCCAAGGCCACCTGAGTACAAATCCTATGGACCTTGGGACGATCTGAATCATTACTATGAATTCCCTCGAAGAATACGAGATCGACCTAAATCTGTAATCAAAAAAGAATATTGGAAATGATTAATGATACAATTGTTTCTCCGATCAATTTACTTTGAGAACCATTAAACTGAATCAATAAATGAATAATTATTAGAATTGAAAAAACTGTTTATTTTTTTTTGCCATAACATGACAAAAACCAGTTTTGGAATTTTTCTTCCTTTGCTTTATAAACAATTAATTGCGAATTTTTTTTGCGGACAAATGTTTTTTGTCAAAATGTAATTTGGTGAAACTTTAATAATCATGTTTTATATGTCTTAAAACCGGATGAAGAAAATTTTGAGATCCATATTTTTCAGTTTTTAATGTGTTTTGAATTAAAAAAATGAAAATCATGAATAATTCTTAGAATTTACCAAAATCGTTTGTTCGGTATACTTGAACTTTAATGGATATTTTTACTTTGTTTTTTTCATTATCATTATCATTATTGTTTATATATCTGTTCATTCATTGCAGTTTTTGTTTGTGGTTAATGCGCCAGAAATTTCTCAGAATCGAATCGAAAGTTGGTAGAAAAAAAGTTCCTTTTTCAAAACAATAATGAACTAACGATCCAATATATAATTGCCAGAGAATAATTATGTCTACCATTTGGATTCTCGATTCTTGATCTAAAGACAACTTGAACAAAAGAAACCGTTTTAAACGGTAAAAATGATCGGCGAATGATAGAATGTTGCAATCTTAAATGACAATTGACTGTTGTAAAAGTTGACTGTCAGTTTTTTGCTTAGTCGCTATGCGAATTTTCTTTTCTACTAAAATATCTAAATTTATTATGTATGCAAATATTGCCCAAAAAATTGTTAATTTACATGAATCGATCCTATAATCAGTCAAGTACATGATGACAAAAAACGAACAACAAATTTTTCCCCATTTATTTGAACCAATCTGCGAACGATAATGAATTATTTTCATCGACGAATGACGACAATTTAGCTAATTGAAATGAATAAAAAGACAGATAGATAAATATAAAAAAGAATGATGAGTGGAAGAAATTGAAAGAAAAATATGAAACTGCTTGATAAACAAATATTAGAAAAGCATTAATGAATTCAATATGAATGTATCCAATGAACAATGACCCAAAAAAAACATTAATCTTCATATGTCAACAAAAGCTTTGATGGATATCTAGGTGTTCATGGTAAGTATGATGAATATGAATTCATGATTCAATCATGAATTCATCTATTTACTCGAATCTATTATTATTATTATTATTTTTTTTGTTATTGTTGCTTCTTTGTTATTTTTTATTATTATTCATATTTGGTTATGTGAAAAATTTATCGAACGTGGACTTTTTTTTTTGATTATAATAGTACATCATTTTTGTTGTTTACCTATATCGAGTACTTTTCACTTGAAGCCTGAATCTACAATTGACAATGAAATGGTAATGTTATTTGAAGAAAATAATTATCTTTGGAAAAACTAATGTCGCTAAATGATGAAAAAGAAAAGAACTAAAAATTAGTTCCCACAAACTATATATAGTGTGAATGTGTTCATAGAATTCTTTGACTTTTTTAGTCCATTTTCATTTAGCTTATTCTGTTCTACAATGTAGAGCCAATGATGATAGTATGATTTCATGATCAAATCATTTCGATTGAATAGTCAAAACTGAATATTGGTTTTAAGCTTATGAAAAATATTTCATAATTGTATTGCAAGAATATATTATCTAGAATACAATGGTTGTGCACAATTGAATAAAAAGAATAAGAATAAATTCAATCTATAAAAATAAATATTATGAAAACGATGAATAGATAAAGATACATCCATCGAATCTTGTTTTATATTCAAGTTTCAAGAATTATTATGGGTTATTAAATAAGGCTAAATTTATTTTGATAAACGAGCATATCTAAATCATGGATAAGATGTGAATTATATCTTATAATCATTTCCACTTATTTAACCAAAGAATCGCTTATCAAAATTATTGTATAGAAATTGATAAAATATTTCTCATTTTTGTCATCAAAATAAATAAAATGAATAAGAGAGAAAAATGGTCATGCTTTGATGTGATAATCAATATTTTTTTCATTGTAAGTAAAAAAAACATGGAATAAGGAAGAGAGATAGAGAATATATAAATAAATAAAATTATTCTTGCACATTCACCCACTAAAACATCAAATAAAGATGTGATGAAGGAGTACAAATATTGCTTTCATATAAATGAAAAAAGAACATGACAGCATTAAAAAAACTAAAAAAACTGAACATTTAGTGTGTATGATAAAGAATTTCGGACCATTACTATAGCCAAAATTTTACTATTGTTGATGTTGATAAACATATCCATTATATAAGGGTCTCTGGCCATATCATATCAATGTTTGTGTATGATGATGGCAATGATTGAGATGCTGAATAGCATCAAAAAGAAACATTGAAAAAATCCAAACAAAAGCAGAGATTGCAACAAAAAATTACATAACAGAAAAATGAAATGACAATAAAAGTCCATCTTTTCATTGAAACTGATGGATAACTATATCTAGATGCAATGCTCTTGTGTTATGTACGCGTATGGCAACAATAAATAAAAAAAATAGAAAATGGATTGGGTTTTTTAGTAATTTATCAGTGGAATATGAATAAATGGTCTTTGGGGTATAAAACATGAAAGAAAAATTGACACGTTATAACGCAAACACCATCGTTAACAATATATTTCCGCCATTCAGTTTTCAAACAAAACAAAAACAAATCAATCTTTTTTACAAGTTTAGTGTTCAGTTGAATTTAAGGGGTAAAAAACTATGTAATAGACTCATAAATATGTTAATTGGATGTATTCCATTCTTTTATTATCGGATAGATGACAATGATATTTATAATGATTTTGTTTGTTTTCCAAATTTCATTTATAAATAGATTTAATAAATAATGAACCGAACCAATCAAAACAGAAATATAGTTTTTGCTTTTAATTGTCTATCAATTTCATGAAAATCCATTGATATTGATGATGAATGGTATGAATGAATTCGATACATTTGAATAAACAACAAACAAACAAACAAATCATATTGTTGATTATGTCAGAATAACATAATGAAAATTTTATTAGTTATTGGATCAATTTGAAGCTTTACGATCTACACATAAAAGAAAAAACTTAATGACAAACAACAAACAAGGAATTCGTTTCAATCCACATCCATATACCCACATATCCATTCATTTATTCATTCATTATTCCCTACGTCGTCAATATATAAAACAAAAATTTGATATAATCGAAATGAACAAACAAAATATCTGCATATAAAAAAAACAAAGAACAACAACAACATACTGTGCAATGATGCAAAAATCTTCATCAACTTTTATCAGAATACATAAATTAATATCGATCACTTTAATTCCATCAGTTAGTTAATTTCCCTACATCGTTTTCATTTTTGATGTTTTCAATCTATGTAGTTCGTTTGCATACATCCATTAAAATTGAGGGAAAATCCAATCATTGATGAATGTTAATTAATGACAACAAAAACCGATATTTTATTAAGCAAAAGCCGAAAGCAAGAAAAAATAATTAATTTCATTATAGAATTTCTAAATGATTTGCTTCGAGTCGAAATTTGCCTTGGTATATAGGTGTATGTTGGGAATTCGTCAAATCTTTTGTGTGATGTTGACGATTTTTCATGGATTTCTTGATTAAATTTATGAAAAAAATGAAATGAGAAAAAAAATATCCCAAAGATTTCGAAAAAGTAGTAAGATTGGAAAAATACATAAATTTAATTACAAAGAAAAAGAAAAAATTTTTAATTTATTTTTCATAATAGTACATCGTGGGTCAGCATCATAATCAACATTAACAGCTTACTTTGGCACATTATTTATACTGCAAGAAATCAAACAAAAAATTAAAAATTAATCGCATCATCATTCAAGAAGAACGAAAAATAAAATGAATCGACAGCAAAAAAAACAAGATAAATCCTTTACAATATGGATAAAGGAAAAAAAATCAGAAAATTAGATCTATGCAATGAAAAGCGAGTGAAAGAGAAATAAAATTTTTATATATGAATTTAGAGATTAGTTTCAAGTAAACATTTATTCTTTGATAATGATGTCATTGTTGTTGAAAATAATGTTTCAATTTTCATCGTAGAATCAATTTGATGATGATATGATTCCTCTGAATGTTGATCCCATTGATGAGCGATTGATGTTTGCTGATGATTATTATTATTAATTTCGCAGTCGTTAATAATATTTTCATGATTTTGTTTATGTGAATCATTACTACCATCATCATTGACAATAATGGATTCGTTTTGTTCGAGTAGATTTGTGGATTTTATCAATGCTGTTGATTTATGTTGATTGTTGGCAGTTAAAATCAACAACCTATCATTGATTACTTCGTTGCTGAAATTGGGAGCAAGATCAGTCGATGGTAATAATTGATTAGGGACAGCGGTATTTGCCGAAATGGTTGTAACTGAAAATGTTTTTAAATTTGAATCCGTTTCCACAGAATTATTATCATCGTGACCATTATTACTTATTTCGTGACGCGATGATTTTTGTTGTAACAGTTCAATTTCATTAGTTGTAGAATATAAATTCAGAATGTTATTGATATCAGATGATGTGTTACCGTATGCCGCCATAATTTCACTACGATCGATTCGATTTTCTGCCAAATCGGCTGCACTGACAAATGATTTATCACTAGTACCGAATTGTTCTCTATTATCATCATTAGTTGTGGTAGTTGCTGAATTTTTATGATTATTTCGGCAAAAATAGCGGAAATCATAAAATCGTAAAGATAACCAATGCAAACTTTTCCATGATGGTGCTAATATACTCTGATTGAATGTTATTCGAAATTGTCGAGACATTCCACAATAAATGGCAAAATTTATCGGATATGATACAATAATGAAAAAATTGTTCATCATTATAATACTATTTAGCACACTGTAGTTTACTAATTCCATTTGGAATGCACTTTGCACAACATGTAATATGGTTGTCAATGCAAATGGAATCTCAAGAAATAAAAACATCGATACAATCACAATCAACATTACGGTCGTTGAACGAGAATCTAAACGATTTATTCGAATTTTATTCGTATCGGGCATTTGATGAGTTAGTTTGATTGAAGAATTTTCTCGTTGTATAGATTCACCGTAACGATGAAAAATGGTTGGACTATTTGAAAATATGGTATTTTGATCATCTTTGATTTGGGATTGGTGCTGATTATGATCAGCGGATATTTGATGTTTTGAAGTGCTCACAAGATTACTATCATCATCATTAATATCACAGTCGATGATTTGTGGATGAGCTACAGGTGTAGAATGATCTGAATTCTCATTGTTTTCGACATCATTCACATGGATTAATACTGATTGTGATTGATATTGACAGTTTGGATGATAATTAATGTTTTGATTAGTTGTTTGATGATCAAAGGTGTTGATGTGATGACCATTATTATTATTTTGGATATTAGTATGCATCGATCCAAACGAACGTCGTGTTGAATTATTTGTCTGTGTCATCATCATTGTCGTCACGATTGATGTAGGTCCGGCGGCCATTGTAGTCGTTCCACGGGAATTACTCAATAGACGTTTTCGTGTTTTTCTTGTACGATGTAAAGCACGAAATAAAAGAACATTCAGCCATACTAATAAAATACAAGGCCCAGTATGAACGAAAATAATCCGAAATCCATAATAGAAAATATAATAAAGATCTTCACCGAAATATTTGATCACCTGTTTGTTTTGAATTAGGAACAAAAGAAAAAGAAAATTTAATTAATTTTTACTCACCAAAATGATAAAAGAATTATGACATTAAAATAAAAATGAAACCTAAGTGTCTAACTAATAATCAAGACAGTTGTGGTTTAAATCTGAAAAAATGCAAAGTATTGATAGTTTTATTTTGATATTTGATTAACATAGATGTCATGTAAAAAATCGAACATTGATAAAAGCATTAGGAATTGTATGAATTTTTTTCCTTAGAAATCCATCTATTCATTGTGCCATGAGATTTATTTCTGATTAATAACTGCAATGCTATCAATTCACGTCATCCATGAATCCTGTTGATTTTTTTACCATGATATTTGTTATAGAAAATAAAATAGATCATATCCATAACAAAAAGATAATGAAATTCGGGAAAAAAGTTTGACACTACAAGTTTGTGTCTTATGAAAATCCACGATGAATATGAGAAACCAATTCTATTAATAAAATCAATAATTGATGGGATCCAAAGAACGAAAAAAAAGGAAGTGATGATTTTTAGCCCTGATGTATAACGTATGTGTTAATAAATCGACCAAAAGTTTGTTTGTTTTTTTTAAAGCTTGAATTCATAATCAATAAAAAGTCCAGAATTTCATCAAATACGGTAAATTAGTTTCAAATCATTTTCAATTTCATAAAAATTTTAAACTTTTTTATTTTTTCATTAGAAAAACCTCCCGTTTCCATTCAATGTTTATCGTTTTGGATAAATTTTGATTATTACAAAAAAATTGGATGAATTTTGTGGTGATGAAAAAAAACCTCAAAGAATTTTTCAATCATTTCATCGAATAAAACTTTGAAATAAAAAAAAACTCGGTCAACAAGAGAGAAGATGAAAATTAGAAAAAAAAGATAGAATTTTTAAAATGAAAAATTCCATAAAAAATCTTTTTTTAAAAAATTTCCATTTAAAAAAACTATCAAAAAAAAGATTTCTTTACACTCGACCTCTTTCTCATAAAATAATGTGTTTATATAGCAGAATAAACATCTAACAAAAAAAAAGCTTCAAGCAATTTGTATATTTTTTGTTTCGAATGAAAAAAAATAAAATGAAATTTCATTGTCTCTGAAAAATTTGATGAAAATCGATTATTTATTTCAAAAAAAAAATTATTACATCAACTATGAATGAAAAAGATGTTTATCAATTTCATCATCATCACCACAATATAGGATCCAACTTCATTTTAATTTATGGGAGTATTAATGTTGATTTGCAATCGATTAAATTGTTTTTCTTTTCTTTTCTTTTTTTGTTGAAATTATTTCATCTAAAATACAATCTAGGAATATTGAAAATATTCATGAACAAAAGAAATTTTTCATGAAATATTATGATCCAAAATAGTGTTCATCATCATATTCCATGAAATCATTAGTGTTTGCTTGCTTTACTTTATTTGTTTGTTTGCTTATGAATTTCATCTATCCCTTCATATAACCATTCATTTATTCAACCAGAAAAATTTAAGAATAGATGAGAAAAAAGGCAAAGAGCTTGAGATATTTATCTTTTTGTTGAAATGATGACAAGAATAATATAAATATTGGATGAAGACACACTTTGGATAGAAAGTTTGAATGAAAATGAAATAAAAAACAAAAACATTTGCGACAATATAGAAAATATACGTATATGATGAGGCAAGTTCTACAAGAAGATTTTATTTGAATTAAAATTGCAATTTTCCAGCATATTACGAAGATGATGATTCCTCTGTCCATTTTATCTTTATATTGATTTTAGCTTGAATATTTGTTTGCATGAATGATAATCACGTAATATAACATTTAAAAACAAAACAAAAAAAATTTTAAAACGAAATGCTCAAGTGTTGTTCAAAATGAAAGTTTCATACAATCAAATGAGATATTGTAATTCAAATATATATTTGAAAACTGTTGGAAACAAAAAAATATTTTATGAAAAAAAGTCATTTTATTGTCTTGTATAGATCAGATTCCTCAAGCTTTTTATCTGTGGCAATCCCATTCTATACTTCTTTCCATCTAAATATTTGTGTTGATTCTGAAAAATATTATTCTAATGTATAGTAGTTGGAATAGGAAAAATAACATCTCCGAGATTCTGTAGAAAAACAAACTAACACACCCACAAACTATTACCAAAAAAAACGAAGAATTCACAAACATAGAAAGTTTTCACATCATAAAACTTCAAATTTATTGTAATAAAATGAAAACAAAATAAAAATCAATAAAAAAAACAAATATAAAATTAGGAAAAGTAGTGATTCTGGTAAAAAAATCAAACAAACAATCAACTGAAATATAGAGCTTACAAATATCATCAACTAGGTTATTCGAACAAAAGAAATAAGAAAATCAATTTAGCTAAATCTGATTGCGATGAAATATTTTTTATCTAAAATTGATGCAAAAAGGCTCACCTGAATCATAAACAAACAAAAACAACTTTTGATCTGAAAAATATCTAATCAACAAAAATCGTAAACAACTGGGAGTGAGAAATAAACAAAAAAAAAACAATAATTTGATTTAAGTTTGAATGATTCTTTGGATATGATGTTATAAAGTGAGTCGAAACTATTATATTGGTTTGCTTGATAATTTGATGCAACGACAATTAATATAAAAAAAAAGTAACAATACCAAATCATTTTACTTTTGAAAAAAGTTGGTGAACAATATATTGATCAATATTGTTATCCAATTTTATCTCGTTGGAAGAAAAAATCAAAAAGATTAGAAAGATTCGAGATTGAAACCTTCGAGAAAAATTGCTTTATTTTTTTTCTAATCAGAAATTTCTTATCTAAAAAACAATAGAAAAGAACAAAACTAAGGCCATTAATGAAAAAAATCTGATCTATTCATTTCGTATGTAATCATTTTATACTTGCACAATAGTACAATGGTCATAACAATTGTCATCCGATAATAATTATTTTTCTCTATAGAAAAAAACATTAATTCAATTATTTTTTGTATTCGAGTGCCAATGAATCAAGAAAATGATCGATGATCGAAATCGATTACTACTAGTTGTTTATTAAAATCATCAATGATAATCGACGATAAATTGATTCGAGCACATACAGTCAGGAACTTTATTCTTGTTTTTTCGAAAAGAAACCCCATTATGAACACATTGAGAATCTGATTTTTTTGAATTCATTCACACGTCTCCATTATTTTTTCAATTTGTTCAATGATAAATGAAATTTTGAGAGAATGAAGGTAAAATTATCAGAAAAATATATTTAATCATGCTAAATTTAACACTCACCCAACCGGATGTTTGATATTCGCAACCTTCGAAAATTTTTCCTTCCCAAATATATTTGACTGGCAAAAATTTTCGATCGAAAAAACGTGTCGATTGATGAAGTATAGCGATGACTAATAATATCAGCATGAAACGAACTACTTGTGGTACTGTACACCAACGTCTTGCCAATGAAAAATGGCACACATAAATGTAACTTTAACAAATAAACAAGATAAAGAATGATTATCTAAAAAATGTATTCGGAAATCGATTGAATTCACATGAACCGAAATTCATCGTAAATTCACATGAACCGAAATTGAAAGATTGATTGATTCTGTGACATTACTATTGAATGACAATGTTCATCTTCAATAGGCAATCAGCAACTTGATATACATTCATATTTATAAAAAATTATTACTACATTTCAAATTTGCTTACCGTTGGCCAGCCAATAACAATGTTAACCAAATGGAATATGTATGAAATAATGGTGGTAATACTTCATACATCCAATGGAATGTATAACATGTACTGACGGGATATATTGATTCCTGATGATGTCCCATTGTAAATAGGTAAATATACCAAGGTGATGGTATCAACAGTGTTAAAAGATCGGCAACGGCCATACCCAACAATACTAAATTCGTAGGTGTACGCATATGTTGCTGTGATAATACGGCAACAATTAATAAGTTCGTTATAATGGTCAAGGCGAATAGATTGGGCAATATATAACCAAACAATATGATTCGTAATTTTTCCGGAATGTCACGGCTCACGTTCAGTAAAAATGTTATATTGTGCCTGAAAATGATGACAAAAATAAATTTACATCACAAACGAAATGTTAAAAAATGAAGAAAAAATGTTCTAAAATCAATAATAAATGAACAAAAAAAAAGAAAAAAGATTTGGTCATTTTTTAAACATGCAAGTTTGAGAAAAGGGTATAAACTAAATAAATTAACTGAAGGACGAATAGAAAAAATAAATGTAAAAAAACAACGATTCTCTGGTGCGGCAGAAATTCTGGCAGCAAAGATTAACAACCACGGCGATGGTAATGATGATGATGATTAGACCAGAATTTAATGAGAATTATTATTAAATGAAATGAAAAACATTGAAAAATGAAATAAAACAAACATGAAATGACTTCAGTGAAGCAAATACAAATTTTATTTATGAATATCTACGGTTTCGATTACAGTAAGCTTCATATAGTTTTTCTTTTTAATTCTATTCATCTGAGGCATAATGTTGGATTCATAAATATCCAAATATTTTTAATGAAATTCATATGAGACAAACCAGTCATAAAAATACCATGCCGACGAATAATTTCACATTTTGCATGGACTACATTTTACCTTGAAGAAATTTGAACTAAAAAAAATGATAATAATTCCGAATGGAATAAAGAATATTTTGTTTATTCATATAAAAAAGCTGTGCATAGATGCATGTTTCAAACCAATTTTTCAGATACAAGAGGATTTTATAACATATGCGTGAAAAATAAGTTTTGTTATTAAACATACAAACAACATCTTTAAGAGGTAATAAAGAATAGTAGAGGAAAAAATATCTTTTCTGAAATAAAAATTTATTCGCTGTTTATTTAACGAAAAACAGACAAAGAATTATAACCTACTATGACAAGTTTTTTTTCTATTCAAAGTTGGCCAACATTGTTAAAGTACTTTTTACATTCATGTTCAGGTTGATGATGATTATTCTTCATGGATGCAAAAATTTCAACCAAAGTTAGAAAATATATTTATTTTTTCGTTTGTTTGCTCGTGTTCGTGCACAATTGGGCAATAATAATATCATTATTTATTAGAGCCAACAAAATTACCAAGTAAAATAGAATCTTGTTTCAAGCTTTTTTTACAATCAAATAAGATAACCACTATTCTATTGGTTGGAATAATTTTTTAAATACCATTTTATGAAACTTGAACTTCTGAAAAAACACAGACAGTGTTAGATTTGGTTTTTTATTATTTACGTCACGGATGTGGATGGTTATGTAAAGAATTTTTTTCTCTTCTTCTTTTTTTCTCCTGTGTACACACATTGAGACAGAGACAATAGAAACATGATAGCCACAGAAGAAAAAAATTGTCGTTTATTATAATGATTATTATTTTTTCATGATTTTTTTGATTATGCAATAGAAAAACCAAGTACAAATAAAATATTTTTGTTGTTGGTGTTGTTGTTGTTTTTGGAACACAAACAAAACGTCTTGAAGTTGATCAAAAAAAATCGTACCATATGAAAATCAAACTTTAGCAAGTCTGATCCTTTTTTTGACAAAAAATTGAATGTAACAACATTGAAAATGAGATTTAAAAGAAGCCGTCAATTCGTTTTCTGCAAGAAACATGTTAATGTAAAGTGAAATGGTGAAAAAATTCTAAAGAATAAATGCAAAAAATTTTCCACTGATAAATAAAAATTAATTTTTAAATTAAAGAGGAAATTGAAAATCACAGTCATCTCTAATTTCTTGATAGGCATTTATAATGATAAAATTAAGTGATCAAAAACGTTTGCAATCGTCAACGTTTTAAATTTGAAACTAATTAAAAGTTTTTTTTTGTTAGTTGATAGTTGTGACAATGTTTTTTTTTAAAAAATATAATCAGTTACGAAAATTGACAATGGAAACCGATGAATTTTGATTTCTAGGAAAAAAAGAATCCAGTCTCTATTGGATGAATATTTTTATGGATATGGTTGTCAAATTGAAAAAAAAAATTCTATTTTTTTATAATGTTCGACATTGTGATGGGTGAACAATATATACTACCAATATATCAAAAAAAAGTCAATAGTCTTGTTTTCTTTGGTTTCATCGAATTGTAGGGCTCAATGTATACAAGTACATTATTACCACAGTTTAGTTATTATATGAAAATTCCGATATCAAAGTTGGTAATGATGGTGAAAAAAAGACATAAATAAAGCCTTTTATCCGATTTTCACATTGAAAAGATTAAATAAAAACAAAACAACAAAGCAATGATGCCAACAAAAAAGATTGGAACACAATTTGAATTTTTAATTTCATAAATTATTGTTCTATCAATCAGATAAATGATTTCTATAAAGATTTAACTTGTATTTCGTTGCAATTTGTTTTTTGCTAACAAACGTTTACACAACCATAGATTGGAAAGGAAATTAGGAAATTTGTGTGATGTAATAAATTACATCATTTATTAATGATGTTAATAAGTTCAAATTTTTTTCATTGGCTTAATTCCAAAACGATTCTTGCCCCATTAAGAAAAATTGAAATGAAAAAAATGGTGAACAAAACGATCATCATAGGAATTTTTTCACCAATTCCAAAGCCATCATCATCTCCATTAAATAATATAGAAAAATATTATTTTGATAATTTATTTGATTATTATTGCGAAACATTTTATCCATTAAATTCATGAAAAATAAAATTCAATAAAAATAAAATTGAAAATGCACCATGCGGTGTTAATAACAACAACAGCAATAACCAAAAGAAATTTTTCATTTTGAAATGAAAAATGTTCAAAAGGATATTCTTCATTAAAGATATATACAATTCAATATGTATAATGATTTCATTTAAATAAAATTTTGTCATCAATTTTATGTAATGCAGAAAGAAAATGTAAAAATTACCATTACAACATTCATAAACTAATGAATCGATACTTCATTTTTTCTCTGATATCAATAAAAAAAAATTGAAAACGAATATAGGAATGGGAGACGAAAGAATAAAAATGGCCGGCTGTTGCAATTCAATATTTCAATCATATTTCATTGAATTGTAAATGAAATTCTGTCAAATAGCAGCAGTTATTAATTTGAATTTCTTTTGCATGGAGAGATACTTAATAACTATAAATAAAGTATCGGAATTTGTTTGTATTTATTTATTTCAATGCTTTCAATGGTTTACCTTTTTGACTGAGAAAAGCTAAAATTTGTTCATCTATGAAAACCAATCAACAAGCCCGTCAAATTTCTGGCATTTATAGAATATCGACAATTTTGTCAAAGTTCTCATAGATTGCAATAGTTTTCGTTTTGTTTTATTACTAATATTTATATTCGTTTAAACTAAAATGAATTTCACTGCTGAAACATTAAACAAATGAAATGTGAGAGAATGAAATTTCACACAAAACTACTACTAATTATGTGATATTATTTTGTTCTTTTTTCAAAATAATTTTCCTTCCTGTAGGGAATAAATTATTAAAATTTTGTTTTGATTTAGTTAATAATGAGATATTTTTTGATTTGAAAATTTGATTTACCACAAATTAAGACTTTTTAATGATGGTGATTGTTATTAAAATTTTTTTTCATTATATTAAAATCATATGAAAAGCAAAATGTCACAAGTGCCTTTTAGCAGCGTTTCATTAATTATAATTATATGAAAATTAAAAATTTCAAATATATACACTAGCTATATCATTATTACTTTATATTTTTTTTCTAATTCAAATGAATAACAATGACAAAAAATTATTCAAAATAAGTTTAGGTTTTTTTTGATATCAAAAAATAAATGTTTCAATTGCAATCTCAACAAAAAAAGAAGAAAATATGATGAATAAAAGTGGGTTTTATTCGTCATTTCTTTTTTAAATTCATGGAATAAATTTAAATGATAATCATATCGATAAACCAATAACAGAATATTTTATCATAACCACAATGAATACATAGTGAATATTAACAAAAATATTTTCCATTATAAAATGATATTCGGGAAAAATTTGAAAACAAAAAAAATTCCTTTCAAAATCGATAATGAATAAGGTGTGAAAACAAATAACATATTGTATAAATAAAAAAAAATATAAAAGAAAAATAGTCAAACAAAAACATTAGAGAATAATTTCATTGTTGTTGTCTATTGTTTTATTCGTTTGTTTGTTTTTCTCATTCCATGGAATGCATTCAACGTTTCTGATTCTAAAATATCTTTTGAAAAAATTCTATATTAAAAAAAACCATTTTTTTCTATTCAATGTTTTGTTGAAGTTAATAAATCAAAACTTTTAAACTATATGAATACTTTTTCATTGATCATATTTATTTCTAAGATAGGATAGTAAAATAGTTAATTATACACAATTTCAGAATCTAAAACTGAATATTAAAACAACAAGGAGAAAATTTTCGTCTTGAAGAATGAAATAACAATCTTTCGAAAGGGAAATGAATCAGGCCATAACGGAAGACGGAAAAAAACTATTAGCTATTAAGTGATCAAAATGATGATCAACAAACTAAAAAAATTTTTGTTTTTTTTGTTTTGGTTGACTGATTTGACAGGAAAAAGGTAAAGAGAAAAATCACTCACATATGAGGCAAACGAAATTCTGGATCAAGACCGTTGGCAAGCAATACGTCACTATTATTATAATCAAGATTGAACCAGCCTTCATTCAAGAATTCTTCGCTGCTACTATATTCATCATTATTAATATCGGTCACAATGTCTGGCATGAATGAGTGAATCAATGTATGAGATGCTGACCTCTGATTGATAGCATCAACATCCATATTTTGATGTACATATTTATGAAGATTATTATCCACAGTATTGACACTATGAATTTGTCCAATAGCAATAATATGACCACGATTATTGCCACCAGTCGCAAAAAATAACAATAAAGGCAATGTTGATGTTGGTATCATCATTATTGTGGAATTATAAATTGAATTTAATCACCGATTATGTCACCGACAAAATCAACGTGAAAAAAAATTTGAAATCGGATTACATTATTTTTTTAAATTGAGAATAAACTGATGTTTAACATTCGATTTAAAATGATCATCATTTATTAATGCAATTAAGATTTATCACTAATAAATATAGAAAAATAATATTATGTTTCGTTTTTTTGTAGCAACACTTGAAAAATGAAAATTGGAAAATTTGAAAAAATTTTGATCAGACCAATTTTTTTGTTTTTTCGTTTGACCAAATGAAACAAATGATCCGTTGTTTTTCAATGATATCACATAATAAAATGAAAACTGAATTCTTGTAACTATTTCCGTGAATACACATATTAGCAATATTTTTTTTCCAACACTTGGCTAATGGATTCTGCGTACATATGGAAAGTATCTGGCCAAAAAAAACCGTGTTCGGAATTTGATGCTTCCACTGTTAACTTGATCGTCTGATCTGTAGGCGTAAAAACCAAAATGAATAACAAACAGGTGACTTCGAACATACAAAAAAAAATGATTTCAAAATATATTCTGAATGACAAGATTTTTTTTATCTTTTGTTAAAATCTTTTTTTTTGACATTATCGTTTTATGTGTAATTTTTCAACTAGAAATTTATTTCATTCTCGTTCCATATTTGCTATTTTTCAATTAGATTTTTGGGATTTGTTCAAAAAAAATATATTCAGTTAATAAAATGTATTTACAGAAAAAATACAGTATTACAGCGATGAATTTTCTTTATGAATCGAGACAACAGCAAAACTGAATGAAAATGAAAATAAAAATGAAAGCAACAAAAAAAAGATTAAATGAAAAATTTTCCTCATTTCATTTTTTCATTTTGAATCGAGTCAAATTCAATTTGTAATTTAAAATGAAAAAACTTTCATTTCAAACGGAAACTTTTATGCAACTAAAAACTGAGAAATCAAGAAAAAAATTCATCAATGCCAAGATTTTTCTAGCCATCATTGCATTCTTTTTGTTACGATAAAATCATTCGTAAAAAGTTTTCAATTTTGGAGGTATTAAAATCCAAATGAACAAATAAAAAATTGTGAAAAATGAAAAATGTAGCTGTCATCAATGATGCTGATGTTTTTTTTCTAATATTATTTTTTATTAATATTTCTCATAGTTTAGACAATTTTATTTACAAAAAAAAATTAAGCTTTTTGATTGTCTCACTCTGTTTCTCTCTAAAGAAAGAAAAAATCGATGAGGGCAATCTAAAAAAATCATCAAATTAAACGAAAGCTAAATACAAAAGTACGTTCGAGTAACCAAGATCCACCAACAAATACACCATCTGAAACCATAAAAAAATGTTCATAACAGACAAAAATGTTATTGATTATGGCTATATTGTAAAATTGAATACAAAAAAAAGAACTTCGTTTACAAATGTGAATGAATTTTTTAAGCAAACAATTCATCATCCAATTGGATAAGAATAATCTAAAAAGAACAAACTATGGCAAACAAGTAATAAAAATAAATTAAACAGCCGTTAGAATGGAATCTCATCGAAATAAATCTTTACCCAAATGTGATCAATTCACGAATCTTGTTTAATGCCTATTATTATGATTGATAATTTTAATATTCAATAGCATTAAAAGTGGCTATAGTAATGAAACTTTACAATCGGATCAAACGAAGAAAACAAAAAGAGACTATAATCTACTAAAAATGTCTGTCATCATCATACTCTAGAGAAAAAATTTCACAAAAACAAGAATGAGGATAATGATGGAAACAAAAACTGAAAAAATTCATTTCTATTTCAAATTTCAATTTGAAGCAAAAAAGAAAAAACCAATGGTTTTTTGGGCCTGAAAAAACAAGCAAATTTAGTGCAAACACTTGAAATTAAAAATTTACCAAAAAAAAATTCATTCATTGTTATCGTTTCAATTTGATTGAAGAACTGAAATAAAAATCCATTATTCCCATTATTTCATTTTCCTTTTCATGAAAAAAAATTCCAATTCTAAATTGCTAACAGTTTGATATGCAAATGAATGAAGTAGTCGTTCTTTGGAAAAAATTAAATTACATTATCTAACTAAAACAAATAACAAAACGAATGAAATTGATGTAAATAAAACAAAAATATAATTATAGACGTTTTTGTTTCTCGTTTTTTGTTTTTTTTATTTGAAATGACAAATTTTTTTTTCACTATCGATTCGAAAAAATCTTGGAATATTTGCAAACATTCGAATATAATAAAGAAACATATGACTCTAATAATAATGAAAAAGAATCTGTACTGGAATTATATTACATCGAAAAACCATCAATTTTGTAAACATCGTCCAATGTAATGATCTAGTGATAATAGAGTTTTTTTTGTTGTCATATCGAAATCTGGAACATTGATATGGATGATAATAACTATCATAAAAAATTATAAAGGGAAAGAGGTCACAATGATCATAAAGTATAATATTAAAAAATCTGTCATCTTTTAAAGCATTTTATAGCATTTAGCTCATTAAAATTCAAATGTAATTACACAAAGTAATAACGATGATTATATTCATGTGATTATAAAATCAAATGAAAAATGATCAATCATAAATAAAATAATAATGTTAAAAATCTCGATAAACTCATTAATTAATTAAATGACAAATGAAAAATATATAAAAAAAAGGATTTTTGCAATTCAAATTTGTCTTATTATTTGGACTAATTAATGATGATTTCTCCCAAAATTTTAATCCCTATATTTTCATTATTATGCATAGTGTTTGCTAATAATGAAAACTTAAGTGAATATGATGGACTAAAAGTGATTCGTGTCCTGCCAGTGAATCATTTTCAAATGATTTCATTGTTGAACATTGAAGATGATGTAAGTGTATGCGAAACAAAGTCGATAGATTTGTTTTTTATTTTGATTATTATTTGAACAAACAGATAGATTTCTGGCGTCGGCCCGATCAAATCAATCGATTTGCTGACCTCATGATAACACCAAACAATAGTCAACGTGTGATGCAATATCTTTCATCACGTAATATTGGCTATGAAATTCTTATCGATAATGTACGTGCGATTGTACAAAATGAACGCAATCAAATGGCAAAAATAAGAAAGCAACTTGAAATGCTACGTGGTAGTGATATAACAGTTGGATTTTGGCAAAGTTATCAAAGATATGAAGCTATTGAAAATCTAATGAATGATTTGCAAGATAAATATCCCAATTTGGTTCACAAAATAAATTTTGGGAAATCATTTGAAGGTCGAGAATTGAATCTGATGCGTATTGGAGCGAATAGTAATGAAAAAAAGCCGGTTATATTCATTGAAGGAGGAATTCATGCTCGTGAATGGATTTCAACTGCTTTTGTTACACATTTCGCTAATCGATTGCTCATTGGTTATGAGAATCACGAAGAAGATATAAAAACATTAATGGAAACGTTTGATTTTTACATTGTACCTTTGCTCAATCCTGATGGCTATGAATACACTCATACAAAGGTAAACTACGCTTTAAAAATTCTTAATTAATATTGGACATTTACTCGAACTTTAGTATCGATTATGGCGAAAAACACGCTCCACACAAAAATCTAGCTCCTGTTTTGGAGTCGATCCAAATCGCAATTTTGGTTATGAATGGGGTGGAGAAGGAACAAGTTCAAATCCATGCAGTGAAATCTATCCGGGTACAAAAGCATTCTCCGAACCAGAAGTTAAAGCCGAAACCGATTATATAATGAATAATTTGGCTGGTCGAGCATTGGTGTATGTTGCTGTTCATTCATATGGACAATATCTACTCTATCCATGGGTAAGCATCAGTAAAGAAATTAGAACAATCGGTTGATGAAACATGTTTCTTTTAAATGGTAGGGTTGGACTGATAAGCCTACTCCGGATAATGACCGCTTAGATAGTATGGCTAAATTAGCTACCGAAGAAATGGCTAAACGTTATAGTTCCAAATACATTTATGGAATGTCAACAAAAGTTTTATGTAAATATTTTTTTCTTATTTTTTGTCATTACAATTTATCTGTGAAAAATCACTATCATTGACAACCATTTTAGATGCTGCTGCTGGTGCTGGGGATGATTGGGCATATGGTTCAGCATCGATACCGTATTCATACACACTTGAATTACGTGACGAAGGTTATTATGGATTTCAATTACCACCTGAACAAATTATTCCAACTAGTGAAGAAGCTGGCGATGGTTTGATTGCCATGCTATTAGCTATTCAAAAAAATGATTTATAATTTAATAAAATTACAAATATCAAATCTAGCGACAATTTTGTAAAGCAAAAAAATTGAAAAAAATGTTTGTTTGCAACAAAATTATCTTATTTTTTTGTAACTATTAAATGAATATTGTTTTTTGTATGATAAACATACTAAAAATAAAGAAGATATTGTTCAAGAATCGGAAATTTTTGAACAATTTTATAAAGATTATCAAAGCTGTTAATATTTTATGGGATTCCCATTAGGGGAGTTAAAAACAACTTGTGATAAATGATAAATAAATTGAAAAAAGTGCAATCGATCTTATTGTTGACCGTAAACATCAATAACCGAATGGATTTGTTTGTCATGTAATTGTGTGCGTTTCGAACAAATAGAAAAATCAATTTTATTATGAATCATATCTTATGACTGCCAAAATCATCAAAAAAAAATCAGCCCATAAATTAGATTTGTTTGGATACAAAAGTTCAAAAAAACAGAACCAAGCAACTTGTTGACAATATTAAATATTTTCATGTAAGTTTATTGTCATTCAATAAGAAAAATTTTTTATCAAAAAACCGGAGATCACAATGTACTCTATGTTAATGATATGAATGAATGAAAGAAAGAAATTCATCAATGATAAAATCGCGAGTAAAAGCGGAAAATCCTTGAAAATTATATTCATAAACAAAAACACCGTTATTAGTGAAAGATGAACGGGATGTTACAGATATATATGATTACATGAAAATCACGATCATCAACAAATCTATTCGATGATCGGATACTTTACTTTAAACATACAGAGCGTATAAATATCATAGCCTTGATGATATAAATAAAAAAGTGGAGTGAAAATAAATTTAAAACTCATCGCGATATTTGTAGTTGCTTCGTTTTTTCTCTATTGGAAAGTGTTGTTAAATTTTATTCAATTCATTCAGTTAATAATCAAGTAAAGGAGGTGTACAAAACGAATCATTGAATACTGATCAAAGTGATTTATGATTATTTCGAGCAGCAATATGATATGACGATTTGTGGCATAGAATCAATGAAAAACGACAACAACGAAAAAAATCGAAACGTTCAGCAACAAATAAACAGCAAAAAAAGTGTTAGACACAGCAGAAAAAGTTGGTTATTGTGGTAAGGTAGTTTTAATTGAAATAAAGCTATACCATTATACAACATCAACTATGTTCCATGAATAGAACAATGCAACAATTAATTCATAATTGATCGATCATTTCTAACAAAAAACGAACATACGAAAATTCTTCCACAAGTAGCGCTGATCAAATATGGCTACAAAATTTGAAAATGTTGATGAAAATGTTGAAAATGAAAATAATAAACAAATCAATTCAAATGATTTTACCGGTGGTTTTGGTTGGTGGCAAATGAATATAACTATTTTTTATTTTGTTGCCTATATTTTGACTGCAATCAACAATTTGGGCTACGTTTTTCAGGCAGCTAATACTGATTTTCATTGTGTTCATCCAATCATTATCACACCAACATCAACAATTGATTCGATTACGATAAATAATGATCTCGATCCATTACATTTGAATAAATCATCGACAATAGACAATTTTTTTTCAACACCGAGTTCAATCTCAAATTATTCATCATCATTATCATGTGAAAATGTTAAATATTGTTCGAAATTGATTTATAATAATTCAATAGAATTCGATGAAACAATTACATCAAAGGTGATGCATTCATAATACCATGGTTTCGACAGAAATTCTTATCTTCTTTTTAATCTTTAGTTTGATTTAATTTGCGGCAAAGAATGGCTGCGATCTTTTTCACAATCCATGTATCAATTAGGTTTTGTGTTCAGTGGCGTAATAATTGCATGGATTTCTGACAAATATGGACGGAAATTCGCACTACAGGTTTCAATCGCATTCGAATTACTTGGAGGCCTTTTGTTGATTTTATCACCATCTATTCTATTGTTTACGTTATCCAGATTGATACTGGGATTCGGCGATAGTGGTCGTGGAATGTGTTTGTACATGTTATTGATGGAAACGGTAAATTTTTGATGCTGATTTTATTCAACTAATTGTTTTTGTGTACAAAAGGTGGGAACAAAAAGAAGATCAGACGTGATAATGGTTTGTAATTTTGGTTGGATAATTGGATATCTCTTACTTCCGATTTTAGCATATATCCTACATAATTATATTATAGTCCAATCAATAGCTACCTTGACCATGACAATGATGGCAGTTTTTTGGTTGCCATATCTACCGGAATCACCAAGATGGTTGCTGGCCAATGAAAAATATGAAAGAGCCAAAACAGTCCTGAAAAAGGCATGTAAACGCAACAATCGAGTTGAAGTGGTCAACGAATTTGAATTCAGATTTGAATCGTTGAAAAACAAAGCTAAAAAATTGATAACCAACGGCAAAGAAGTGGAAGAACAAGATCAACAACAATCAAATGGTGAAAAAGTGACATTTTGGACAATGGTGACAAATAAGAAATATTGTATGATGACAATGATTCTGTGGTTTTCATTTTTTGTCAATGGTTTCATTTATCATGGTTTTTCATTAAATGTGGAGATACTTGGGGGTAATGTTTTTATCAATTTTGCTTTGGCTGGCCTTGTGGAAATACCAAGTGTTGTGATAAGTTTGATTGGAATGCGTTACATCGGACGGAAAGCATTTACAATTTTTACCATAATTTCAGCTGCTTGCTGTTACGCAATTATAGCTACATTCCGTTTAGCATGTGATGATCTATCGGATAATGACATCATGTTGGTAACATTAAGTATGCTGGGCAAAATGTTCATATTTGCTACCTTTAATGCCATCTATATTCATGCGGGAGAAATATTTCCAACAAGACTTCGTCAATCTGGTGTTAGTTCATGTTCCGTTGCAGCTCGTGTTGGTTCAACTATTGCACCATTCGTCAAAGATTTGGTAAGTAAGAAAAAATGTTTTGAATTTCTCAAAATTAATTTTGAAAACTTTATTATCATTAACAAAGACAATGTCATTTGGATTGACAAATACAATCTTAATGTTCACAGTGTTATCATTAATGGCCGCTATTGGAACATTTTTTCTACCTGAAACCAAAGACAAAGATTTGGTCGATACTCTTGAATGAAAATTACAACAATTAGGAATCAATAATGAAAATTCAATTTTTATTTTTTGAAAAAACATTTTTTTGTAAAATAATAGAAATATATTTTTTCCATATTTAATCTTTTTCTTCTGCAGCCAAACGATCTTTTTTGAGAGGACCCTGTTATTAACAAAAAAAACAAGACATTCCATTAGCAATTTTAATTCATGAGTTGATTGTAAAATGATGAACGAGAAAAAAAATAATCAGAAGGAAGGCAGAAAGCATAGAAAAAATTATCTTCATTGCATGAATTCTGGGCAATGCATTCATCATTTGAAACAATTATCGGCGAAGATTGCCATTTTTCAAAATAATTCTCAGAATAAAACTTACCATAAAAGCTTTCTTTTCTTGTATAGTTTGGAATTTGCCATGGCCAAATTTCGAAGATGTATCAATAAATTTCAAATTGATCTTTTCCAATGCAGAACGTTTAGTGTGCACCAATAGTGACTGTAAGGAATCAAGACATAAAATAATTAATTTTCATTCAGCGAAATTGAGTTTTTTAAATGTTAATTGTCTAATCAGTCCTATCATTTCCATAATCACTGAATTTTTCATTATTATAAATAAAAGGCTCTAAATGATATTATCATCATTCTTTTTTTGCAAATTAAAATGAAAGAATTTTCAAAATAAAATTTACCTTACGAAGAGTCAACACACGTTTTTTCGGTCCGGTACAACATCCTTTGATCATAATGTAATCACAATTGACTGTACCATAATGTGGAAAACCACCCTGTACAAAAAAAAAACGCAATAATTTTTCATTAAAATTGTAGAGGAAAATTGTATTATAGAATCAATGAAATAAAAATCTCAGTCCGCCCTGGTTTTCCGCAATGGTAAATTCGCAAAATACGAATACTTTAGGTGCAAGGATAAAACACTTGTTTTATCATCACAATTATACAATCATAAATAAAAAAAATTAAGAAGATATTATTTGCTTACCATTGGCGTAATGTTTTTTTCGGTGATATCATACTGTGTGGAAGCATTGTTTTTGGCATCTTTACCACCTTTACCAATCTTGTAGATCTTTTTATTGATCTCCGTTCGATGATGGTAACCTTTTTGACCGGCACGGGCAACCGAAAATTGCACACGACTTGGATGCCATGCACCAATACAAGCGACTTTTCTTAAACCTTTGTGGGTCTTTCGTGGCAATTTTTTCGTATGCCAACGTGATGTTACACCTTTGTAACCTTTACCTTTGGTCACACCAATAATGTCGATCATTTCATCTTGAGCGAATACATTTTCAACAGGTATTGGTTTTTCAAAATGTTCACGTGCCCAATCAACTTTATCCGAAATGGTCCCACCATTCAGTTGAACTTCCATGACATGTGATTTCTTTTGTCGTTTTTTCATTACTTTCATCTGAGTGTGAGCAATTACACGCACAACACTACAATATTTTTTGATTCGAGCCAAATCTTGATCGATTTCACGTTTGCCAGATGGATCGGCCCATTTCTTTGCATACTTTGTGAAAGCCTTTTTCTTAGATTTGTACCTATAATTCGAATTCAACAAATGGAAAAATTCAGAAAACCAAAACCGTCAAGAATAGCCTCATCACCATTATGGTGAGCGGAAGCACATTCAATTTTAATGCGATTCGTAGTGAGATCAAAGATCGATAGCTCATATGAAACCAAAACAAGAAAATTGTTTGGTACCACAGCGGAGCACGATGAAATCCATTCGAATCAAGCTTAAATTGAAAACCAACAGTAAATTTAAATTAAATTATTACCAATTCTTGTAGAATCGTCGTCGACATTCTTCACTCAAATGTTCAGCCCAAACAGTTTTGAACGGACGTAAACCTTTTGGTGTTTCGATATAACCAACGACACCGACAACGACCATCGGCGGTGCTTCCAAGATTGTAACAGCTTCAACGACTTCTTTTTTATTCACCTTTGATCCTGGCTTATCGACTTCACGAACGATATGAGTCATACCAGCTTTATAAGCAACAAATGCGGTCAAATGAATCGGTTTGCTTGGATCATCTTTGGGGAAAGCCTTAACTTTACCACGATGACGCTTGCTTCGTTTTTTTGGAGTGAATGCCAATGAACCATGACGTGGAGCTGAAAATTTACGATGAGACTATGAAATAAATATGATGAGTTAATTAAAAGTTCAAAAAATTGATGATTTTACCATTTTTAAAACTTAAAAAATTCAAATTCAAAAAATTTTAGAAAAAATCACTCGGCAAGCATGAAACACGTCGACCGATGTGAACAAGCGTGCTTGGGAAAAGGAAATTGTTTGGCCAATTTCTTCTGCATGCCAACATGTGCATTTTCGAACAATAATGTGCGCATGTACAAACTGCTGCAGCTAAATTGACTTTTTTTGCTTTCTTCGGTGTATTTAGACATTGTAAAGGATTTTTTTCAATTTCAAACTCATTTACCCGAAAATTGATACCTTACAACATTGGAAAATTGGAAATAATCTGGAAAACCTAATGATTATAAAAGAATCTGTTGACATCTCTATAAAAGATGAGAAAAATCTGAATCTTCAATCAATTATTTTAAATAAAAGAAAAAATTATATTTGAATCCGGTAACCAAGGCGAATTTCAAGTTAGTCAAAATGTTCCAATTTTTTAAATATCTTTAATAATTAAGAGACCATGTTATTGTTAAGAATCTATATTTTTATAATTGCTGAAAAAAATTTGATCCGATTAGTGTTTCAATTTTTTTCCAAACGTAATTATATCAATGTAATTTATGGATGATATTAAAATCCCAAATCAACATGTGTTTTTGTTTGATTTCCTTATTCCCTCTATTCAAACAAACCTCATGTATGCATAAGCGTATGTGTGAGCAAAAATTGTAAACCAAACAGCAAATTGCAATATTTATACCCAAAAAAAAATGTTATTGAAAAAAAATTAATTCTGAAACAAAATATCGAAACGATTTTGTTTCATTTGAAATCAAATTACATCGAAAAAAATTTCAGGATAAATTTATAAGAATCTTTTTTAAAAAAATGATATTCATGTGAACATCATAAGTAAAAATACTATTTGAACATCACTTTTCAAAGTATCATGAAATCACATATTTGATCTGATCTCAACAACTTGGTGAAATAATTGTCCTTGACTTTTTATTATTGCCCTTATGCTTCAGCTTAAAGCTAGTTAATTTTATATATTTAGCTTTCATCTAAGTGTATAGTTTCAGTTGTTGGCTGAAAATTTTTTTTTGCCATCAAAAGCAATTTTTTTACATCCATTTTTTTGTACATGTTTCGGCAAATCTTGATTTTTCTCTCTTCTTCTAATTCCTCGATAATATTTTATCAACAACATCGACATCAAAAAAAAAGGCAAACAACACTTCCTTAAAAGTTCGAGGTTAGTTACATAATCAATTTTTTTTTCTTCATTCCTTTTCTCTTTTAGTTTCGAATGTTCGATGACCTTAATCATTTGAATTTTCATATAAAACTTAATCTTGGGTTGCCCGGCAGCAGCCTAACAAATATAAATCCAAATAAACATCAAAAACAAAGAAGAAAATTTCAAATGTGAATGAACTAAATTCGAAGTGTTTTTGTTGTTTTTTTCATTATTTTTTTTTAAAAAAATTTCTTGCTATTGGGAACAAAATAAAAACAAAGAAAATCTCTCATCAAAAAATGAAATCGTGATAGTTATTTTGCCCGTGATAGTCATAGTTCTAGATAATGATTATTCACAAAATCACTTTCACTATGTTTGAATGTGATCCAAATCTTCACATCATTATCTCAGTTGTTGAATCTTCATCATCATTTGACATCAAACAAAATTTCTTCAAAAAAAAGTAATGTTTTTAACATCAATATCATATTAATCTATATCGTTATCGAAAGATAAAATGACATTTAATCTAATTATATTCTTATCATTTTTTTAAAAATAATTTTTTATTTACAAATTTACCATTGAACTAAATTGAAAAAGAACGATTGTCATTCAAAAAGTAATCATTTTTTATAATTAGTGATAACAGACAAAAATATTCGAATTCCAATAAATTATAGACAAATCTTCTATCACAAAATCATTCATAAACTTTTTTTTTAAAAAAAATGATAAAAATATTTCATCAAATCAATTGGGCTTTTTTCAATCATTAACAACGTCACTATCATCATCGAATGATTTTGTTTGTCGTCAAATTTGTCAAATGATTGAATACGAAAAGGAAAAATATTTGATCAAACACCAATTGTAAATTTAATTACGCAAATAAATTTTAAAAAACTCATTTAGCTAAATAACCGGTTTTATTATTTTTTTCATCTTTTTCTTCATTACACACACGCACATATCTCATACACACTCGATTCATTTAACACATTCATTCGATGAAAGACTTTTTTGGGTAAGATTATCATTTTGATTTGTTCTGTTCTGTTCGATTTTTCATTTCAATCCTGTGTTGGTGATTGTGTGATACGTGAACATTCGATCACATTGATTGTTTTTTTTCGTTTGTTTTATTTTTTTTTTCTTCTCGGTGTTATATTACAAAGTAACAATGAGAAAATTCGATTTTCAACATCGATAAAATTGGTAAGCAATCAAGAATTTTTTTCTCCTCGATTATGTTTATGTAAATGTAAATCAATTATGAAAATTCCTTGTTTAAAATTTTTTCAATTTGTTTGTCCATTGATGTTTTTTCAATGATAAACAAACAATGCCATAGAATTTCTTTACATTTTTTCCTTAATGATATTTTTGTCCCAATAAATAATCAATAATAGTGACGTATTATTGAACGATTTTTTCGACATTCAATGAATGGTAATACAAACAATGAAAATAAAATTTCCCCATCATATTGAGTTATTGGTCATTTGAATTTGTAATTGATCTATCTTGATTGACGTATATCATACTTATTATTTTTGAATAATGTTAAATAATTGTTTGTTTTTGTTTACTGTGAAATTTATTATTTGCAGCCGAAAAAAAACCAATAAACCTATGATTGCAATTAAGATTCGAAAAAACGATTAACATTTAAACAACCATGTTATTTTGAACTGCTCGTGGTTTTCTTTTTTGTTTTTACACATACGTCAGACATTTCATTTCCTCAATAATGAATAACGTCAAAGTTTTTTCATTAATAGAGACAAGGGGGGATTCGATTCGTAATAAATTTATTAATTTTTTGTTTTCAATCATGAATTTTTTTTTTGATTTTCATATATTGACGAGGATAATTTTAACTTTTGGTTAACAATAGTTTAAACCAGAAACAAAATCCATGATCAACAGGTACCTGATGATGATTATTATGATTAAATGTGTATTAAAAAAAGTTGAATATACTTGTTTTTTTTTGTTCGGGACATGATCATTTGATTGATTGTTGCTTATAAGAGATTTGATTGTATAGATTATCTGTATATATCCATTTGATCGTTTTCTATATCCTTCACTCGATATTATAATCGGATTCGATCATCATACATAAATTTTCTTGATATCGAATCTGTCCATCATCATTCTTTATTGATTTCGGGTGTTTAACAACAAACAAGTTCAACATTCTTAACTGTTGATTGATGAAAACCTTTCACTTCATTTTTGTTGATTTTATTGGTTTTTTGCATTTGTGTTGAATAACTAATCAATCATGGCTAATATTTTTGTATGCTATTTTTTCTATGCATGAAATTTATTTTGTCAAAATTATTATTTTTTCACTAACAATTTAATTAATTTTTTTTTTATTTTCAATTTTTTTCAGACTATACCAATAACTACTGAAAACGATAAAAATAAAAGTGAACATTCGATCGACGACAATTCATATATTCAAATTGTAGTTACTGTTCCAGATTTTAATAATAATAACGAAAAAGATTCGAAAGAAAATAAGGAAGAAATTATAACTATTGTAAGCGCTGATAATCAAGCAGGACAATTACCAATCATGCCCCCAAACGCTGATTCATCCGCTACAACTACCATTTTTGAACAAAAAACCGAATCAAATTATCTTGATGCTGATGATGTAGATCAGACAAAATCATCGGCTAATCAAAATGGTGTAAGGCTACGCGGTCATCAACAAATTGATAATGATGTTAATATTGGCCATCAACCAAATCAATTGATGATGGTATCAAAAAAATTGGTTGAAAAAGCCGGTACTATGGAACATGCAATGATGTGCATGTTACATAATGCATGGAATTTACGACATTTTCATCACCTACCACAGTGGCTACAGGATAATGATTATTTATTATTCGGTCATCGACCACCATTAGCTTCGTTCACAGCATGCTTTTGGTCAATTTTTCGATTGCATACGGAAACAATGAATATATGGACCCATGGCCTCGGATGTATTACTTTTGTTTTATTAAGCATTTATCTATTTGTAGCCAGTGCATATGCAACGATACCGATAATTGATAAAATAATGTTAGGTATTTTTCTCTGCACTGCCATACTTTGTTTGGCATTCTCCACTTGTTATCATACACTTGCATGTCATTCACATCAGGTTTTAGTTTTGGTTTGCAAGTAAGTTTTTCAAGTGATTTTTATACCTTATATCTTTAAACAATTCTTTTTTCGCTTTCATTTTCACAGACTGGATTATTGTGGTATTTCATTGTTGATTGCTGGCTCAATTGTTCCCTGCCTTTATTATGCATTTTATTGTTCATTTTATTCACAAATCACATATACAATAATGACAATTTCCCTTTGTGCTGCTTCCGTGACTGTATCATTTTCGGCAAAATTTTCTGAACCACAATATCGACCATTACGTGCTACTGTATTTTTTTCATATGCATTCTTCAGTTTTATACCGGCTGTTCATTGGTTTTTGGTACATTCCGATGATGAAACTTTTTATCATTCATCATTTCGCACCGCAATTTTTTGTCTAGCAGCAATGGCCATTCTTTATATCATTGGTGCTGTTCTATATGCATCGCGTATACCGGAGCGATTTTATCCTGGAAAGTTTGATTTCTATGTAAGTTTTATTAAATCAAATGAATTATTTCAATTTATTTATTCGTTTTTATTTCAGTTTCATTCGCATCAATTATTCCATATATTTGTGATACTGGCTGCCATTTGTCATTTACGTGGCATAACAAGTATGGCCGATTTTCGTCTATTCGTACAACAATCAACTTGTCAATTGTAAAATTCTAACGTACTAATTTGACAATGAATGTAAATAAATTTGATCGAAATCATATCAAAAAAAAATCGATTTCAATGGACCCAGTTTCCTTTCATTATTATCATCATTAATTTATGGACGAATTTTCCGCTCTTATCATCATTAGAAGAGAGTTAAAAAATTAATTAACCAAAGACGGATTAATCGTTATTTATTAAAGTCTTATTCGTGCCTGTAATTTTGTATTGATGATATTTATCCATCTTATCTCATCCAATTATTTATATTGATTAATTTTCTAAATTATCAGTCATATTTATTCTATTTTAATGATAATAAAAATATCGATGTATGTATCGAGTGAAGAGTAGATCGAAATTGGAAGAATGTTCATTCCTTTGGAAAAAATTGAAAAACAATTCAACGATGTTGCAACATTTAAAATCTTATCATCATGTTGATAAAAAGTCGGCCTGATCTTTAACAATCATGAACAATAGATGGCGATATAGTAATTTTTTTTTGAAAATCATGGTTCGAAATTCAAACAAAATCATCATTTCTAATCTTTAGAATTGATTTTTTTTTTGTCATTGCCCTTGTTTGTTCATGTTTCACAATGATTTTTTGATTGAAAATCATGATCGCCTCGAAGTTGTTGGCAATCGAATGGATTTTTTAAATATTTAATTTCCAGTTTTTTTTTGTAATGAGGATTCAAATTGTTTTCTGATCAAGATTTATGGAGAAAAAAACGATACAAGCCAAAGTTTGTCGGCAAACAAAATATGTATGCAACCATTGGAAAAATTCAAATTTCCTCTCTTTCTCTCTCTCTCACACACACATTTTTTTGTCAATTGATTTCATATCCCATTACACAGGCCTTGTGTGTAGACAAAATTAATAAAACTAACAGATTGATATCCCTTGTAACTATTAATTTTTTCAATTTAATTGTAATTTTTTGCTTTAATTGTGTTATCAAACAAAAACAAAATCCCTACAAAAAAAATTATTGCATGATCAATGAGAAGAGATTTTTTTTCATTTTGAATAACAGTTTTTGAAAAAAATGCACCGATAATCTTGATTTTGATGGCTAATTTTCAAACAACAATTTTACACTATGCTTACATGTGACGGAAAAGGAAATTATTTGTCATTTATTCATACACTATTTAAAGATAATAATGTTACTAACGCTTGATAAAAGGAAAAAGTGTCAAAGTTTATCGGAATTTTTTTTTGTTAAATTTTAAAATTTAACGTTATTTTTAGAACGACAATTTTTTTCGTGTTAGTTAACAAATTTGGTCAAAATTAGTGTATCAAAATTTATTTTTTGTTGCTGTTATTTTATTTGATGACTATGAAAAAAATTTGATAAAAACCCTATGGCATGAATGAAAGCAGTCGTTTTAGATGATCAATGTAATTTGATATCAAGTCAAATGAATATTGATTTAAAAAAAATATCTAATGTTAAGGAAAAAAATTCATAAAAACATTCAAATTTAAATAATTTAGCTACATCATCAAATATGATGATGCAAGATCAACATCGGGATAATTGACAAATGATTTTAATACAACAACAAAAACAAATCAATGGCCATTGCACTTGTTCAATGATTTATTATGTTAAACCATAATGATAAATGGAAAGAAAAACAAATTTTAAAAAGAGAATCTGCTTTCTCTAACAATAGACCCTTCTCTTTTACTTTTTTTCCCTATTGATCGACAACGTAAATTAATCGTCATTTTGATAAACAAAACAATAACAAAAACATTATCAATCTTAATTGATTTTCTGAGGAAAAAAAATGTCATTTGTGGTTGGTTTTGCTCAGCCATTACACACCATGTAATCGAATGAAATTCTATAAATGACCATCATCATGACTCAATCGATAATGATGAATTTTCAATAGAACGTCATTGAGTTTAATATGATTGACTATTGATGATGATTGGAAAATAGTGTGTTTCATTACAATTTTTTCCTGTGGCCTCTTACACTTTGTTTAATTAGAATTTTTTTGTCTTATCATTTATTTTTAATGAAAAAAAATTACTCGTTTCTTTAATAACTTTATGATGCCATAAGTCTTAAATGATTTTTCAGTTAAAAAAACATCATTTACATGGAAACTCGTGATTTCAAGGAACTCGCGCGCTCGTGTTTATAAACTTAAATTGAATCTAAATGAGAAATATACTGAATTATTCGATTTATCTATCTTTAGAAATTAAAAATTTACTGGAATTTGTTTCATTTTAATTAGACAAAAATAGGCGAAAATTTAATTATTAAAAATTTTTTTTTATTTTAGAATTCTTTTTTTATCGATTTAATTGGAAAAAGTGATTTTGTTGTTTATTATTGTTGATAAAATAAAATAAAAAAATTTGGATACTGTGGATACACTGTATCTGGACTTTGTTGATTGATAATGTATGTGTATATGTTTTACGTAGCTATCACAATAGAAAGTGGTCTGACGATCGTATCGACCAATCAGATTGTTGCTTGCGTGTCGTTCATAACATTGACGGTTTGTGGCGTGATAATTTCGAATGACTCAATCCTCAATCATTCTTTCTCTCTCTCTCTCTTTCTCTATTAACGGATTTCCGTAGTAGTAGTAGCATGTTATATTATACATACCACAAATCGAATGATATACACACAGGTATTTCAAACAGTTGAAATCGAAAAAAAAATTGCGGCGTAACAGTAATCAAATGAATGAATGGAATGAAAAACATGATGTGAAAATTTAATGATCTTCATTTAATCTATTGTCATCACAGGTGTATCTTGTAAAAAGATCTCGATTTGTTAACAAAAATGTACAATTTTTTTTTGTTCTGATGCAATTCGTTGTCATTCATTGTGATTATATTATGTTCATAATTTAAAAATATTGTTTGTTTTCTTTCCACTGTATGGTCACATTCAAAAACATTCATTTTTTTTGCCACCAAATTGCCCATCATTAGACAAGCAATAAACAATCAATGTATTTTTTGAAAATTTTTTGTAGAATATTTTCCACTATCATTCAAAATTACTCATTTGATTGATTGATTGATTAATCATCACAATTCAACAAAAATTTATCATTCGACATAATACCCGAGTACATTATTTTATTTCTAGTCTTATAGTAGATTTTTTTTTATATAAATATACAAGAATTATTTTTTCATCACATTTATTCGTTTGATAACAGTTAAACTATCACCCTTTTTTCGAAATTCGAAATCTGATCTTTATTTTTAAAGCGTGTTTTGAAAATAATATATTTTAGAATTACATCATTACAAAACAAACTAATAATTACAACGGCCAAGAATTAAGTCAAATGAAATTAAATCATCAACAACAACACAAGAACATTCGTCAAAGAAAAACTTAGTTGCCAAAAAAAAATTCCCTTGTCTTGCTATACTTCTTTGAAGTTATTTTTATTTGTTTCCCGATTATTTGTGTGAATTATATATATTCATTTTGCTATACACTTTAATCATCAGTGAACGCATCTGACATTGAAATTTATCTTAAAACAATCGTGTAAAAGTCAGAACAAAATTTCTGGCTCAAGTTTGTCTATAAAAGAAACATACAAACGTACAAACGAAATCGATCTTCAATTTTTAACAAACGTCGATCAAATCAATTTGATTTTATCATCTTCGAATATATATAAAAGCAACCGATTTGTTCATTTTTCATAAATTTTTTCTACACGCACACCAATACGCACATCACTTATTGTTTAATTAGTTGATGTGAATCTTATCAACAAAAAAAAACGTTCTTTTATGGTTAATGATAGTAATAATAAACATAAAAAACAACAGCCACCCTCTTCGAAAAATTATCAAAAAACGATAAAAGGACCAAATAACAACAGTCAATCTTCCAAATCAGCATCATCAAAGAATTCAACTAAACAACAACAGAAACGAATAAAAGACGGTGACAAAATGGCTGGATCAACTAGTTCTTCAACATCAGTCACAACTAATCATCAAACTTCATCCAAAAAAATGGGTTCAAAAATTTTGGCCACAATTCTAATCACTTTAATCAAAATTGTGAGTTGAAAATTTTCTTTTAATATTGACCAATTTTAATTTGCCTTTTTAAATGTATTTGTTTAGTTTGCATTTTTGTATAGCATCTTATCATTACCCATCTATTACTATGTTCAAAAACCATGGTTGATTGTAGAAAAAAGCCGTAAACCAAAAGCACGACAATTGGATCCTTCTAATCCTTACAGTCCATGGGTCCGTTGTACTGGTGAACCAGCACCAAGTTTAATTGATGATTGTGATACCATACATCAATTATTTGATCGTGTTGTTCAACGTTATGGTTCGAATAAAGCATTCGGTTACCGACCTACTATTGAAGAAACGGAAGATGTTCAATCGGATGGTCGTGTATTTCGTAAATTTGTTTTAGGAGATTATCAATGGATGACCTATATTGAAGCTAAAAAACGTATCGATCATATTGCATCTGGATTCCTTCAACAAGGTTAGTTATACTTTACTTAAAATTTTCTTTCCTCTTATCCTAATTTTTTCAAAATTATTCAAATTAGGTATTAAACATGGTGACATTGTAATGATCATGTCGGATACTCGTGCTGAATGGTTAATGTCTGCATTGGCTTTAAGTAAAATTGGTGCTACGGTTGCAACATTATATGCTACGCTGGGTGTTGATGGTATTATACATGGTGTAAATGAAACCGAATGCACGCACATCGTTACCAGTCAAGATCAGATGTCAAAATGGTTGAAAGTGTTGCCAAAAACACCACTCATATCTCGCATTATATATTTTCCCGGTTTAAAAAAGATGACCACAATTTTTCCGCCTGAAGTCAAGATCGTTTCATTCGCACAGCTTGAACAACAAGGTCAAATGCAACCATTGCCATCATTACCGAAAATTCGTCCACTAGATACAGCCATTATCATGTACACATCTGGATCAACTGGTATACCGAAAGGCGTCATGATCTCACAGCGAAATGTTCTTGCATCAGCCAAAGCTTATCATGCTATTGCTTACAATATGAAAGAAGATTATCGATATTTTGCCTATCTTCCGTTAGCTCATGTCCTCGAATTAGCAGGTGAATTTTTCTTCATGTCTGTTGGCATGTCTATCGGTTTTGGTACTCCGTTGACTATGACCGATAAATCAACTGGAATTAAAAAAGGTTGCCCAGGTGATCTCACGCTTTTGAAACCAACAGTTGTAAACGGTGTTCCTTTGGTATTGGATCGTATCTCGAAAGGCATTCAGGAAGAAATCGATGGTAAAGGCGAATTCGCTAAACAATTGTTCAATTTTGTTATTAATTACAAACGATATTGGACGAAGCAAGGCTATCAAACTCCGATCATCAATCGATTGGTTTGCAACAAAATCAAACAGATTATGGGTGGTAAAATCAAATATCTTGCTATCGGTGGTGCACCTCTTCGAGGTGAAACCCATGAATTTTTCCAGGCTTGTCTTGATGTTCAAGTGCTGCAAGGATATGGTTTAACCGAATGTGCAGCTGCTGGTACCCTAATGGATTTCGATGAATTATCGACTAGTCGTGTTGGTGCTCCATTATATGGAACCCAGGTGCGATTAATCGATTGGATCGAAGGCAATTATCGTGTCATGGATAAACCATTTCCGCGTGGCGAAATCGTTGTTGGTGGCCCAATGGTTACTAAAGGTTATTTTAAAAATGATCAACTTACACAAGAATCTTATCATGAAGATTCTAATGGTGTCCGTTGGTTTCATACGGGTGATATCGGTGAAATGTATCCTAATGGCACGGTGAAAATTATTGATCGTCGCAAAGATCTTGTAAAACTTCAATTCGGTGAATATATTTCGTTGGGCAAAGTTGAAGCAGAACTTAAATGCTCCACTTATGTTGACAATGTAAGTTATCTTTTTTATTTTCAACATTTTTGTTTAAACTTTTATTCGTCAAAAATCACAGATTTGTGTAATCGGGGATTCCCTTCATGATCATTTGATTGCATTGGTCGTACCAAATCCAAAAACTATTAAAACTTTAGCCGAATCTATGGGAAAAGGTTATTTAACTTATAAGGAAATCTGCAGTGATCAAGAGATTACCGATGCCGTAACAAAAAATATTATCCAATATGCGTCTAAACAGGGATTGCATAAGATGGAAACTCCAGCTCGTATTCATTTATGTTCGGAAGAGTGGCTTCCCGATAGGTATGTAATAATTTGATTTTTTCTTGACTTCGAATCTCACTTTTTTTCTTTACTTAAATAGTGGTCTTGTGACAGCTGCATTGAAAATTCGAAGGAAAAACATTCATGATTATTATAAATCGGAAATCAGAAATCTATACGGCCCGAATTCCCGTGCCCAATAAATTTTTCACCATAAATCATAACATTGATGGCTTGGCTTTTTTCCTTCACTTGAAATAAACAGATCATCATTGAAAATCATATATTTGCAAAGAAAAAACAATGCTACTTCGTGTGATACTCTAAGCTCATTTCGTTTTTATTTTTTTAAAAGAAAATCTGTCTATATAAATGATTATTAATTTATTCTTTTTACCATAAAAATTCAAATCATGAAATTAATTGAATGTAAATAATTTGTTTCTCTTGAATTTAAAAGAGTTTTGTGTAACATTTTTTTCATCAAAATGAAATCCTTCTAAAAAGTTCTACGTGAATTTTCGAGTTAACTTGTGATCAATCAATCTCACCCACTTTTTCTACCATAAACCACCGATACTCTGAATTTTATCGATCTGGTTATGATCTGAAATGCGTGATGTTTTAGTTTTAGTAAAAAAAACAAAAAAAATTGTATTTTTTGCGTAATTTTTATTTTTATAAATAAAATCATATAAAAAATAATGTATTTTTTGTATAATGATTATTTTGGAGGGTTAGCATTCGGTGGAAGAAATGGATTTTGTCCGCTCATCATGAAGGACTGATGGAATATTGAATTTTGAAATGATTGCATATGTTGTGGTGTGAGCGAAAGACCAGATGGAAAAGCAGAGGCTGCAGCACCCGTTGATGCCGGATGCAATAAACTTCCTGGCGGTGGTCCTGGTGGTTTTCCACTTTGATGCGGAGGATATGCAGAAATGAATGCAGGAATGTGTGCAGCTGTTGGATGAATCTGTGGATGACTTGAGTGGGCAGCGGCAGCGACTGCCGCTAAATTCAATGTTTGTAATGAAGTTCCAGCCGATGAAACAATAGTTGATGATTCATGTGATCGTTTATAACCAGCGGATGACCGCGGCTGACGATCGCTGCCAGTTGGTGGAATCGTTTGAAATGGTATAGCACCAGCGGCAGCTATTAATGCAGGATTCATCGATGATGGAGGTGGTTTATTGTAGATTGATGTGGATGGTAGTGGGGAAGCTTTAGAGTTTGAAATCAAAGAATATGGACTCGATACTGATGGCATCACATTAGGTAATGAAGATGAAGCTGTGGTTGAATTAGTGTGAATAGATGATCTTTGTTGTTGTTGTTGTCGTTCAAGTTGCGCAGCATAATTAGTGCTATAAACTGGCATCGTAACTGGAGGTGCAGAAAGAAAACGTTGGGGTGGCAGTTGCTTATTAGAACTCAATTGATGACTTCCAGTTCCTCCACTAGCGGTTTGATGCGCTCCATAAAACTGTTCAGGCAGTGGGAGAATTGTAGAATTTGGTAAAGTTGCAGAGATAGAATTCGGATTCGTTATTGTTAGTAAGTGTTGAGCTGGTGGAAATTTCAACGAAGCAACATTTCGATTTAATTGTGACTGTGACAAAGCTAAGGCCGATGAAGTTGCCGCTGATGATGAAGATGGTGGCATTGTTGTTAATGAGAGCGGTAATTGTGATCCAGGTCCACCAGATTGTGATGGTCCAAACGTCATATTCAGCATTACATTTGCTTCTTTTTGTCGTAGCAAATTCTTTCTACTATTATCTTCATTACAAACTTTTTTGAATTCAGCAAACAATTTATGTTTTTCACTTCCCAAATCAGCTAATTTTTTTTCCTTACGGGTGATTTCTTCTTTGATCTCGTCTAATGTCCGTTTATCAAGATTGTGTTTCAATTCTTTTTCCCGCTTTGCTCGTTTCAATTCTTCGCTCATTTCCATCTCTGTTATTGAACGTAAAACATTTGAAAATGTTTAGAAGTCATAAGAGGAAGTTGGATTAATTTTAATAATGGTCATATATTAATATAAACAAACCTTGTTTTCGTTTTTCATTTTGTCGTTGAATATGAATTCTCAGTCGCGGATACATTTCCATATTTCGACTTTTTTCAATCTGAAATGATCGTGTTTGTACAACAAAATGTTTCAGATGAGATTTATGTTGATGATTTAATTTATCGACAATCGATAAAGAAGCCATTGTCTTATATTAAATTTAAGAGGATAATCAATTTTTAAAAAAATTGATGAAGTATTTAAATGCATCAAGTTATTACGATAATAATGAAACAAAAAGGCGTCCATTTCGACCCAAATGGATAAACCCAATTTACAATTGCATTAATGCTCAATATTCTAAACACGCATGCGTATTTCGATTTATTATTTGTTGTTGTTGATTTAATGATTACACATCTTTCCATTGGATATATTATGGCGTCATAATCCTGAACACAACAAACCCTAAATACGATTGCATTGCAATTTGTTTCATTTTTAATTTAATTCATTTCTATCTTATTTCGAGTGGGTTGGAGTTTTTTCTTTTTCTTTATGTTTTTTTTTCATGGAAACCCTAATACCTCATTGAATAAATTACTTATCTTGTAAATTGCATATAATACAGTCAAGATTTCATTCATCCTCGATACCGATCATCATAATCATTATCATTCGAATCTTCATGGTTTGATATGTATTGGAAATTTTTTCTGATATATTTTATATGAATATAGAAATAACATCACAACAATTTTCATCGAGAGCGAGAGTAAGTTCGGATTGTTATATTTTTTTTATTTTTATTATTCATCTTGATATAAAAACATCATTGAGCATCATTGTCTACATCTTGATGGTTATTATTTTAGTTTTCCAAAATTTATTTCAATAATATTTGTTGTTGAATTTTGTGTAGTAATTCTCAAAATCAATAACTACCGAATGTTGGATTCATTGTTTCTATTAGTTTTTTATATTTGTTAGTTTGACTACTTCCCTCTCTTTTTTTACATTTAATTGAATGTGTGCTTGTATTATAAACATAACGGTATCCAACATTTATTATTAATGATGATTGAAGATATTTTTATTGTTATGGTTATGTTTATGTTTATTATTGTTGTACCATCACGGCAACCACTAACAACCGATGATAGTGATGATGAGGACAACGAACTTTCCTTGTATATAATCCCAACTCTTTCTTAAATCTAAAATTAAAAAATAAAATAAAATTTAACATATATACCTGTAATAGAGGGAAAACAACAATCAGAGAGAGACAATCGTCATCGAAACGACGACCACAACCTGTCTGATCTTCAACAGCCAATAGCAGTTGGAAATCCAGTCTATATCATAATTATATTCTCGAAATGTTACCCGATTTCTATTCCCGACCATCATCTTTGCCTCTTTTTGAATGATAATAGGAGAGTGAAGTTTAGAAAACCAACTATCCGTGTGTTTTACTCGATCATCATTATGATAGTTGTTGTAATAAAGCAGGTGATGAATATCTTCACTTTTGTTTCACTGTGTGAACGGCCATGGATAAAATATTTGAGATGAAAACAAAATCTGATAAAAACCTCGGTTCATTTACTCGAATTTTTTTAAATTTTATTTGATCTTTAAAAAAGTTATTCAAGAACGTATTACAAAAAGAAATTCATCGCAAAGCTAACTTCATTACAACAATTGAAGAGAATTTCGCTTTCTTCACGAATAATGATAACGTTTGAAAAACGATCAAACGTTGGTGATTAATTTTCTGTCTACTTTTTCTGAATAACCAATGTTCATTGTTGATTATATTTGGTTGTCATCAGCATTTGAATCAATCTTTTCAATTATTTGATGCCCCCATTTAATAATGATCAATATGATGATAGTTTTTTGGCCTTGTATATTTGACATTGTTTGTGATACCTTGAAATCATTCAAAATAATGATCGAATAAAACGATCAAGTACGTGAATATTTCGTAAAATAATTGTATATAGTTACATTTTTTGACAAAAAAAAACGATTATTAAATGAATGAAATGAGAAAATCTATTCATCTAATCGAAATGATGATGAAATTTTTTTTCTTTGTCATCGAGCAAAAAACATCTAATGAATTTCGTATTCGAAACGTTACCCGTTTTCATAAATTTCGATTATTTTTCATATATAAATTCAAAGTTTGTTTTAATCATTTTTTAAATTTTTTTACAGATTTTGTGTTGTATATTTATTCTTCCAAAATGAAAGGATTTATCCTATCACCCATTGGAAAATTCATTAAGTGAAAAAAACAAAATTGTTACAAAAAAAAGTCATCTTCCACATTGTCAACTATTATCGTCAAAAATCGTCTTGCCAGTAGCATCAAAGCTTTTCGGCAAACTTTATAAACTGTAATCGATCTCTTTCTCATTTTTTCAGTTTATATCATCGATCAAACTCAATTGCGTCGTTTTAAATTTAACCCAATTTCAAAAGCGAAAAAAAATCTGATCATTTTTCACTTTCGCAGCAAAGAGGTACATGCACCGAATTCGCATGTTTGGGCTGTGAGCAAGCAAGATTTTTCAGTCGTTGTCGAAGCATTCCAAATTTTTTTCAGATAAAAAAATTTCTGCTCAAAGTATGGCAATAAATACCCTCTTAAAACCACAAAGTTCATCATCATCCACCGAAGATGACGAAAATATCATATCATCAGAAATACCAATATCAATCATGAATCCAATGATAGCCAGAAAAAGGCAATCCATCGATAATTCGATGTTTCGTTTTCCAAAACTAGATGAATGTGCACATTTCCATTATGAAAGCGCCGAATTGGTATGTTTAATATTTAGACATTTTTAATATTACAATTGATTTTTGTTTAAAAAATTATCTTTTAGGACGATTTTCATGCCTCATTGATTGTTAATAATAAGCATTGCGATAATCCATACCAATCCAATAACGGTCACTTGTTAACTTTTGAGTTTGTACAAAATCTTCACATTTTTATACGTGTTCAATGTTCGCAGCGATCATGGACCGTGCGACGAGATCTTCGTGATTTTAGTTTTCTTGATGTTCAGCTTCATAAATGCATATTTGATAGACAACATTCAAAATTGATGGAATTGGATATGGATTGCTTTTTCACTTCATTTGATAGTTTGGTATGTAGGATTTTTTCTCTGAATCGGTTTTCAACTAAAAACATACATTTGTATAACTTTGAAATTCACCTGAAAAGGTTGAAAACCACTGGTTTAGATTGATTTCATTTCATTAATTGATACATATCTCATCCTAATTAATATTTTTCTCATTTAAATTAAAGGATTCTATTTTATACCATCTTGATAATTACTTGGAACGCTTATCAGCCATTGTTGGTACATCATTGTTAACATGCGGCCCAATTCTACATTGGTTTGAAATGGACAATCATGGTAATCGTTTGATTAAAGAAGTAATACGATACAAGCTTTTATGAATTTTAGTTACTAATTTTTGATAATTTTCAGGAATCGGATATCAATACACCAGCCATTGGAGCAGCATTCGTAACGAAAAAATATTGTAAAAAAGATGTAGAAACTGAAATATCATTGGACATTGGTGAATTAATTTCTGTCATCGAAATGCCACCGCTGAATGAATCTTTCTATTGGAAAGGCAAAAAAGGTTTTGAGGTATGTTTGTAATCTTCATTCAATCATCTCCGTATGGTTCCATTAATTTATTTTGTTTAAAAACAAATTAATTATTTTATGATATAGGTCGGTTATTTTCCAGCTGAATGTGTCAAATTGATCGATGATGAGATATCGAGAAAGTCGGATCTGTTATCATTAAGACCGTTGAAAAAATGTGTATCGCCTACACCTATCGGCTATCATCAACGGCAGAAAAATTGTGGTGGTGTTGATTTAATGAATTCTTCCTTCAGTGATAGTGATGATAACAACCATGACCAAGTTGATGATCAGCAATCATTAGCATCGCGGAAACGAACAAAAATTTCCGCTTTGTTTCGTAATTTTGTTACGGGTTTTCGTATGCGTCGTCGTGACCAATTACGTCGTAGCGGTATACTCAAAGAACGTGTGTTTGGTTGTGATCTTTGTGAACACTTGGAAAATTCTGGCCATGAATATCCTTTGGTATTGACCGCTTGCTGTTCATACATTGAACAATATGGTTTGAATACAAATGGCATATATCGAATATCCGGTGTTGTTTCGACTATCAATCGATTACGGGCAATATTTGATGAAGATCGTATACCTATCGAATTATTAGACACCAATAACTATTTGGGTCATCGCAATGACGTTGAACCATTAGATTTACATGCTGTAGGATCATTATTGAAGCTGTATTTTCGAGAATTACCTAATCCATTGCTAACCTATGCATTGTTTGATTCATTTATATCGACTATGCGTAATGAAACAATCGAAGAAATTGAGCGCATTCAAAGTATACGGAAATTGGTTCGACGATTACCACCGCCACATTGGCGAACATTGCGTTATCTGATCAAACATTTGGCACATGTTTCTGAATTTCATGAGCATACCGGTATGACAACGAAAAATATTGCCATTGTTTGGGCGCCAAATTTGTTACGTACAAAAACACTTGATCTCGGTAAAGAAGCATTACAAATTGTTGCCACTCAAGCAGTGTTAACTGAATTCCTAATTATTAACTGTGATAAAATCTGTGAGTATATTTTTTTAAATTTTTCATAAAAGGCTAAATTTATTTTATCAAATTTTAGTTGATCGCGAAGAAGAGCTGCATCCATCTAAATCACTTTATTCTTCATTTGTTGATACAAAAGAATATGACCAAAAATCACCCCCCTTATCATCTAAATGTCTCAAATACATTGAAGTTGGACCGTAAGTTTGAAAATATTTTTGCTTTTCTTATTAATAACTTTTTTTCATTTGACAGAGAAATCATTCCAGGAAAATTCCATACCATCATATCATGTCGCCCATCGCAATTAAAAAGATCAAAATTCAATTTGCAAAATTTTAAATTTCACAATCTTTTTACCACGCGTACTTCTCCATCCGATAGTGTACGATATCGTTCTCCACATCAACTTCAACATCGTCGCACGGTTTCGAACGGCTACAATGATGAAAAATCCATTAAAAATCGTCATACTATTGATAATTTGAAAAAATCTATTGACATGGCAACCAATGAATCCTTATTGAATCCATGTCATACAATGAAGCATACCGCCAGTTTTCAAAGTAAAATTCTATGTTTTGGAAACAACAATAATAAACAAGTGAAACGATCAAATTCGTTTGATTCATATTTTAAGAAGATGAAAACTGGTGATTCTAATCACCTTCATCACCATATAACCAATGGACGACAACGACCAGATGATGATAATAATAATACTATCAATAATAATCATGGTGGGAAAATGATATTAACGGATAATGATACAACTGATGGTGAACATCCTCGCCGAATCACTGAAGAGACAATTTTTGAAGATGATGAAAAATTGGCTTCAAATGATTGCGACGATGATGATGGATTAAGAAAAACATATACCGAAGGATCAGAATATATAAAACCATCAACCGTTGCTAGACCTGAATCAAATGATGTAACAATAGATGATGATGATAAAGAAAATTATGTTAATCATAATCGCAGTAATTCCAACAATAGCTATCGAAGTAGCTCGCATAGCCATAGTAGCAGCCGAGTTAGATCACCAATTTTAGATCCTAATATATTATCATCAATACCACCAACATCCATTTTTGATCTATATCCACCGATAACGACTACTTTCGCTGAATCATCGACTAGCGTACAACATTCACCATCATTTGATGACAATGATTTTAATGAGAATGACCATACATCAAAACAATCGTTGATTATCAGTAATAACAATTTATCGTCATCTTCATCGTTAACGGCGACAAGTCCCACAATAAACTTCGAAATCGAAATGGACCCAAAAGCTTATCGAATGTCATATCCATCTGCACTTACCGATCATCATTATCAAACTGTTGCTGCTGCTGAAACTGAGGTAAATCGAGAGAAAGTTGAACACTACAAAAATGAACGTCGTCGAATATTGCAGCAACGATATCAGCCGTTGTTGGATGGTAATAATAAATCGAATGCAGATGATGGTTTTCATCATGATGACAACCATCACAATAAAGATAATACCGTACAGCTTCGAAAATCTATTCATAGTCTTGAAAATGAAAATGGTCATTGCCATTCAACACAAGTTACAAATACATTGCCAGTGATCAAAATTACACCATTACGTACGGTGAATAAACGACAACGGATCATTATTGATGATCATAATGAATTGAATCCATTCTTAAGAAATGATCTGTGATCCAAGAAATTAAGCCATCAGATTATACAAAACGTTTCTATAATTCTATAGAAATGACCAACAATTGAACCGAATATACTCATTATTATACGAATAAAAAAATCTCGACTCAGTAGATGAATTTCATTCTTTATTTTGATAAATTTTTTGTTTTATTATCATTTTTTTTATTTGTCAATTATTATTAATTTTTGACCTGTGAATTTGGTATGTATTTTCTCTATCTTGTTTTTATTCTTAGATGCATAAAATGTAATTTTATTTCTTTTCATTCTTCAAAATAATTACAAATCACGTACGAAACTCATTTCCATAGCAAAAAAAAATGCTCAAGTAAATTTCAATAGTTGCAATATTTTATCATCAATCCTGTTGTCATTGATATTAGTTTTGGAACGGTGTTTTGAATCTTTTGAGGATTTCTTTTTCTTTCTTTTTTTATTTCTATGGCTTTTTCTCGATTCTGATTCACTTGAAGAATTGGATATTACTGACGATGTACGTTTATGACGGGATTTTTTCATTTTATGATGATGGCTACGACGTCGTTTTTTATTTTTTCGATTATAGTTGTTTATATTGTCATCTTTTGATTTATATCTTCTACGTCTGTGATGGCCATGCGATGACGAGGAAGATGATGATTTGGAATCACTCGATGTCGATGTCGAAGATGATGATCGAGATCGTTTTTTCGGGAAAGATTTTGAAAATTTGGGTTCAACGATACTTGAACTTTTTCTGGGTGTCAAGTCAATGTCTGTAGGAACAATTGTAGCTTTGCTACTTTCAGCAATTATAGCTGACCCGTCATTTGCCTGCAATTTATGTGCTTTAACCTCGTTTCTGTACTCAAGACAGGTGACTACGTGATCCAAATTTTTCAATGAAGTGAATGGATGTAATTTAACTAGTGATGGATTCCTCAAGTCATTATGATCCATCATATAATCAAAAAAGGATTGTTGATCTGGTTTGATTGTACGAAATCGCCCATGACGAATTGCTGTTTCATCTATCTCATCCAAATCATTATCGTGTCCATATTTTTCAATTGATTCACAACGTATAACGTCTAGGTGATAAGATCGAAGGTCAAAATTGATTAATTCAACATTGATCAATTCAGAAAGTTCAATGTTATGGCCATCATCGTCATTATTACGGCCTCTGTTCAATTTTGACTTTCGAAGATGCGGTTCCAATTGTAGATTAGCTTTCAATTTTAGATCATTAATATCTCGTTTATATGACCAAACTAATAGAACCTCAGCATTACGACTATAGATGCGCATCACTTTGGCAACAAATTTATCGCTTCATATAGGAAATAAATTCAAACGAATCCACATTGAATGAACATATCCTACACTTACCCAATTTTTAAAGAATCATAAAAACTACGTGTCCGTTCATCTGAACTGTAACCAGCCACCGTTTCATAGAAATAATTACAGGTTATAAATTTGCCAATATCCTTAAATCGTGGTAATCGAATCGTAAACGATTGATCCAAACGTTTCTGCTCTAACCATTGAAACAAACGTTCGGAATATTGTCTTTGTATCGTCATCGTAGACGTAGGAAGCTGATTGTGAATACGGAGGTAATCGTTGCTATCATCGCATAACCATCGGTCAAACCATAAAATAATTTAAATAAAACATGCATATATTCGAGAACATCTTAAATCGAGAAAAATGAAAACTCTTGATAATAGTTCGCACCTTTCTTCCGGACGTTTATGACCAAATAATTTATTGTTATGGTTTCCATCATCCTCATGACCATGGTAATTGCTTTGTTTCTTCAATTCAGGTGTCCGTTTATCGGTGTTCATCATCTAAATTTTTTTGTCAAGTTGTAATCATGATAATAATCATGGCTAAAACAATATTGATATTAAAGCTCATCGAATATAAGTGCAGCGCCATCTTTTTTGAATTAGAAGATTTAATTTGAATTTTTTTTCTTCAGACCTAATAAGAAATTTTTTTCATTAAATATATCAATTTTATGCAAGTCATATGATTGAAATTAATTATAAAAATGGAACTAATAATTTTTTTTCAAAATATTATTGATATTCCATGACAGAATATATTTGTCTAAAAAAAATATTTTATTTCATACTTTTTGGGAAAAAACTAAAGAAGAAATTCTGTCTCATTTATATATTTATTATTACATATAAAATTGAATAAATTAGTTTATTTGTGTGTATGTTTGTTTGTGTGCTTTATTCTCGTGACAATTATTGATTGAAGCAAACGATCGATTAATTGATTGATTGATTTTTCTTTTTTGATTGTTGTTCTTAGCTACAACTTGTCATTTGTTTCATAAATAAATACAAATATAAGGAAAAAATTCGTTATAAATATGGAATAAAATGAATTTCATTAAAATTATAATGAATTTATGATGAAATTTCAACAATGGTTTCGTTATCATTCATGGACGATGTTTGATTTTGATTGGTCTCTTGAAAATCGTCAGGTTTAGGATGATTTTCAATGGATGTTTCCGGTTCTAAGTTGCAAGGATTTTGATGTTTTAAACAACCATTACCAGTACAATTATTGGTCATTGTCAACAGCATTGTCATTATATTTTTACGTGATTTTTCTGAACCATTCCATGAATTTGTATTGTCCTTTTCATTTATTTCCTTTCGATTTTTTCTATAATTATTTTTGTTGTGGACGCCTATGCTATTGGAGATTTCAGATATCATTGATTTTTTTCTATTAACCTTGCATATTTTATTTAGGTTATTATTATTGTACAAAAATCGATCACGCATCCAATCGCAATGTCTTTTAAATCTATAGATGAAATTAAGAAAATCAATACGTATTGATGGACGAATTGATTTAGAATGAAAGATTTATCGGATAAAATTCTCATTCAACTATTCAGAATAATTTTACTGACAATAGTAACAAAATTAGATCAACAAACCTTGATTGAATAATTCCACTCACCAATGATGATTCTCCTTCATGATGACCCTCTCTTGCGCTGTTATTACCATCTTTTTTCAGGCTTCTAATATCACCAGTACCGGTTCTTATGTTCTTCTCATTATCGTTCATTATTGAGGAATTATCTCGAATTGTACGCATATGTCCATGTGAGCTTTGATCAGTTAACCAACAAAAAAATCCGATTGTTATGACAATCAAATGTATGACATGTGTTGTTACATTTAGTCGCGAACTTTGCCAATCAAGTGAATCAATATGATGATAGAAATCGTCGAGACGATATTGTTCAATAAACCAGATTAATGTCAGTAATGATTCAGTGATAACAAAAATCTGTCGTGCTCGTAATATGTATGATATAAGACAAGCTAATGCAATGAATTCATTTATTAATGAATTTAATATGGTAAGCAAATAAACTCGTGGCAATGATGAACGTGTAAACAATGGTACAACGGCAGCCTGATTTAATTGCATTAAGAATCGACGTTCATCGCCACGAGATCGACCAAGTTTTTGATTTACTTCATCAATTTGTCTCCCAGTCTCACAACCAAGAGCAATCCATAAAATCATCAACAATAGCAACAATAAGATGAAAAGAATTTTAAATAGTTTACCAATGATAAACAAGATAATTTTTCTTTCCATAACCAAAAACAAACATTTAACGACAGAATCAATTGTATCGTTCAGGTAGATGACTGATGAAAAAATAATTTAATTTTTGGTTATTCTTCAACTTGTTCTTGAATAGATATTCGAAATTCTTGACATTGCGCAAAATTGTCGGTGAATTGATATATGCGCGCAAGCGTGCATTGATTTTTCTCGATTATATTCAAGTTATATTTAAATTTTTTTCTATAGAAACAGCAATGAAACCGTTTTTTTTTTTTTGTTGAAAGATAAAAAATTTCACATCTCTTATCAATTAATGTTTATTCCTTATTTGATATTCACAATGAATTCATCAATTTAATATTAGGAAAATGAAGATGCATTCAAACATTTCTATACAGGTCAAATCGATTGTTCCAATTGAATCACTTTGTTCTTATAATTAGAAGTATAATTTAAATGGAAAAGTTTCATTGACAAATATAATTGGAACCAGAAATTTTTTTTCAAAATTATCACAAGGAAAAATCATGATAATGTGATTGATTGGAAACTTGCTTGCGTTATCATTGATTATTATTCGATGATGACGCAAACCTTGACTGTAGAAAATTAATAAACATTTTTTTTCGCGTGTGAAATCACAAGTTGCAGCCATTTTGCTAGTTAGACAATTAAAATACTCTCTTTCATTCGCTTTTACAATTATTATCGATTTCGGGAGAAAACAGTATAAAAAACAGTATTCGATCAATGATAGTATGTGTACTCACTAAATCAATTGAAAAGTAATATTCGAATACTGTTTTCATTTACATTACCATTCATTAATTTGGGTACTTAATCTAAAATTTTCATCATACAATTTTACTATATTTTTGTTAGTTTAAATTCAATGTTTAATTTTTTTAAAAATGAAAACAACTAATGCTAAACAAGGTTGTTGACAAAATAAATGTTCTGGTCATGATTTGGTTGTTAGCGATGTAATTTAAAAGCCATTCATACTTGTGATCTTCGTTGCATTTGTTAATTGATTGTTTACATTTTTGAATTTAAAACTATTCATCATTCATATCGATCCCATTTTCTTTCAATAAACTGTATGAATATGGATCAAAATGATCTTGTAAGTAGAGTTCGAGCCCGTAGGCTAATGATTGCCGATGTAGGTAAAATGACCAGCGGTATTTCACCTGACATCGATACAAATGAACCTCCTAAATGGTTTGATCAATCAGCATTTTTACATGCACAAAAACTTTTCAAAACTTATGGTGCTATGTAAGTTTTCTATTATAAAATGAACGAATGTTATTGTTTTCATGTTTCTGTGTTCATAAATTCAGCATTCGTATAAGCCAATTTTACGGTCTTCTATTAGTATTACATGATCCATATGGTGCAATACCTTTATTATGTACAGGTAATTCTCGTACAGTGTCCAAATTATTTCGTCGCTATCTTTCGACTATAATACGCGTAAATGATTGGTTCAATGATGATCCATTTAATGTGGAAAGTAATAGTTATGGACAATTACGAAAAGTTCGACGAATGCATGAGGCTGTTGCCAAAAAAATGAACCAAAATAGTCATTTCGTTGAAAACGGAAAGCAAAGACTATGGATCCCACAATATGGAATGTGTATAGCACAATTCTCTTTTGTTGGATTTATGACCATATTTCCTAAAAAGGTATTTTTTAAAATGTAATTTTTTTATATTGATGATTGTTTATTATAATTATCTATATGATGATGGATAATACAGCTAGGATTTCATAATTTTTCCAAAGAAGACTTTCATGCGATGTTTCATTTTTGGCGCGTAATTGGCTATTGTTTGGGTATCGAAGATCGTTTCAATCTTTGTGATGGTACTGATGAAGAAACAATTGAATTATGTCGTCAAATTTATTTTGAACAATGGCTACCCAATATTAAATCTCATCCATATGTCGAAGGACTTAATATGAGTCGTGGAATTTGCTTGGCTATGTCTGAAATCGATTCTTTATTAAACTTCAATTTGTTGATGCATTTCGGTGCACCATTTTTACAATTTAATGCCGATGATTATCCATTGACCTTGCAAGAAAAATTATTGCTTTTAAATATGAAATCTTTCTTTAATTTTGGCTCAAAATCCACATTGATCAATTGGACAGCGACTAAATATTCTCAGCTTTCAATCGATTATGCTATATATAATCGTAATAAAATTGAAAGCCGATTGCAACAAAAATACCCTGATTTGAAATACGAAAGTTCTGCCGATATATGTCCATTTAATGTTAATATTGATTATTCAGATGCTTTTTGAATTACGCTCAAAAACTAATTAAATAAATTTTTGTTTTGTTTTTTTCAATCATGAAAATTTAATGAAAAAATGATTTTAAGTAGAAATTTAAAAATTCATGCAACATGTTTTACTTTTTGTACAAATATTTAAAATAATGAATGATGTTGATTAATATCATAAAATTGTGAAGATATGATTCAAAATGAAACAAAAATGCATCATAAAAATAAACAAGGAAAATAAATTACACAAAAATTTGTATGAAAAAAAAATCAAATTTCTAATGAATGGCGGTCAAACGTCTTATCCAATTATCATAATTATTCACTTTTGTATAGTATCCATATTTTTGTGGTCGACCACATCCTTCACCCCATGAAACAATGCCGAGTAATGTCCAACGAGAATGAAATTCTACAACTAATGGTCCACCACTATCACCTTTGCATGCATCACCAACAATTTCTTTTCCATAACCTGCACAGAACATATTTTCGGTTACTTTGAATGTTGTAGATTGTCGACATTTTTGCCGATCAACAATTGGTAATTTTATTTTATGTAGATATCGTGGTAATGGTCCATTTTCTTTCAATCGTCCCCAACCGGCTACAATACCAAACTTTATAATTCGACTGTAGTCATCGCTATTATCATCATTGTCATTGTTGTTTATATCTATAGAATCGTGATTATTATTATTATGATGTTGATGATGATGATCTTGAGCAAAGAAAAAGCTATTCATTTCCCGAACTTCATCGGTTGATGTTGCTAAACATATTGGTCGGATATTATCGTTAAATTGTACATGAGTAGTCAATTTTACTAATGCAATATCATTATCAAATGTTTCATTTGAAAAATGTGGATGTTTTATAGTATGTTGAATTTTCGTTACCACTTCCATTGGTTCAGTTTCCGTTTGATCATATTTTCCCAGCTTGACAAACACTGTTGATTCATCGATTATATCCGTGAAACAATGTGCAGCTGTCACTACCCATCGTTCATTTAAAAGTGCCTAAAAATACATAAAATTAACCTTTTAATTTTCAAAATGATAAGTTTTCTCAACTAACCCCTCCGCAAAAGACATGACGCTTTTCATCCCAAAACATGACCATCCAAGGAAATTCTCCAGGCAGTGCTTCCGTACCACCGATAATTTTGCCCACATCTTCCATCGTATCTGGCTGAGTGTTTTGTTGTATTGAAATGACACCACAAAAATCTCTCACATCGACACGTCGATTAATCTGAACACGTGCAACCGATTTCAATACGCAATCATCTTCATTGTGATTAGTAATTTTATTGCTGTCCGTACTAGATCTGTTTGAAAAAAATTGATGATCAAGTCGGACCACACAAAAATAATAGCCCGAATCTTCGACTAGAACTCGATCGAAAAGTAAATCGCCACGACTAAGTTTCTTTATCCTTGAATTATATACAACTGGCTGAGTACGGGTGATTGTTTGACCATCCCCCGAATGATTATGAATTAATGGCACACGTTGCCAACTGATTTTCACATCCTGTTGGGAATCAGTCAACGTTGCGCTACAGTGTAACATGACAAATTCACCTTCACTGGTGAATTGATCACGCGGTCGTTCACGAAATAAAACATTCGATGATGAGCATCGAGTTGTGTCTGGTTTTAAAGTAAGCCAAGCATCACTTGAATTATCTCCATATACGCAAATGTATCGCCCAACAGATTTTGGAGTGAATTCTCGTATCATTAATGAGCTTCCATTACTGGATACGCCTTCGTGTATTTCCCGATCACCTTTGAACCATATGATTGGTAATGATGATTCACCGTTTCCATTTGATGGGGTTTTTACTTCACAATATAGAATATGAGAAGAACCTAGACGAATCGATGCATTTTGAGGACCATGAATTAAGATGATATCATTGCTTTCGGCATCTACATTTGTAGATTCATTTGTGTGGTGCAATGATTTTTTCGTATCATCCATGATTGGAATATTTTCATCGTCATCTATAGACATAAAGGTGAATTTAGCACGAAATCCTGGATTCAAAACATCATAAACACCGGTTTCCATTTTTGATGTTTGTTCAGTTCTCGATCGATCTTTCTCGTTGGAATAAATCGAGCGAAAAACCAACCTTATACTATCGGTCTGTGAAACATAACGTATAGGTTGACTTTGAAAACCACAAAACAGTGTCGATGGTTCGGTATCGTTTAATGTTTCATATATTTCTAAACGATCTTGTGAACAATTCAAAAGTCTATGTTGTTGATGTCCTCGAATAATTAGTGGTGAACGACCATTATATGATGCATCAAATTTTTGATCATAGTCTCCATCGTCATCATAATCGTGATTAATATCGTCATTTTGATCCATCAAATCGATCCAATCAAATAGCAATATTATGCGTTCATTTGCTGATGGAGCCATGATCGATGTTTCACATTGAGATCCAATCGGATATGGTCCAGGATACGACGGACTAGAGATAGTCATATTTTGCCAATCAGCATTCCAATCACATTCCATGTAGCGAGAAATATTTACATCATTACGTAATGCAACGATTTTTGCTTTATAGCCTCTTAGAGCAAGAAAATTATCAGATTCAAAATGAAAAAGCAATGAATTATCTGTGGAATATATGAAAAATTTTGAACTTGTTGGTAATGTACAAAATTTGCCCAAAGAATTGGATGGGATAGCTTTTGCGGAATCAAAAACTTCTACATAATCGAATTCACAATTTGTACCCGATTCAAGATGTAAATCTTCAAATTGAATCAAAAGACGATGATTATGACGTGTACGAACTAGTGTCCAACAATTTTTTGAATCTTCATATGAATCTGGATATTTTGGTGATGTAATATATGAATAATTGTGTACAAACATTTCGTTTGTACAATCCTGTGATTGTGCTATGATTCGAATTTGAAATCCTGGATATTCATTATATGAATCTGAATGAAATACAATCGTTATATGATTGGCACCGATCTCGAATTCATGAACTTTAGGATATTGTCCACAAAATTTCTTCGTACTTATTAATGTTTTGCCAGTCTTTCGATCAACTCGATGAACACCTGTAGATTCGAAATAATTTTTTAATCATTATTTATTGAATAAAATTTAAACTTGAACTTTTTTTAATTACCTTCGAAATCGAGATAATCAAAACGACAATTGGCATCATGTTCAATGTGTAATTTGAATATCTGTACTTTGAGCAATTGATCTTTTTGTGATTCTATATGCCATATACAATGTTTATTTGGTGGATAACGTTTTGGATAATCTGGTGATGTTATTTCGATATCGGTTGATATAGTAATCTTTATTCCGTTTGGATTTGAGCAGCTATCATTTTGCAGCAATAATAGTTGCTTATTTTTATGACTAAGTTCCGAATTATTATGATTGTCGATTGAATCGCTTAAATGTTGAGCATCTTTTTCGTTGTTGTCGTGATTTATTTGTGGAAAGTGATGATTTTGTGATAGTTCACGGAATAATTGCGCAATCGATTGTGATCTTGAACTTAGATTTAATGATGGCTGTGTCAATGAAGATAAAGTAATCTTTGAAGATTGTTTTGCTGGTTGCCATGATTTAACGGAATCTCTTGATAATAAAATCTGGTCAAATGATTGATTATCAACTGGAGATAATTTATCTGAAGTTGATGTAGCTTGCGGAATCGTGATTGTTGTATCCAAATTATTTGATGCTGATAAAGGAAAAGAGGCAGAAGAATGAGAATGTGCAGATGACAATTGAGAAAATGAGATCGGATTATTGCTGTCATTGACTGCAGTTTTTTCATCCTCTAAAGTGTCTTCATGGTTTTTATTATCATCGAGATCGAATGATGAATTTGGCAGCTGCGGTTGTAATTTTAGTGTCGATGATGGTTGTAATTGCCAATCAAATGTTGATTCATTTGACGATTGACTACGGTTATCGAAATGGATCCCAAGTGCAGAAAGCATTTCTTTTGGATGATTTTTTTGTGGATAATGTCGCCGTTGTTGTTTCCGACGACGAATTTTTTTCGACAATAATGTCAAAAATTTTTTCTTAATATCTCCGGAAGATGCAGAAATTGAAGCTGGTTGATTTTGCGGATTATGAAGACCCCCATTTTCATTTTTATTGATTTCTTCGTTATTATCATCATCATCAACATCACCATCTTCATCATAATCTTCACTAGTATCAATATTACTATCATTATTGATAATTTCGATTTCATCTGTGTTTTCTTCTGGATCTTTAAATTTAGTTTTACGATTTTCGAATAAAACATCGATACGAGATGTTGTTGATGTTGCTAATGGTGTAGGTAAGGATCCTATCATTTGTTGAGATGATGGTACTATTGTTGATGATAACACAAAATTTCTACTTAATTTGTATTGTTGATGATTATAGCTACTATTGTTTTGTTTATTCACATTAAATTTATTCAACAATAAATTCTTTATTGCTATGGATTCTTCATATGATCTGTAAAACAAAAGATTTAAGAAATGTGAAATCATTGATAAATAAAAATACAAACCTTGTTGCCAATAAACGACTATTTGAAGCAGATGATGATGATGATGATGCGGATGGCAGTGTTGATAATTGAGTGGTCATCAATAAGCATGAACCAAATATGATTATAATAATCAAAACTATTGCAATGGTTAATTTATGCATGAAGGCTGGCTGCATTTTGTTACAATTTATTGATGAATTATTGGTTGTTATAAACATTAATGGAATGAATTGTTGATGACAATATATCATTGAGACGCACATTAATGCCGATAGTTTTTGATACATGCACAAAAACACGATAGATCAGTGATTATAATCCTTTCAATCGCTACAACTTTAATAAATTGAACAATCTTTCATGATTGAAAATCAATTATTTGATTAGTTTTTTTTACTTCATTGTAGTTTTAGTTATCATTTTATTTGTTAAATTTGAAAATAAAGTACATAAGGGGAGAACCAGGAAGAATAAACAATCTTTGGTCCTCTCCCTATCCTCATATCGTTTTTAGTTTTAGTGGATGTTTGTTTTTTTTATCACATCGAATATTATGAGGATTGTTTTTTGATATCGAAAGCATTAAGCACAGACATATAACAAATGAACCGATGACAGTTTAGTTTAGCTGATTTAAGAATTTTATGTTTATCTGAAACGATTAAAACCCTTGCACTTATAATGCAGAATATTTGTTGATTTCACGTCTAAACAAAAATCTTTGTTTATAGTTCTTAGCAATTCTTTTTAAATAAAAAACAAAGGTGCAATCACCACAATTCAACTTAAAAAATACAAAAACAACACCATTATAAGTTTGGATAACCAATGGCAACACTAAACACAAGAAAAAAAATAAAAATCTAGTGCAACACCATCGTTATGATGATGAATATTATTATTACGAATATTAAAATAACGGCTGATATTGCTGTTTGTCGTTTTTGTCGTTATAAATGTTGGCTTGGAAACACCGACACATGGATACCTAGGCAAAAATTGGAAATATTTCATCATTTGATTGATTTTCATTCCGTTCATAATTATGAATTTTGATTTATGAATTGTAAGGAACATCATTTCGATCATAAACATGGAATCAATGACTGAGGATTATCGCTATGACGAAACTCATAATATCCATCAATTTTAGCCGTTATGATGCTAGTGGTGGTGGCATTCGAAAAAAAAATCAAAAAATCAAATTGTTTAAACAAACTCAACCGACCAGTCGAATGAACAAATAAATTTTTTTTCTTTCGCGTTTCTACTACCGAATCCAAGCATTCGATAAGAAATGATATAAACAGCGACTCTAACCAATCACTTGAACTAAGTAAATGATGATTTGGATGTTATGGTTGCCATTACGAAGATAAGTTTTGTTTGATATAATCGATTTCATACATAAACGATTAGGACAAAATCTTTTTGATGTGTTGATACCGATATGGACCCATGGTTGTAAAACAGAGCTTGGTGGATCATGATGATGTAGATGATCAAGTTCAATCAACAAATCAAAATTGATTCGATCAGGCTGAAATCAAATATCGTCAACATTAGCTATGATTGTATTCAATCGAATTCAAATATTTTCAATAAAATCAAAAGAAATGATATGATGATTTTGAATGATTTGACGGTAAATTGATTGATTGATTGATTCAATCATGCAAGTATGAATACGGCAACAAATTTGTCTATCTGAGATAATTTACACTATCATACATACACAAAAAAACTTGATGAGCTTAACATTTGTTTGTTGTCGATGATTTTCTGATAGAAATTTTGTCGTTGTCGTAATTCAGTGCTTATTTACGAAGAATTGAACAGTTAAAATGAGTGGGATGGAGGTTAATTTTCAGCATAAAGTAATTACAAAGACGTAGTTTATTTTTCACATTATTTATTTTGTTTTGAACACGATGTTAGAATGTTTGTTGTTTGATGACAATGATGATAATGATTTGTAGCCCATTTAATCACATGTTTGATGAGTTCGTAACTATTTAAGGGTAGGTGTTTATATTTGATCACATATCAATATCCATTCAAAGATTAGAATATAGACATTAATTCAATTATAGATTGATTGAATACTTTTTATTCTAATCAATGTTCATGGAGTTTATATACAATGGCCATTTTTCAAAATACGATTGGCACACGTTTGCACCGGGCTGGATTTATTTTATAATAAATGTTGTCGTTACTATTTTTTAAAAATTCGTTAGGTTGTTGCAATTGTTTTTTTTGTTTTTGTTAATGTTCGTTCATTCTTGAAATTTTAATAATGTTTACATTTTCTTTATTCGTTTTGTTTCGTTTGATTGATTTTGATGAGGATGATGCTGACTATAAAAATACTTACATAAGGAATTAAGTATTCACTACTCACAATATTACTTCATACAAGTTTAACGATGCTGATCATTGGAATAATTTAAAAAAGAAGATTGAGAGAGAGAGAAAGAGAAGAAGATTCACAAAAATCTTCCTGTACTTGTGCATCTGAGAGTGTGTCTTTCAAAAATTATGGCCACTAATGCTGACATTCACAGTATCTGGAAAAATATATGAGTTCATTACGTTTGTGTTGATAAGCGTTTTTCTTTTGGTCTTTCCATTTTTTTCCAAATAAAATTGATAGAAACAAATGACATTTGGCAGTTTTTTCTAGTTTTTTTAAAATTTTGATCATCCACCGGATAACCACTTGATGGCTAATCTATTAGATAAATCAAAAATGTCATATCCTGTCTAATGAATACAATTCGATTTTCAATGTGTTTTCATGACATTTAACTATATATGCATCTGCATGCTTTTCATACCCTGTTCAATTCATGTACAAACAACTTTTGATATGAAGTAAAGAAGAGATGAAAAAAACCTGTCATTCTTGTTGGTGACAAAACAATATGGGTCAAAGCAAACAAGGAACTGAATTCTAATCAAAACGAATTCACTATTCGATGATGAATAAAATTATTGTATAAAATATTTTGATTTTCTTATTTAAACAATGATAACATTGATTTGTTGTCTATCGAATCTAGTTTTAAATAAGTCTTGTGTGTGTGTAAGTGTGTTTGATTATTTTCTAATAGCCATTGAATTTCTGATTATTATCATAAATTGAATAACTGATTAATCGAATTGATTTTATTGTAATCAATATACACAATGTTTATTTTTGTGTAAAATGACTTTGTTGAACCGAAATTTGAATGATATTTTCTTTCATTAATATGCTATCACATTATCCTTAGAAAGTCAATTATTATGAATTTCCGATCGAATGTTTTTATTTAACAATCATACTATACAGAAGAACTGCATAATTGATTCTATCCCTTGTTTATCGTAAAATGATGGAACAATAATAATAAAAATAAAATAATAATAAAATCATATTTTTTTATTGTTAATCAATTTTTTTTATTTTCATACGATATTGATTTCAATTCTGGTTAATATTTAAGGAAAGTTTTACTGTAAATCATTTGTATTGATCCAAACATTGATCGTTAGAGGTTTTTTTAAATTTTTCAGTTGAAAACAACGAAATTCTTAGTTGATTTGATGGCTATTTCGTAGAACCATTCACAATGGTTAAAATGTGTTGATAGCATTTCTAACTGGTGCACCCTGAATTCGATAAGTTATTCTTTTGAGTTGATCAAGAAAAAACTTAAAAGAATATATTTTACAAACAAATAAATTTTATAAAAAAGTTAAAAAGATTTGAAACTAAAAGGTAAAAAATCACTGGATCAACTTTCGAATATTTTTTTGAGTATTTCGATTTTATTGTAACAAATTCAACCGATGGAATCAACAATGAAACAATCATCACCAAGGAATCCATTCGATAGATTATTCTGTCTATTTATTCAATACAAAATAGTTCCATTCAAAAATGTGAATGAAATCTTTATGAAACAAAATCGAAATCTTCGTGAATTTCATCGTATAATTATATCAATTATAATTATTTACAGTTTTGATTTAATTCGATTTGGAACGAATGTAATTTACGCTGGCAAGGATTTCGTCAAGTTTATCGATGGTAGCATATTCACACCATATTTTATTTATGAACAACCCAAAAATATTCGAGCTTTTCATTTTTGTATCTATTTGATGGTCACTGTTGGAACATTCATCGGTATGGGCATGAAATTTAAATTCCTAATAATGAAATTTTTGTTTCATTTTAGCTTTTTATTGGTTGAAGATATTTTCAAATGGTGAACGTACTGAACATATGCTTCGTCCGTTGATGCGTTCCAATCGGAAGTATAGAATTTTTTTTACAAAAAAGAAATCTACAAGAACTTATCGAGTTGAAGATGTTGAGTCAATGCGGTCATTCTGTCGTCAAGCTAATTTAGTCTATATCATGTTTCAAATAATCAGCACATTATTTCCGATAATTATTTTTATATTCATGTTAATCGATTTTTATTTTGGTTATTATCGAATTTTCAATAATCGGATATCATATTTTTTACTTATTCGAAGATTAATTTATGATGTGACATTTACTTATCATGTATGGATAGTGTTTAAATTCGTTTCTGGATATATTCAATTTATATATCAAAGTAATTCATGGTTTCGTTTGGAATATAAAAAACTTTCACTTCGTTATCAGCCCACACGATTGAGAAATAATAAAAAAAGATTGAATATTAATTTTATGACAACATTCATACAAAAATTAACTCAAATAAATCATGAAGTTGTTGATCTTTCGAACGAAATGTCAATGATGTCATTCGTTGTTTATGGATTTTATTTATTCGCATTGGATGTGGAACTATTTTTACTGATTGACCGGCGAAGTCAGTTATTTTTTCGTCTGGTTTTATTGAATGTATTCGCTGTGACGATTTTTTTTGCTGTAATGATATTCACAACATTGGCCAATTTGAATCAATATTCACGACAAATGATACCGATCGTTCGTTATTATCTTCATAATTATGGTGAAAAAGTAACGTTTAAACCTAATCTTTTAGATGAATATCGATTAATTGAATTAGATCATCAATTCAATGATGATTTAATTGGCCATGATTGTGCACGGATGTTTGTTTTCACTCGTTTCACCAATTTAATGATGGTTATCGAATTTACATTGAATCTATTGATGATTATTAATTTATTTCAACATTATTTTTAAATCATTGGAAATTCAAAAAAAATTTACTATAGTGTTCTTGCTATGATAAAATCTCGGTGATTATTGGCAATTTTATAGATCGAATAGAAAGTTGGCTTTTCCGCAATATTTTTTTAAATTATTTTGTCATTGTTTAATCATTTTCAATATAAATTTATTTCATTGAAAAAAGAAATATTTCACTGAAAACGTGAAAGAATTCCTTCGATCTCATAAATTACAATGTATTCAGATATTTTCTTTCATGATTCAATCAAATAAACGTATTCATAATTAAAAGCTAACATTATTTTCTTGTGGTTGAGAGAAATATCATCGATAGCTGTAAAAGCTTCTCATGACATTCGATTTGTGCCATATCATTGGAAATGGTTGAATGTTTGTTTTGTTTACAATTCATTAGTTAATTTTTACAGTTGTCGGTCACCAAATTTTATGTAACATTAAAGCCTAAAATGGATGTTTAAAGTGGAAATTTCACTTTTATTTATTTATCAAGCTCGCTTTTTTTGTCAAACAAAAACGAATTCGCCTGATGATTGGACAATGATGATGTATAGTACGAATATATAATATTAAAAACATATAGAATATACAGAATCAGATAACAAGCATGGAATAGAATAAAACAAACAACAAAAAAAACGATGGGCATTCGCGTACCAACATTATTAACAAAAAATATTGAACATTTTTCTCTCATTTCGATATGGATGATTCTAACAAATTTAACAAAATTTTTCAGGAGTAAAATCAATAAATATAGTTTGGTATATAGTGTTGTTGGTTTCATTTGATAAATAATAATTTACTTATATCATCAAAGTCAATGGTATTTACTCATTTGAAAATTAGGAGGCAAAGTTTAAAGAAATTAAAAAAAAATCAACATTCATCTGAAAATAATAATCATGTTTTCATTTGTTTGTATGTAAATGTCTTTATCATCTTTGTCTTTATTTATTAATATGGCTGATGTTGCTTGTAAATAACTGTTTATAGAACAAAATAAGAGACAATTTAATAAAAACGGTTTTTTGGCAATAAATAATCGGAATACAATTAAATTCTCTTGGCTATGTTTATTATCAGCTAAAACTATCCATTGATGCGGACATTAAAGAAGCACCACCAGAAAGAGATCCACCGCCAGTTCCTCCCGTGTTTCCGATACCACCGCTACCACCACCACTTCCACCACTTTTTGTAGATGATTGTGTTGGTAAACTGATCGCAGATGATTCACTAAATAATTTATACCATCCAATCACAATGTTAGAAAGATCCAAATCATCCAAAACAATCTGTACAACACCCATAAAAGATTTTTTATCCATACGACCATATAAACCGTTGACGACAACCTATAAAAATATTTCAATAAATTTAATCATATATTAATGTCAAAAATTTTATCATACTCACATGTAGAATACATCCTTTATAATTGTCTGTAAATAAAAGTTGTTGCTGAAATAATGGATCTAAAGTACGGCGAGCCATCTGTGTTTTAGCTTTTGAAATGCATTTTCCATTCCGGAATAGATAGACTTTGACGAATGGGGCTGATTAATAATGAAAATAGACAGAAAAAATAATCAGTTTTTAATAGTAAAACATAACGATTTCTTTCAATATATGAAAAACAAACCTGGTATCATTTTGGCACTTTGTTTTGATTGAAGGCCACGAGCACGAATAACTTCCACTTCAAGATTTCCTTTGCGATCATGTAAACTTAATTGTATATCGCCAAGATTCGATGCAGCCAATGCTTGTCGACCAACAATCTGTCCTGGTCCAAGACCTTCAACAAAATTAGAGAATTCACCTTCACCACCACCACCACCAACTGTACCAGATGATTGGGAAGGACGACTTTGTTGTGGCATCCATCTATAAATTAAAATTTAATCATTTTGAAAAGTCAAAATCCGATTAAATGTAATGAATAACAATTTAATCAAAGAGTTATTCACAGTTCGTCGAAATAGCAGCATCAACAACAACATTTTTCTAAGTTTATAGACGATGATGTCTTATAAATTAAAATCGAAATAAAATACGAACTTAACGTTAATCATGAACAAGTTTTTTCAAAAATTGAATTACATGTGACAAAATCGATTATTGTTCATTTGGAATTTTCAGAAGACAAGATGTTTAATAGGATTGTTCCAATAGAAACAGATAAATAAAACAAAACGAAAATCCTTAGCATTTGTTCACTATAAATTCCACTTCAGATAATTAAGAGAATAATTTTATATTGTCAACAGCACTTTAATTGTCCATTGATCAAAAAAACATCATTATTCATTAATATCAATACATTATTATTCTCTAAAGAATTTATCTTCTTAACATACAGGCACACACAAATTAATAGAACTCATGTCATTGTCAAAAATATTAATGCACCGTACAGATACATACATAAGAAGAATGAAATAAAACTAATACATGTTGTATTCGATCGTTTTATGGATAGCCATAAACAGATATCAATAAAATAAATGTGAAAAAAAACCAAGATAGGAATGGAAAATATCTGGAATAGCAATCCATATTTAACCTATGAAAAATAAAGAAGAATCTAATCATATTTCATTGCAATAAAATCGAGTATTATAATCATTATTTTCATTTCCGCTTGAATGAAAAGTATTTAGTGTGTATATATGCTTCAAATGATTAAATGATCTAAGAGGAAAAAAAATTCCATTGTATTTTTATTTTCATCGAATGACAAAAATAATATGTGAAAAAGACCATCATCACCATCATTCATCCATCAATAAATCAATGTTACAATGAAATGTGATAAGAGCAAAAAAGAAAAAATTCCATATTTTGTCTAAGCAGAATAGAAAAAAAACAACCACAAAAAAAGTCAGAATTAGATATAAATAATATTCTAGTTTTTTTTTGGGCGTCGAGTTTTATTTAATTATTCGAGCTTATTGTTCTTTTCTTCTCATTATTATTATGTGGTCTGAATTTTTACGACCATATGTTTAACCTTAAAAAGAATAATGGAAATCATAATTAAACGATGATCTATGCTATGGTTTAATATTTTTATTATTTTTTTCTTTTTTACTCGCTCGAAATTAAAAAAGTTGATAATTTATTCTATTCTTTTCCAAGCTGGAAAATGCAAATTCAATTGACGCCATATGGGTTGATGATTTTTGTTGAGATTTACAGTTGTCAGTATATAATTGATATTATTAATAACAACACATCAAAATCAAAATGATTGAATTAGAAAAACACAAGACACAAATCCGAGAAATTAATTAATTTCTTTTAACAATTAGACAAAGAATTAGCGCATGAGTAAAATATGAGAAAAAACTTTTGGTAAAAGCAGATTCTCAGTTTCATACAACTGTCAAGATGGAAACAAATTCAAAGCTTCGGGGTATTTTGAAAAAAAAGTTTTCTTTTAAACTTAATGCAATAACAGAATCGGTAGATCCAAATTTCGTTTTTCTCGGGAAATCATTGGTATGTTTCACTGTTATGAAAAATTTCACTAAATAATTGAAATTGGAAATATTCTTACGAAGAAATTTTACTAGAAAAAATAACTTCTACATTGATAAATAATGATACAATAAAGAGAAAAAATACGAATTTCTCTCTTCTGTAAACAATTGATTATTTTCTTAATATGCTAAATACAAAGAAAAAAAATTGAAATTTATCTCGTATGATCAAATTGGTAGATTAAAAAAATCATCATCATAAGATCATTATCAAAAAGTCTATTGTGTATTGATCATAGTGATAAAGAAAAATCTAACACCCGAATATGGAACATGATTTCTTGGCACAGCAGAATTAAATTAAAAAAGAAGAATCGATCGCAACAATTAGTAATCAATTAACAGACTTACATCTCTGAATCACTATCCGTTATCGTTTTTGATGTGGATGTAGTGGTCGTTGTCGATATGACTGCTTGTGCTACTACTGTTTGTTTACGAGCACCATCACTACCACCGACAAAAACACCACCAATACCATCGCCACAACCACTTCCGCTACTTTCATAACGCATACTACCGGCGATAGATGATGACGCGCTTAATGATATTGGTGAATCCATTAGGACATCACTACTAATACCTCCACCTCCAAAACTAGATTGAATATTAAAATCCATCGTTGAGGGAAGATTTTCCTTTCCAGCACGAATAGTGCCTTGAGTTCCAGAAATAAATGATTCTGGAAGTATCTCTTCCGAGCGTTGTATTCCGCCATAATAATAGCCACTTGAAATTGATTGTTTATTATGACGTGAAAATGGGATCATTTTACTTTTCACCAATTTCGATGATAATTTTGATGTCCGTGATTGTTTACTGGTTGCCCCAGTTGTATGAGCTGTTCCAGTAGTTGGTGTTCCAGCTGTTGTTGAACCTTTCGAGCGATCCGATAAATTACCATCTTCATCAGAATCCATAATCATCATGGCCATCATTGGATCATCATCCATCGCTTGCGAATAGCTTTTCTTGAGGATTTTTCCCGTTTTACGATTTACACCTTCATTCACAATAGATTGAATTTGAGAGTTTTTTTTTGTTACGAATTATGAGAAATGAAATGGAATCAACAAGATGAAGAATTTTGTATTAGTTTTGATTTATTTTGGTCAATCAGCATAAAAATTACACACAGAAACACACATTTTTGGTGAAAATTAGAGGAATCAAATTTAAACACACAAGGAAAATCAGGTGGTGATGGTGGAAAACACACCAAAAATGGGCAAAAATTAGATTGCCCACATCCATATGAATGTATTCAAACAGGAATGGAATTTGAGCATGCAGAAATTCGACAGCCGACATTAATTATGAGAATTTCGCAAACAAACCAAATAAAATTTTGCAGTACACACAATTCAATTGAATGGATGGTATTCGGTGTTTTATCATGGTAGTGATAAGTGCGTTAGGAAAACCAGAGATTTGCAGTGATTTAGAAACAAACATTAATTGAAATTTATTTATAAACACCCACATAATATTAACAAGGAAAACTCTTATAGTTATACACATCTATAGATTAACGTAAGATGTGAAAGCAATTTCATTTCAGAATGAATAATCAAATGTCTGAATTGGTTAGCGATATGGAAAAAATACAACCCTTGTTGTAAACAAAAAGTATAAGAATCAACAAATTCTTTCATGATATTTCTCGAAATTAAACAAATTCATATATTTTAAATTTAATCCTATAATAAGGATTTCAACCATTTTTAACACAATCCCAAATGAATTCATCGATTTTGTCATTTGCTCCGCAACAAAGTTTGACATTTTTTAATTTAAATTTCAAAACAAAACTATAGTAAAAAATAGGATTAATAGGTATGACAGAATATCCACAAATTTGATAATAATCCCAGTTTAAATCAAGGGATTAACATCATCATATAAAATGTTGCTATTGCTGTTGCTAAAATCAACGATGATAGAAAATGCATATGACATTTCAATTCATATGTATCTTTTTTGTAATGGATAAAACTTACGGAGCTGTTAATGATGAACTTTCACCCGAAACACTACCTTCGCCATCTGATGATAAACTACTATATTGTTTAACTAAATGTCGTACTTCGTCAGGTAATACTTCTTCACTTCGATGAACGGAGAATGATGTGGCCTGCTTGTTCTTACGGAAGCCCAGGCGTTTTTTTGTACCTTGTTTTTTTTTATTAATGAGTTTGTTTTGTTAAAATTATAATTGAATCAAAACACATAATAAAAAATAATATCAAAATAAATAAAAGATAAATAGATAAACAAAATAAAAATAATAAAACAAACAAAGCTAAAAGCTTAACAAAAACAAAAAAAAAGCAATCATGAATTTGTTGAGAATTGTTATATTTGATTTTGTATATTATGTACATTGTATAATTATTTGCATCCAGCCTATATGTTGGACACCAGATTTTAAAAATAAATGATTACAGCCAATGTGAAAACAGATTTAAATTTAAAATTCAATAAAATGAATGAATTCCTATTATAATCTTGTTTATTCATTAGCGCCTTTTTTGGCAATAAATTCAGAAACTGGCTCGATATAGAGAAAAATATAACGATTGTGTTTTCAACTAAAATAGTCAAAAAAAAAAATGAAATACAAAATAATAATTATATTCCACATGATGTAAACTATCTTACTAGACCAAACTGATTGAATTATTATCATGATTAGATATTGTTGTATATAATAGCATCAATTTTTATAAAAATAACTAACGGAATGAAAAAAAGTAGTGGATAAATTTCATATTTTGATATAGAAAATTGATGCCTTTGAAAGTAAAGGAAATTTTTTTAATGGACAAACTTTTCATTTTACTTTGTCAACTATATCATTATTTTTATTATTGCTATTTAGAAATAAAATGCCAAATGTTTCAACATCATTCTCTTATCATTAAAATTTACAACCGAATAATCGTTGCCTTACCGATACTCTAGGGCAAATATATTGCCGAGTATAAAATAATAATTGAATTCTGAACAAATGTATGCATATTGTTCACTGATGAGCTCTTTGCAATTTTGAATGACTATTTTTTTTTGCCTATTCTGTTTATTCTAGGTTAGACATCCGATGGCAAAATTCATAGAATTTTTTTCATTTTATTACACAAATACTACTATCATGAAATTTAAGACCATAACCTCAGTGTTTATCAAGATGACAACTTTAACTATACTTTTATAATGGGTACAAAGAAACTGATAGAAACAATTCAATGACAATGTGGAATGAGTGAGAGAAGATTGAAAACTAAAAAATTATAGTCATCAAGATGATTGTAAATAACAAAAAGAGATAGGCAGCTTGTGGGCAAGTCTTTCCAAAAAAAACCAAAATTCTTGAAAGAACAAAGATAAAAATGTCAAATAGAATTCTCCTTTTGCATTTTCCCTAAGCACTTTTTCATTTATAATCGACAATTTTCGTGACATACTTTGATGAATATTATTTTAAAAAATTATTTTTTGTATGTATTAAAATGCAGTATTATATACAGTATTATTATTATTATTTAAAAATAAAAATATCCTTGCCCTTATTTGATGATAACAAAAAAAAGCACAAAAAAAATTCTTGAAATATTTTTATTGATTCTATATCGAGTCAAATGAACATTTAACAAATGAGTAATATATGTGTGAAAATGCATTTGGATCAAAAATTTCACATTCAATTCATTCAAAGCCAATAAAATTGATCCAAAATAGTTTATTTTTACGCAATGTTTATAATGAAAATGAAAAAAGAAAATTCCTGAATGTGTGTCGGAAAAAAAACCTAGTTTTCCAAATGAATGCAAAAAAAATAAAAATTATTTATAAAATTGTTGCATGGTTAAAAAAATCATATATGAAAACCAGAAAATGTTTTCTTTAATTGAATGGGAGGTCTATGTGTTAGTGAGTATTGAAAAATATGTGGGTGTATAAAAAAAAGGAAGTATTTTCAAATCAATATGGTAGAAAAAGGAAAACAAAATAAACGCCAAGCATAGCCAAAATAATTGATTGAAAAAACAGATTCTACTTACCGGTAACACTAAGCTGTGATGCACTTTGACTTTTCTTTGTCAATCCTGATTGTGGCTGTTTTTTACTTTTTATTGGTTTACCATCCGGACCAATTTGTGGGGCATTTAGTGTCGATGTTGATGCTGAATTTGTTGCACCAAATAGATCATCCATACTAAAATCACAATTAGCATTTAGCTGTTCCATCACTTCATCGATTTGATCGGCCATTGATTTTGCCTGACCACCGGTTGGCACATCGGAAAAGCTCGATTCAAAACATTTATCTTCTTTTGAACGTTCACTTAATGAACGTGCTACAGCTAATGAACTACGTGATGGATGAGGTGGATGTACCGGTGCTGAATGTTGTTGACCACGATGACCAGTAAATTCACTATATGTTGTGCAGGAAAAATATGATGTACGCATCATTTGTGACATTGAAGGCGGACGTTGTCGTATGTATTGTGGTGATAATGGTTGTTGTTGTTTTTGTTGTTCAATTGTCGTTGTGGTCATCATCGAATTAGATCGTTGACGTTGTTGTTGTGGTGGTGATGATGATGATAATGATGATGATTGTTGTTGTTTCATTGGATGATAATTACACAGATGAGAGGTAGCCAATCGTGGATTCATTTTTGTTATGTGAATAGAAAAGAAATGGAAAAAATATTTTTTTTTTAAATTTGTTGTCGATTTTTATAACTTTTTGGAAAACATCTATTCAACAAATATGTGAAATTGTTTAAACAAATTAAATTAGTTGCTGAAGAATATAATCTCGAAGGAATCTGGCCAACGATGAAATATAACTAGAGCTTCTTTCGTGATTTCTAATCATAAAAAATCTTTTTACATTAATTATAAATATAGTCAACATGTTCTGACATTTAAATCATCAAAATGTCTACAATTTCATCGAAGAAGGAAGGCAAACAGTATCGTAAAGACAAATACAATCAATAAACACTGAATCTCGAATCGGATGCATTAAAATGGAATCACTCCGAAACAAAATAGAGATTTGTAGAAAAAAAAATAAATAAAAATAAAAAATATTAATCTGTCAGAATTCTAGAACCGCCTGCATAGAGTAAACGTCAAGATAATGCGCATAAAAATAGCATAACGAATCATTTTTTAAATGAAAAAGAAAAAAAATCATTTACTACTTAAACACTGACGGCCACAAACACTTGTTTAAATTGATTGAATGAAAATCGACCGGTATATGAATGATTTGGCCTCATGATGATATACTTATAGAATGATGATGACGACAACAAAACCAATAACAAATCGACAGACGAATTAGATTTTCCTCTATCTATCCTTTTTTCTCTCTCTCTATTTCACACACCCACATTAAAAATATTTCAGATATTGATGACGAAAACAACTAATATGTAAAAAGAATGAAAGTATAACTCGAATATTCTAGTTGGAACCTGTGCTGTTGGTATGTTGTTTATTATCGCCATCATAAAACCACACACAGAATATAGAACATAAACACAATATAGACATTTTTTAAATATTCGCTCAGGCGCATCATTTCATCAATTTTTTTTTCTCTCACATAAATTCTATACGAAATCAAACACATATTTGAATTGTAAAAATCTATATCGGAAAGAATTACATAAAATTTATGAATTTTTTTCATTAAAAATTATTCTACAGAATAAATACATTAAGGATTTTGTTTAGTGATAGTTATAAACAAAAAAAAACGACTATTCAAATATTGTTGCCAAATAATATAATATAATATAAATCGAACACGTATCATTATTATGATAATTTTATGGGTTCTGAAAAATTCATTTATGGTATTTGGCATAATAATATTCGATTTGTTGCTTGTTTATGAATGATTTTTTATGATTATTTTTTTCCTTTGATGGAAAAATGCATCAAAAAAAACAAATAGAGAAATTTTCAAGAAACGTTAGAATGTTGAAAAGACAGCATTAAAAATTATGCACACCAACAGTAGAAGAAAAATCAGTATTAGATTAAATAATATCATTATACAAACTGATGCAATAAATATTCAAATATATCATTATCATGTAGATGAAGGAATCAAATATTGATAGAATAATTACACAAAAAGTGTCACTCAATACCAGCATAAACATGGAAATTAATCATCATTAATTATTTTTTTATTAAAGATTTAAATATCAGTGTATTACAGTGGTTCATTAGTTAATGATTACAATCCAATCTAAGATGGATAACATTAACCAATATTTGAATAGAACATGGAAAACATCGATATATGATTCTGATCTCAGGAAGCATTAAAGCCTGTTTGTTTCATAACAACAATTTTTAGCGCAAATCTTATTGAACGCAAAAACATCAAAGAAAAGTTTTATAAATTCAAATGTACGGAAACAAAATCTTTTTCCATGTTTATTCTCTGAAATCAAACAACAGAAGAAAATGTCTGAATACACAATTTCTTACATAAAAACTTAAATATGTTGGGACATGAAAATCGGATTTATATTTATTTATATTTTTTCGTTGAATTTATTCAAAACAGCGAAATATGACCTTTTCATTTGATTAATGTATATGCAATGTACATGATAATCGATGCCCATTACATCACAAGAGAATCGTCATTATTAAAATTTTATTTTCATGTTAGTTTGTATTTGACAGAATAATAAGCTGAATGTCAAAATATTAATACAAACAAAAATAAGTCAATTTACATAAAAATGAAGAAAAAATAAATTTTTTTATTTTCATTTTGTCAATTTTGACAATATGAAAAAACTTTTAGCAAAATTTCATTATGGCAGTGAAGTCAACTTTTTTTCACTTGATCCAACATATATGTTGACGAGTTAGTGACAGTTTAAGAAAATAGCTAACAACAATATGAAAAAATAACCAGTTAATGGACACTTATTGTTTTCTTAAATTTTTCTTCTGTTTTCAATCGTATCAAATTACAATAAATTATCATCTGAAAGATGACACTCATCACCTCGAATCAAAAATCGAATATGTTTGCTGAACTAAGTCATTCGAATCTTTGTTGGTATTTATTTGGAATAAATAATTCATTTATTTACGCCCCAAACATTGGCAAGAATTTGAGTTTGATGAAATGAAATAAAAAATTATATTTGAACACAATATATAATCAGTTCAAATCATATTCAACATTTTATAAACATAAAACAAAAAAGAAAGATGGTAGCACTAGACAAACATTTCGGTTGATTCTGTTCAGACATAGAATATTTTTAGCAAGCGAAAAGGCGCCATCTATTGAAACATAATTTAAATTAAATAAATTCTAAATGTCAAAATTTATATGATTCTGATTATCGATCCGTTTATCAATCGATATTCTTTCAAAAAAAAAACTCAACTATCATTATTACGGCTTAAGAATGATGTAAATACTATAGCTATTGTCATTAAAATGATTTTTTTATGTATCAATGAGCAATGTATAAATGGGCAATAATTTTTTTAGCTTTTCAAATTGTAACAAATATTGATCGCGTGCAAAAAAAAAAATAATAATAATAAAATAAAATGAAAACGACAACGACTATATGAATCAATCGAAACGGAATAAATTCGATGACGAATAGACCAATATTGAATTAACAACAAGAGTTGTAAAGTTTGTATCTTGCATAGAGTGCGGTACCGTCATCATAAAGAGAATACAACAAGATCCTTGGGAAATCAACTAACCATTAGAATGTGCAGAGAATTGTGAATATGGATGAAATTGAATATATTAAATAACGATACAGAATGAAAAAAATACAATCCGGTTTTTTTTTTCTATTTGATATTTGTCATCATTATCATTATCATCGAGAAAATGAGTTCAACAAAACACTCATGCGTATGAAACACATTTTAGATTGGAATAAATCCCGACCAAAAAAACGACAAAATCAATATCCAGAAAGTTTCCAATGAAATGTAATAACAATAATAAATAATGAAGACAAATTGAAACAAAATTAAGATTTAATTGTCAAGAATTTATTGATTAAATCAAATCGACAACAACGAAGCAGTGTACATTTTGGCAAAGGTTTTGTTTAGAAATTAACAAACCATACAAAAAAGTTGAATCATTTGAAATCAAAGCTTCTCATGAAGAAAATTTAATTATATGAAAAATAAATTTTGACTCTATTTATAATCTTAATTAGTTGCATTTTAATGAAATCGGTAGCTAATCAGAATAGCCAAAATGCGAGATACAAAATCAGCTTGCAATACTTCACTAAATACTATAACAAATCTTTCTCTGATCGATTCATCGCCATAGATGATTAAAACAATAATAAGAAAAGTTAGTTGTCATAGAATTTGATGTATGAGCCGGATGAAAAGTAAAAAAATAGTAATAAATAAATAAGAAAAAAATGGCCACAGACTGTTCCACATTTTCCACAAAAAATATTGATCATACACAACAACCATAAATTGATTATTTCATAGTTATTTCAATCAACATCTGTTTTTCCAGTGTTATGGAAAAATGAAAAACAAAAACTTAACCTCAAAAAAAGACCAAATAAACAACACGATTGAAAGAAAAATCAATCTAAGTTATTAAAACTATAAATTTGGTTTATTTATTTGGATGAGCATCATGTGCAAAAAAAAATCTTTGGATAAAGAAACCATTTCAACAAAATTGATTCTTTTTTTACTTGATGTAATAGTGAGAAAACATGACTTTTGTTAATTTCCAAAAAAATCGATTTAGAATGATCGTATTTTTTTTATCCATTAACTTTGATCAAAACATTTACTGTCAAACTTTTTTTCAGTCTTTATTGTCGAACAAAAAAAAACAAATTTCCTTTTTATTCGAATCGACCACAATTTGTTTATTATGAATATAAGAAGATGTGAAATAAGGAAAACAATTTTTTTAATCATAAATTCTATCATATTCTAACATCCTCAACATATATGATGATAATGACAAACAGAAAGGAAAACTCCCCAAGATCATTTGACACCATTAACATCATACAATGTATACATAATACATATGTTATTATGATCAGTTTCTATATTAATTCAGTCTTCAATGTTCGGGAATAAAATACTAATTTTCAAGACAGACATTGAATCGAAATTTTTTGTCTTTCGAATTCATTTTTGGTTTTTTGTTCTTGCTTGAAGATTTTTATGTGTATAGGATGTATTCATCGTTTCATTTAATGATTATTGCACAAAAGAATCCAAAATTTCCTTTTTTCATAAAGACATACTAACTAAGAGCAATCAACAACATTGTTATAAAGTCTAACAATGAATGTTTGATAAATAGCTTTGCGAAAGAAAAACTAAAACCAGTTAAATAAACACTGGACTTATAGACAATAGAAATAAGGAGAAAACGAGAAAAACAAATCAACAATGAGAAACAAGAAACTCCACATTTTAAAGAACAAATGCTTGGCCAGAATCTCATTTTTCAAAATATTTAACTGGAAAAAGATTTATGTTGTTATATAAAAAAAAAGAATGACTCAAAAGAAAGAGAGAAAGCTTTTTTAAAGAAAAATGAATGTGATGATCAAGGCCAAGAAAGAATGATCAATGGATCGGAAACCATCAAGTCAATTCAGGACCAGGCCAGATAAGCATTATCATTAGATGCAAGCACAGACACAAACACAAAAAAAACTTCAGTAAATTGATATAAAAAAGAATAGCATGAAGTAGGAGTAAACGTTTAGAATGCCGGCTTTGGCTGAGCATTTTTTTTATCAAGCCAAATATGTGCTTAGAATTATTAACAACAACAAAGTGGTACACTATTATAAATTGAATAAAAATAATGGTTAACTACTTTATTTTATTGAGTATAAACAAATGAACCATAGAATAAATCGAAACCACATAAACACACAATTGATGGTGTTGATGATAATTATCGACAGAAAGAACAAAAAAAATTGAATGAATGGATTAATAAATTAGTATGATATCATCATAATTTTATTATCAAAACATTGTCGATAACCCGATAGAATAAAGACAAAACGGCCTACAAATACATCAAGAACTTTGGAATTTTTATTGATGTGGTATCATAAATCAAAACAAAATCTGCTTTTTGGGTTATACCAACTTGTTTTAATGTTTTTAATGATCAAAACAAACCAAATTGCCGGTGAAAAAATCTCAATGTTTTTTTTTCGTGTGTGTGTGTAAGATTACATTCACGAAAATGAAATTGAAATAACAATGTTATGAAATAAATATAAACATTACTATGATAATAACCATAATAATAATTTTCAAAGTCAAACAGAATTCTCGAGAAAATTTTGCAAATAAAATAATAATAGAGAAAGGAGAAGAAAAAAAAATTAGAAAATTTTCTATTCGTGATACTATTACATTATAACAAGGTAAACAACAAATAATTAAAATAACGATTTTTTTCAACTTAAAACTGAGCAAAAATGAAAAAAATGAAACCCGTCAAATTATCTTTGATATAACAAGCAAGAAAGAAAAATTGAATAAATACAGTAAACACAAAATGCAGAGGAAAAATTACTGAAAAAAAATCTAAAGTTTGTGAAAATTTGAAAGCTTGATCTTTTCAATTAAGAGGAAAGAAAATTAAACTTTTTTAATTAGGTAATAATAAAAAAAAGTCTTTGTGGACAATATTTCATTATCCAATTCGACATGTGAAACATTGTAACTTGAACAATTATTTAAATTTTGTGAATAAAATTCACAAATGACTAGCAATAAATGTAAGATATTTTAAATATTCAATGAACTAATATTTATTGACAAGTACAAGAAAAACTTGAATATTTTAACTGCTGATACCTGTCATGACATTAGATCTTGAAGTTAGTTGTAATAAATGTCAAATTGCATGGACAAGAAAAAAACAAACAAAAAATAATTTGTTATTCGCTAGTTAGTTAATCTGGTAAAGAATTTGCATGAAAAATTTATCATCATTAAAAGACCATCTTCGATAACAAGAAAAATAAAAGTTCAGGAAAAAACTGTGTGTATTGTAATGACTATTCCATGAAATTATCATCGTTATTTTTTTCAGTGATCAAATTTTTCAAAAATAATAACCGTATTAAACAAAAAACAAACAAAAAATGCTATTAATGTTATGATAAATTCTAATCATCGAACTAATAAATTATTGACATAATATTAATGAAAAAAACATAGATAAATAATTTTTGAATAGCTTAGAATCAATGTTCTAATATATGACCTTTATTCAATCAATTTTGAAACTTACCTTAATGTTCGACTTCCTTTCGGCCTTGCCGTTGGCTGAGATATTAAGGCACCTGGTTTTTGTTGTGATATTGGTGGTAATTGTTGAGACATCAGATCAAATGAATCTCGTTGTTGTTGCTGTTGTTGTTGTTGTTGTTGTTGTTGTTTTGTATATTGATGATGATGATGATGTGTTCTATGATGATTATTCTGTGATGATCGATTATTACCACCAGCTGCCGTTGAACTACTTTCCGTTTCTTCATCATCTGAATCACGATGCTGTTGTTGCTGTTGTTCGCGTTTTCGACGACTATTTCGTCGATGTATAGATGATCGATGATGTCCACCTGGAACATTGCTTATAGCTGAACCAGTCGAACCAACATTTGGTCCACCACTACTACTACTTGTGGTTGCAATTGCACCCATCGAACCGATAACACCGCTTTCACGACTACTCATTTGTCCAGTCAAACCACCACCAGCAGATTGTCCCGAATCTTTACGATGATGATATCGATGATGATGGCGATTATTTCGATATGTACCATCGACATCATCATCAAATTCAGTTTCTTCTTCCTCGCCATCAGCTTCATCACCTTGGTAACTACCTCCATGACCGCCATAATCTTTTAGTTCACGATAATCGATTGATGGTGATGCTATCAATGATGAACGATGATGACCTCCGCGATAGCCACCTCGAGATTTTTGCTGTACATCTCGATATATCAAGTGACTTCCTCCACCTGCTGAACTTGATAAATCAGATTCTGATTGAACTTCTTGTGGGTATTGTGAACCATATTGTCTTTGATGATGTGTCAACGATGACGATGAAATTCGACGATCCAGTTGAGGTTGTGGTTGTTCTTTTCTTTTATAATAACCAATATCATCCATTGATGTAGCTTGTTGATGTTGTTGTTCCAATAGATTGGTTAGATGACGGCTAAAAAGACGACTTGTAGGTAGATTTGATTGAATAGGATGTGCGTATAGAGGTCGATTACCGAAAACAGGTCGAATGGTCAATTCGGAATCAGAAAACATGCCACTTAATGAATGTTGTTCGAAGCTCATCAAATCAGATTTTTGCTGTTGCTGCAGTTGCGGTCCGTAGTTATACGGTTGTTGTTGGTGTTGTTGTTGAACAGAAGTTATCAATGATCTTGCTGAACCACCAAATTGGCTACCCATTGCCAAATGTGTGCTGATTGTAGGCATCGATGGAACAAATGGCAATTGACGTTTGTTATTTGTTTGACTTGACCCTGTTGTTGCCATTGATATGGATGATGTTGGCGCATAATTGATTTGTGCTCCAATCACTGTTGGCGGTGATAATGAACGCTGTTGTTGAGCAGTCATCTGCATGGATGCGTTTGATGGTTGTGATGAACTTTTACGAAATTCGGATCGCATTAAATGATGATGATAATTAGGAAGATGGTGATCTGAGGGTGGCATCATGGTAGTCGAACCAATCGAATCGATTCCTATGTCGGAAGTGTCAATATTGCTATTACTCACATTAACATTTGGATAATTAGATGAAGTAGCATTAGTTGACAATGATGGAAGTTGTCGATACCGGGATCCACGAGATCCCAGAACAGACTGATTTGTTGTTGGGGCCGCCAATGATGTTCCAATTTGATGTTGGTGATGATGATGGCCACGCGGATGATGAGGATGATGTATACTAGTGGCAGTTGTTGGGCCAGAATGAGAAACAATCCCTGTACTACTGCCTGGACGATGTTGTTGATGATGAAGACGATGTGATTGATGATGATATGGTGAACCAACAGAATCGGCAGTAGCGGCAACAATATTGGATGTGGATGCTGAACCGCCACGTTGATAGCAACCACCGCTTGTCGATAAATCCGTAGCTACTACTAATGGTGGACTACTACCACTTCCACCACTGCCTAAAGATCCACCGCTTGTTTGACTCGTATCCGCCAACAAGCAACGCCATGAATCGGCTAGATTTCATCATCATTTTGGTCACAAAAAAAAAAAAATCAAATCAAATCAAAAAAATAATTTTAAAAGTTGGTTATAATTCATTTAAATTCATTCTCAATCAAACTTGTTTGCTGTCTGAAACACTATTCTCATTATATGTCAAAGACATACACACATATCCTATACAGAATATTTTTCAAACAAGTTTTGTTAATTGTGTTTAGAATCTATTAACAAAAAATGAAAAGTTTTCAAAAAAAAAATTTCCACTCTAAAGGAAATTTGCCGATTTAAACAAGATGAGCCAAAAAAGCTTAAATTTTTGGTCACGAACAAAACAAATATTCTCTAGAAACAGAGAGTGATAAATGGTAATATATCATCTATTGAAAAAAGTTTCTGAAGTAAAAAAAAATTAAAAAAAACAAACCTTTCGAATCGAAATCATCCATTGAAAGTTCGGATGCAATATCCGAATCGGAAAGTCTTGCTGAAATGGATGTATGTGCAGAATGTGTTGGTGGTGATAAACCACTACCGGCCGTAGAGGTTGCTACAACACCGCTTGTTGTTCCAGTACTAGTTTCAGCTGCTGTTCCAGATGATCCAATCAATTTATAATATTGTTTCATCCATTGTAGACGTAGCTGTTGCTGTAGATCTTCACGCGTAGAAAGACAATACCATTCGGGTTCATCATCTAATTGTGAACTATTCAGTTCGATGATTGTAGCGCCCAAAAATTCATTTGATAAAAAATGATCATAATCACAGATTGTCAACTCTAAGGCTCTTGTTCGTATATCATTGCTGCTAAGTGGTGAGTATTGAAATGTTTCATTCCACATCGGTTCCAACGTGTTGATCACTGTAGCTGTTTTTCGTAATGTTTTTGTTCTGTAGAAATTTTTTTTTTGTTGCAAAAAAATCAAATCACAAAAAACGATTAATCAAATGGTGAACCGATCAAAATGAACAAACATTTTGATTTGAAAAGTTAAAAGAATCGAAATCGATAATTGATGATGAATAACTTACGTTTGATCAGGCAATAAATACATGGTACAATAAGGGTTTCGCAAGAGGCCCGTCTTTCTTGGTGACAAATCGATTGCATTCATTATTGTTACAAATAATTCCAATGTTTGTCCATCGTAATAAAGTTTGACCTAATTAGAATGAATAATGTATAGATCAGAGTGAATAAGAAAAACATTGTTTGTCACAACATGGTGAAAGAAAAACTTTCGAACAATTAAGACATTGAAAAATATAAATAGTATAAAATGTCATTTTATTTCATTTGTATCACTTAGATTCTATAAAAAAAAATGTCTAAATCATCTTCATCATCAATAAGGGCCACAAATGAACATCTCCGAAAAAAAGAAAGTAAGTCAATATTTGATAGAATAAAAACAACGATTCTTTCGACAAGCATCCTTCAACTTTACAAAGATGAGGAAATTTTGTTTGTAATGAACAAAGTCAAAAAAACCCTATTTATTTTTCAGAGTTTATCGATTTGTTGATTGGCAATTGACTTATATACACACAATATTAACCATTTGGATGAGGAATTTTTCTCTTTATTTTGGCACAAGAAATTTCCGTCGGGTTTTTTCTAACACACACACACAAACACTACTATAGAAATGTAAACGTTGTCCTAAAATGTCAAGAAAAAAATTGTTTGCAATATATTCAATAAACAAACCAGCTAATATCATTGCAATTGAGCTTATATTATCAGTCAACGATGAAAAGAGAACATTATAGAATCGTAAATCATGTCAATATCGTTTTCTACCTCCAGGAAATGAACAAAAATTGAATTTGAAAAAGTTTATATTTTTTTAAATTTTTTTCCCTTATATCTTAGAATTTTTGCCTCATTCATTGCAGTATAAATAAAATAATCATACTGGCTCTTGAAGGTATATATTGTAATTGAAATCTAATTCAAAATTGTTTATTTAGCTGGTAGGTATAAAAAAAATTGAATTGAATGAAAATCATTTTTTTGTCAACAATAACAAAATAACAAAACCAGACCGATACATGCCAAAAAGTCGATCCTATTGGATTTGTTATACTTAGGATACAAATAAAAAAAACAGTAATAACATAAAAACCATAACAATGACAATGATCATTGTACCGGAATTTTTAATAATAAAAAATTTTCTGATTGACTGCCGACCGAAATATTGTTGTTATGCTAAGGATAGACAAAAATTATTGTGTTCAATATGTTACTGCGATTACATAATTCACAGATGGAATCGTTTTAAAATTTATAAAAATATGTAATTGCTTTGTTATGTGTGAAACGCCAGATGCTATCGTTTCAAATGAACAAATGATTGTTTTTGAAAGAATTGACACACTTCTCACTATAACCATCAATTTTTTTACAATTTTGGTATAACATTTAAAAGTTTAAAACGAACTTACTTGTATACGTCCGGTAATTGTAGGGGTACGAGTAACTTTGACGTATGGCGTTGTACGCATATGACGAGCTGAAAATTCGGCACCTAAACTACTGCCTCGAGTAAAGAAGCTATTCTTGTCCACTACTGATCGAAAATCGAATTGATTTTAAAGAGTTTTGAGTCTTTTTTAAGGATACTTACCAATATCCAATGAACGTGGTTGTGCACGTGCCGATATAACATCAGTATGACGGCGTCCAATACGATTATTCTGTTGCTGTATCATAAGCATTTCATCGCGTGAAGTAGCTGCTGCCATCTGTACGAGTGGATGACGAGGCAATTTTCTAAATCCAGTGCCAGCACCCTGAACTGTTGCGGTTGAAGTTGTTGTCGATACAGTGGTCGTTGTATCCATCAACGGTCTTGCAACGACCAATTCAATTTCCGAGTGATGTTTTGAATCAGCAATAATATCATGAACTTCATCATAAGTTTTTCCTTGCAATGAAATTCCATTCCATTCAAGTACTTCGTCTCGTGGCCTTAGCCTGCCGATTGTATCAGCAATAGATCCTTTTTTCACTTTTTCAATAATGGCACCCAATCTTCCAGATTCAACGATACGACCACCAACAACTTTCATACCAAGCATGGCACTGGAACTTAGTCCCGAATCAGGTAACAAGTTTTTCTTCAATATCATTTTGCCGATCATTTGTGTACCATCGACAGATTTTTCCCATGTTATTGGATGCTATATTTTTAGATATAGTAAATTAAGATTAAAATCTTAAATTCAAAAGTTATCACCGATAACGTACCGCTAGGAAAGCTTTCGTTTTCGAATCCAGAATTTCATCCGCTGCTTTCAGCGAACTTACCGATGATCGTGGTAAAGCACGACCACGTCGTGGTTGTGGTAATGTTTTCTGCTCTGATAATCCCCCGCTGATGCCACTACTTTCTAGGCTGTCCAATAGATCAAAATCATCTTCAGTGGATAATTCAGGTGTTAGACTACGAACACCACTACAGCCAGCACCCGTATCGGTTATATCTTCAGAACTAGATCCAAATGAACGATGATATACTGGATTCATTTTTAGATGATCGCGTAATCGTGGACGTTGTGCATTGCATAAATTGGACGTGTTAGGTAATTGTCGACCACCACCGCTTACAGCACCGATTGATGGAGGAGGAGTTGGCCGCCGTACGTCTCCTGGATCAGAACCTGCAGAATCCATTCGCACGAGTGAACCGGCCGACAAAAAAAGTTTTTGTTGCTGGCCTTGTTGCAAAAGAGATCTCGGTAAATTTGCACGTGATACTGATGTTGATGATGATGTTACTGGTATGATTGAATCACCACCCGAATACGATCGAGAATAACCCGTTAAGTGTGGTATATCAGAACTACTCCCTCCACTAATGATGGCAGCACTATGCTGCAATTTAGGTATTGTTCCTGTATGGCCAGTTCCAGCGATGGTTGTCGATGATGATGATAATGGCTGTGGTTTGTCAGCAGAAGCAGTTACAACTTGTGAAACATTTGAAGGCACTGTTGATGTAATATTTGCCGATGTAGATGTCAATGTCGATGTGATCGGTAGTGCTGATGGTACTAATGACATAGACGTTGTTCGACGTGGTAATTGTGGTAGTGATTTTTTGGGTGATGTTGTTGCTGATGATGATGACTATTTATCAAAGAAAAATGAAAATCATATTCATTGTATATTTTAATCGTACCTGTAATTGTAATTGGGACGAAGCTTGTGGTTTTTGTTGTTGCTGTAATGAAGATTGTTGATGAAAATGAACCACATCATCCAATGAAGGCAGTTCACGACTTTTTTGTCGTTGTGTTGCTAATTTTCTTCTTTCCTGTCCTAACACATGTGTTTGTTGCATGGCAGATTGCTCCGATATTACTGTCTCCAATGGAACTTTCTGTTGCAAATGTTGTTTTAGCGGAAACTCTTCAGAAATTGAAGCAGTAGCTGCAACCGGCAGTTGATGTGATAATGGTAATGATGGCTGTCGTGGAAGTAAATGTCTTCGCCTAGGCATTTGTGGTAATCCTCGATTTCCACTACTTGTTGGTTGTGTAATCATCAAACTTTGTGACTGTTGTTGTTGAGCTGCGCTGGAATCGGAAAAAATATTTGGATCATGTGACAATTGTCTTCTCAAAAACGGTTGATGACGGGTTGGCTGTTGGACGGTTGTAGATTTGCTGGCAATATTGAGATTTGTTTTAGTCGTATCTTGCGAATGTTGTCGATGGGTGGATTGTGAGGATGAAAATGATGAGGGTATAAACATTCCAAGCGAATTTCGACGAAGAAATCCAGTTATTGGATTTGGCCGAGATTCACCACCACTATTGTTAGTATTTCCTAAATGAAGTAAACGCTCAAACAAAGGTGTAGATGTCGGTTCAGTCATTGTTTGAATTTCTGATGATGTCTGTTGTTCTAATTGCCGTAACCTTGTGGCCATTGATGAATGTATCCATTGACCAGTTTTTATCAGTAGTTCTTGTTTCTTTCGACACAGGATACACACCCAAATGTTCTGATTAAAATTAAGAAAAATTTCATTTATTTTATCATCGATATTATTATTCGAAACACACCTTGTTAGATCGTAAAGTAACTTTTCCACCACAACGTGCACAACATCTTGTGTTACAGTATTGACAACTATGTCCGACACCATCGGCAAATTTAGTTTTCAAACAAATCTGACAGGTTGCATCAAGATCACCGCTATCCTGACGGCTAAATTGTTCTTCATTTCGTTTTCGTAGAATCGATTGTTCCAACAAAAGAACTTCATCTTGTTTTCGTCTAGAAAATTCATAAATGTGAAATTAACCTTATACATTTTACTAACTTACCTTAGTAATTGAGCCTCTTCTTCTTCTTCTTTTTTTTGACGCATAATGACCGATTCGATTATTGGACGTTCAACATCGCTTAGATGGCTTATATCAGGCATAATGCCAACCGATCCCGTTATTATCGGTCCAGTAGTCGCAAACATTGATGAAGAACTTTTGCCCGAAATCAACGATGATTGCGGTATATTTCGGCGCTGTGATAGTGGCGGTGATGGATTGTCAGGATATTGAGATTGCTGATGAATCGGAGAAACATTATGATGATGATGATGATGGTGATGATGATAGGACGATGATGGTCCACCACCAACGGTACCCGGAGGTTGACCTGAGGACGGTCCGGTCATCAAATTTAATAATAGTTCGGCCATTTTTTTCTGATTATAATATCGAACTTTGATCGATATAATAGGATAATGCTGACCGACATCAATTCAATCGTTTAATTATTACTGGTTTCATTGATGAAATAAAATGTTATTCGCTAATTCAAATTGATTTGTATGACAATACAAAGTTGAAAAGGTTGGATTAATTGAATAATTGGATTGGGCCGGTAAAAAAAATTCATTCGACAAATGACTACAAAAACAACAATAATAATTTGACGATGAATGGAAAAAATATGTAAATGAAAAAAAAATCTATGGAAGACTTTCGTTGGAATTACATAAAAATCAAGATGCAAATAGAAAAATAAATAAAAAGAAATCGAAGTGGTTATATGATGGATTCAACACACAAATATTTTCGATGGAGATTCGTTAACGGATATAATGAAAAAATTGAATAGGATTTAAAAATCTGTTGAAGATCTGATTTGATTGATATTGATGTCGAACAATTGTGTAAAATGCAAATTATTGGTTTAAAAATTCGAATTTATTGTTTCGAATTTAAAATCGATTTTTTTTCCTTAAATTTCTTCATTTCATTCAACTGATCACTGATTTGATTGATCAATTAAATATTTGAAAATCTATCACAATTATATAGCGATGATAGAAATCTTCATAATGGCCTTGTAATATGGTAGTCATTTTTAATGAATTATTGTAGTAATCGTATTTAATGACAATTGATCTTGATGAGTTATGGATACTGGCTTAAATAATTCTTATTGATCGATTGTGTTTGAAAGACTATTGGCTTATCTTTGATTGATAAATGTTTTATCCGATGCTATTCGACCATTATTGGCTTCAAAAATAAGTTGACGAATTAATTTTGAATTATTGTGCGAGTTGTCTGCAAAATTTATTTGAATGAAATGAATTATTTAATTAAATTCATTGAGAAAAAAATTATCTCAACATAAACTGATGAAAAACGATCAAATTATTCAATTTTTTAAAGACTTACCTTGACTGTTTTATGATAATAATTTTTTTTTCTTTTGTTTCGAGGCTATCACGTGTTAAATATTATTTAAAAAAAACAAACAGAATTTTTGTCTGCATGTGTGTGTGTGGGCTGGTGTGTTTTCGTGTTATAATCTGCGATGAAAGAATAAAAAACACAAAACATTAGATCAATTTTTGATTCACATTATGCTTCAACAATCCAGATGAATATCATTGATTTATCAAAATGAATATATCCATATACATGAAGATATTTAATTTAAAAAACAAATTTAAGTAACAATGAAAACACATCATTAAAATAATAATTATATTAACAATGATAATAATAGAATTGTTTTCAAATACATTTTGTAAATAGATATAGAACGGAAACAATCAAGAAATAAACAACAGAGCACAAAATCATTGACAGAACAAGAATCTAGGTGAGGCGAGTGAAACAAAACAAAAAAAAACATGAGGAATCATACGCACACACACATTAAATTTTTACTCGATTCGATTCCATTCTATTTGGTGATGAGACCAGAATATTCTTATACTCAAACATGAATCATATCATTTAATCACAAAACATACATTACTTATGTATGTTATGCTAACGAAATTCTTAGATTATGTGTGTAACATTAAAGATGAAAAAAATGTGATTATCAAAGTAGATATCATTTCTTTATTATCAAGATTGACTCAGTATAACCAAAAAAATAAAAATAAAAATAAAATAAAAATGTTATTTTTTCGACTATATTATTATCATTATTGTTATTTATTCTGAATCATTCAGTTATCTAAGTAATATACAACAAACAATAATCCGATAACAGATTACGTTGATTGAAAATATCTGTTTGTAGTAGTGGTGATGATGATACATCATATATGTGAAACAATGAACCAAACCTTAAAAGACTTATGAATCTCTGATGATGGTGGGTTATAACAAGAAAAAAAAACAAATACTACAGCAATGGGTGTGTATGTGTGTAAAATCAGGAACGTCATTCACAGAAAAAAAGCTTCATTTTTTCCATGTGTGAATCTCAAAAAAAAAAAACGAGAAAGAGGACAAAAAACGGAAGAATCATTTGCAAAAGATCTTTATATTGTCAATGACTGTACTATATCCTATATTTTTGGTCCAACTTAACCATCCGGCGGTGAACATAATGAACAAACATCCAACAAAATATCAAGACATTTGTGTTTACAAGAAAAAATGAATATAGTAGAACGACTATGTAATCGTTCTCCCGAAAAAAATAGAGAAAAAAAGTTAGAAACTTCATAGAATAACATGTATTCTTTGTATAGGATTGTTGGTGTTAGTGTGGGTGGATGATAGGATGAACCAAAATAAAACCCAAGCAAAATTTTTCTTTCATTATTGTCTCATTGATTCTGATATCAATGGTGATTGAAGCTGTGCAAAATGAAAAAATTTGTTGTAGAGGAATATACGGTCAAAATGAATAACCATCAGGTAATGTAACGACGCATGTCATATAATCTTTATTCTTATCGTTGAATTGTGATACAACAACATTTTTTCGGAACATTTCACTTTCACTTGCTATCATCGCTACCGATAACTTTGCGACGCAGGCCTAGAACCACATGGTCTCTGAAATGAAATAGAAAATTATACCAAAGTTGTAATAATGATGATGATGATGATGACGTCTGACCTGATTCAGTAGTGGCCTAGTTTTCAGTAGTTGATATATATGACTAAATGTATGGTTTTACGTTGTATAACCAAATAAAAAGCGACAAAGAACCGCGATTTTTATCGAACAAGTAAGGAAGTGAATAAAATTTAATAAAATGTAATGAACCAACTGAATGGTTGTGTGACTGACTGGTCTTTGGTCTTTCTCTCATTCTCCTTTTTTTCCAGTTAACTATAGTATGCTTGTATTTCTGTAAATGAAATGAAAGAAACTTTAAAAAAACAAATAATAATGGAAAAATATTTGATTGATTGACGAATGATATTTGTTTTGAAAAAATATGGCAACTTTATGTATGTAGGAAAACATCATAAAATGTTTAATATACCGGCAACAGTTTCATCGTTATTGTAACAAGAAAAAATAATTAATTAATTTGTGGGAAAAAGCAGAACCATGACCAAAACCACTGAACAAATCCATATCAGCTTCCAGTAACAGAGACACAAAAAAAAAACTAAATTCTTTCATTTTGCTGTCGATCGATTTGGCCTGCCTAACAATTTTTAAAATAGTCGAATAAATTTTCTATATTGTATGGCCTTTTTGTATTCATTTTCCGGATTTTTCATTCATATTTTTTTTGTATAAACATGATATCATTTATAGAAAAAATGAAGATAAATCTGTTTAAATATTCAAACAAACATCACGGGAAGCTACAAAAAGATAATAATAACAATAAAGTATCAGATAAAATAAAACGAATGAATAAATTGAGAAAATGGATTTTTTTTTGGCAATGTTTACGCAATATGTATGTATTTCCATGGAGACTATATTCACCGGAGAAACGATGGATACAAAAAAAAAACGATGTTAGTAACAAATAAATTTAGATCGAAATTGAAACAAATAATATTATTATATACGTGACAATAATTCATATAATCTTATAATAAGATATTAATGAATCAAAATATAGAATCTATTCATTCAATTATTACCAATGTCATATAGCAAATTAAGACAGTGCAGCACACTTTTTTTGTCATTATAAGTTCGATATAGAAATTTTTTTTTTGCACTCAAATATCAATTTTAGAAAATTGTCAACTAAACAAAATCGCAATAATAATTGACCAATGACAATTTTTTTTTGTTTCTGGTATTAATTATGGCCACGTTGTTCCCATCTCTTCATTCCGAAGAGCAACAGAATATTTAAACTCATTTTTCGTTTTCATAAATCAACAAACTAAGACAACTATTTATAGATATCATCAATAATTTTATAATGAAAAAGTTTTTTTCCTTTATTTGGATTTATAAAACTCATGGTTATGAAGGAGTTTCATTATGGATTTATAATCGAATTCTTAAAAAAGTTTGTCGCCCTTATTATTTGATCTTAGTGAAAAAAAATGACAAAATCATATGATTAGACATTGGATGATTAAACAATTTCATGAAGGAGGAAATTACGACGATACATAAAATGAAAACTCATATTTCGCCAGACCTCACAATAGTCGATTGGACTAAATTGTCGAACAGGAAAAGATTTTTTTTTTTTTTTTTGGTCAAAGGACTTCTCATCGCCACCGCTTCAAATTTCATACCCATTCATATAATTGACAATCGTATAATTAAAGATTTTTTTAAATTCCCATTCATTTATATTTCTATATTCAAGTTATTGTTTGGTAAAGGTGTGTATATTGTTTGCATGTGATTCATAAATGATTTAGTTTTTACTACAAAAAATGAATCATTAAAATTATAGTCATATTATAATAGTAACTGAAAAAATGATAATGATGATTATAACCATTATTTGAGTGTGACGTTGATTTTGACCTCAATTTATTGTCGTTATATATTTTTTTGATAACATAATAATGGTAATAATAAACATTATTGCTTCTGTTGTTAAGACTAAGGTAAGACTGCCACATATTTTCGAAAAGAAATTCCAAATAACCAATGTTAGATTGTCTATTAATGTTGGACCACTGGTTATCAACTCAGATTTATCCTTATTAAACTTGAGATGTTTCAATTGAAGTAACTGGTAAGCAAATCATACTAATAAAAAAAGAAAAATTCCATCATTAGATTTGTTTTTTATAGAATTTTTTATGGAATTTATTATGAAATTTACATAGGAAATATATCAAAAAAACATGAAATTCAATGAAGTAATATGATATGAATTTTTCAAATTTATAGTACACCTATATATTAATAATTTTTACAAAACAAAAATAAGATGGGAAAATCAAAAATGAATGAGGATTCAATGAACACATTAGAAATGATGAAGTTTAATGTCGATCATTTTTTCCATTTTTATCGATAATAAGAACTTGATGATGCGGCCATTGTTGCTGTCGATGATGAAGAATTAGCATGTTGATTAAGACTGCCACCATATGGATGGTGAATTACCATTAATCTTTTACGTATACACTCAATGAATGCCAACAAACGATTAGTAGCCGATGATGTCAATGACATTTGCATTGCTTGATGCTTGCTCAATGATAATAATCTTTTGCCATCAATTTTCTAATGTGAAAAAAATTAGTTTGAATTCTTTTTCAAAGGGAAAAATGTTTTTAATTTACTTACATATGCTAATATGGAATCACAAAGTTCACTATATCCATTTCTATAAAAAAATTTACTGACTTGTTTCGGTGACCAATGTGGTAACATTCGTAAATCTTGTGTTCCATCCGGTCCATCATGAACATCATCAGGATCGAAATAATGGTAGGAATCAAACACTTGAACACATTTTGAATCATCATCACCGTCATTATTGCATAATCGATTGTTTGTTTTATCTGATTTCCACTGGATATCGAAACTATATTTATCATTTTCTAATTTCAGCCGCAAAAGTTTCTGCTTTAACAATGGATCTTTGAAACAAAAATGTGAACCCGTTGAATCACTCAAATCGGCTGGTAAAGAAATTGTGAATTTATTGTGATAATCAAAACGGCCACCATTTGTGATCTCTTCATTCCATGAGAGGAAATTATACAATTCTGAACGTTCACGATCTGCGATCTGAGTCCATATGTCAGTTTCTTCCTCTTCGACTAAATCTTCGTGATCCGATAAATTTGGTGATAATGAGATGAGACTTGCATTTCGAATCAATGGCGATTCATCAAAATCATCATTGGAAAATACTTTATAATCATCAACTTCTCCCACAATACTTTTTGGTATTGAATCATGCGATGATGATTGCATAGAATCATCGTTGATAATCGTTTCCACAGATAATTGTTGTTGATATGAATATTTTGATAGCGGCGATTTCGAAGGAGATGTCATCATAAGAGACTTTTTAGTGTTTTCTGTAAAAAAGAAAATCAATAAAAATTTGTGTCATCAAGTGAATAATCAAACTTACTTCTACGATTATTGAAGTTAACATATGCTTGGCTGTTCTGTCGTTTTTTCTTACTACCACCTCCATTTGAACTGGTCTGTGGTGATGGCGGACCTTGGAGTGGATATTCGACCAGATCACAGTAGCCAACCGGAAATATATTTGGGGAACAACAATCACACCATTGATCAAAATGATCAGCCCAACCGATAAAATGAAGCAACAAAAGACGACCACAGCGACGTTTAATGACGGCCAAACAAATCAGATTCGGTTCAACCATATCGACAGCTTCAAGAAGCATACCTTCTTCGAAAGATCGAGATAGACAGACGTTATGAAAATCATTTTCTGAATCATCAGTGATGAATTGTTTATAGCTAAATAAATTTGTTGGTGCCATTAAAGAATTTGTGTGTTGGCAATATTCCACCCAATCGAAGTCACGTTTATAGCCTAGAATAAAGTTCAAAAATATATCAAAACTTTTTTTAATCAAATATTTAAATTCGTATCCCTTACCTGAAGGTGTTTGTAAAGAAATGTTAAACATTTTACAGAAACCTGCCGGTAAAATATAAGGAGACGAAGTATGTAAACAAAACATTCGTTCTTCAAGTTCTAAAGGTGATGTTGATGCAGATGATTGTGACCCAAATAAACTGGTTGGTGATGAAGACCGTATAGGAGATGTTTGTAATCGTTGTAAAGGTGTTTGAGCGTCAGAGTTGGCCTCATCTATAGAAAGTACTAAAAAATTATATCGCAAAACTTTTCGAACGGTTGCTACGCATATCTGTGAAAGATCCATCGGGTTAACCACTTCTAATTTCATTCCTTTATGAAAAGTAAAATTTTAAACAAAAAACAATTTAAGAATTTAAATCAACAAACCTTCTCGAAACAAGTTATCTTCATCGATGTATTCGAATTTTTTCAACACACCCATTCTGTTCCAATCTGGTATATTTCTATTTGATTCGATATTATTACGAATATTCTGAATTCCAAGTCGCAAACTCTTATTTGCATAATCGTGAGAGGCAAACAATTTATGTCCGACTAATTGGGACCAACCGACTGGACGAATCTGTTCTGAATGTATATGAGCCCACCAGCCGGGATTGCAATCATTTGGTGCTTCTCCGTCATAGCGAACAAAACATCGTTGTCCTATCACTTGTTGAATGGTGGCCACACGAAAACAACATAAATGGGTTTTATCAATTGCTTCCACTTTTAGTCCAGGTTTTAATTTAGTCTCAATTTTTTGCAAAAAAGATGTGTATAAATCTAATTCAATTGTAGCATTGTTTCTTGAAGAGAAAAATCGCCGTACATCAGTAGCATAATTCGGATTCAAATCACAAACAATAAATGGGGCGCGATATTCGTAATTACTTTTCTGGGCATACCCAATTGGGTAAAGGTTACGAATCCGAACATTTGCCCAGAAATCATGTTTAGTAATCGACAAATGTTCAAGTCCTAAAAATCGTAATCGAAGATAATAACCGGAGTGGCCGACAATCTTAGCTATCCAAAATTTATTTTCATCCAGTATTGCGCTATTGTTATTCTTTAATTGTGGTGTAGCGAAATCGAAAGTCGATGTTTTATTTTTTGATTTTGATTTATTCGGTGGAGTACCAGGCGTTTGATTCAAAACACTAACTAGACCATTTGAAGGTTGTGGCTGATTACCATTTAGATCAAGATCAGATAATCTCAGTTCTACATAAATATTTTTAGATTGTTGCTCATCATCACAGGATGTGGGCAAAAAACTAAACATTTGTGTCCATTCATGATTTAACGGTGCGTTAGGAAATGCCCATACAGGAACACAACGATCGAAACCGTATTTTTCAAATATTAACCACCATATTGGTGGATAATATGCATTTTGTTGATGTAAAGTTTGATGCTGCGTAGGGAGATGATTCGAATGAGAGGTGGAGTTAGAAATATTATGTACATAATTTGTTACAATGACATTTTGATTTCCTATTCCTGATTGCCGCTGAAATAGATTAGAAGGCAATGATTGCATTGCCGATTCAATTGCGTCATCCAACGCTTTAATTTGTTCTAATCGACTGATTGGCTTAGGTTCAGGTGGTGGTGGAGAAATCGTAATCGCTGACTTTGAAACTTGATGATTAGTTGTTGCCGATGGTATTGAATGCCTGGAAAGAACAGGTATCACATTTTCAATTTGCTGCTGTTGTTGTAGCTGAAGTTTGACTGGTGGAATCGGAAGCGTGGAAATAGAATTCGGTTCAGGTCGAGTTTCTGGAGTGGACATTTGTTTTGAAATATTATTGCTAGAGGTAAAATTCATCAGATTATTCGGTTGCAATACTGTCGCAGCAGCCGATGATTGATTCTGAGAACTTTGAACTTGAATTTGGTTTGGTGTTTGAATCTGAAGCAAATGAGTGGGGCCACGAGAAAGATCTGGTGATTGTCCTAAATACTGTTGTGATTGGCCGTTATTATTCTGATTAATAGTTGCTAATGTATTGGTTGTTGTAGCGTTTCGAATAGGTATGATTTGAGCCGTGGAACCTGGATGTAAACTGCTAACTTGTTGATGATGGATCCGGAGATTATTTTGTTGAAGAAACTGTTGCAACTGTTGGTTAGATATCGTTGTTGGTAATGCCGATGCAGCACGTAATTGGGATTGTATTTGAATAGGTGGTGTGGCAGACGCATTTGATGATAAATTACTGTTTGGAATGGATGCCAATTGTACAAATAATTGACCGGATGAATTGGTCTGTATAGATTGTGCAGAAGTAGATGCTAATGTTGAAGATTGAGTGGTAGCACTTTGATTAGTCGATACACAAGAACCATTATGAACTAACACTACCGGTTTTTTCAGCTGATTTATTAGGATACTGTTTGATGATGATGATGAGGAAGAAGTGGTCGTAGTTGTGGACAAGGGTGTCAGAGAAGATTTATTCTGTGTTTGTTCAACAGCGATCAACGATGTCGAAGTAGGTGTATTTGACGTCATTTGTGATGAATCTGAACTATCCATCGTATTTTGTGAAATGATTGATGAATTTGAGTTATCTATCGATAGAAATGATTGTGTAGTTGTGGTTGATGTGGAGAGAATCGTAGATGAACTCGATTTTGAACGAGATCGTTTTGTCGCTGAATTGATAGATTGCAATGGTTGGCCATTTTGTTGGGAATGTTGTTGTTGGCCACTATTTCGTTTGATTCTTTTCACCATCGGCTGATGTGGAACTTGCAATACTTGGGCTGTTGGCGATTGGCCATTCGAATTCGTAAAATTCTGATTTAATTGAACAGCTAATAATGTTCCACTGGATGGTAACTGAATTTGTCCGCCAGTTGTCGTAGTTTGAGTTGTTTGATGACCAGGTGAAGAAACGGTTACGATCTTTGAATAGTTTCGTTTTATACCTTTGGCAGATGTAGGTGAACCGACAGAACTTTGTTGCTGATGCTGGATTAATGTAGACGTTGGATTAGTTGCAATGGAGACATTAGTTGGGTCGATTTGAATTGAACTTTGTTGCTGTTGTTGTTGTTGTGATGTAACAGAAGCAAAATGCTGAGCAAATTGCTTCTGATTGATCAACGTAGGATGACCGCTTCGATTCAGCTGACTTAATTGAGTTCCCTGACGTATGATCAGCGTTCGAGGTTTCATATTCGAAGATGGAGTTGAAGAGGATGATGCATCTTGCTCGCCTCCAGTACTAGTAACCGCGATGATTGAAGATTTTCCCGAGTCGGACGATGATTGCTGAGCTGGAATTTGAATCGATGTTAAGCTTTTTAGATTCTGAGCACCAGATGTACTAGTTGTTCCTAACATAAGCACAGGCTGAGATGGTTGTTGTTCAGAACCATCGACAATACTGATACCTGATGATGAATTTGTAGTTGTTGTAGACACTGATGGTAACATTTTGAAAATTTTCAATGTTTTCGTTTGATGGGGAAGAGGATGATGATTGCTGGAGATAGCTTGTGGTGTACCGCGAACACATTGTGTAGAACAGAATTGTTTGCCTTTACCATAGAAAGTATCTCTTACACCAAGATTACCACATCGCTTACAAACACCAAGACCATCATCACTAATTGGAACTCTAGATATTAAACGAGTGGTTGTATTATTTGATCCAGTAACTGTCGATGAAGATGAAGTTGTCAATCCTGCCGATGATATGGCTATGGGAAACGTGGAGGGAGATGAGGATGTGATCGTAGTTTCTGACGAAGATGATGTATTTAAGAATTGTTTCGAGGCTGATGAAATCAATGAAGATAATTCAAATTGCTGGTTGAGAGGAATACCAGATGAAGATGTTGTTATAGTCGATACAGGTATAAGATTCACCGTTGACGATTGATGTTGTTTAACGATTCGGTAACTTGGATTAATTTTAATGTATTTTTGTTGGATATTTGAACCTCCAATTGTTGTAGTTGAAGATGTTGTCGTCGATTCGCCACTAGATTGCAAGTGAGATCCAGCAGTTGTGATTCGAAAACTGTCGGCTGGTATTTCGAGATATTGTATTCTGGATTGTGGTTGATTTTGATGATGGATTGTTGATGGAGATGATGATACAATTGCGCGATGTATGCCATTACTTGCTGATGTTCGAATCGATTGTGCTTGTTGTTGAGCTATCTGTATGACAACATTGGCCGTAGTCGATTGTTGAATGGTGCCACAGTTACTATTATCCTCTGAAACACTTGAATTTGAAGCAACCGTATCAGATGTTTGAGTGTAATTTTCTGATGAATTCTCATTGTCAACTTGTATGGCCGACGATTGGTGATGAACTTGGCTCATATTTTTTCAATAATGAATGATGAATGGTCAACGATGACCATATATAAAATGAATGCGGTAGATAAAGAATTTTTAAATTTTTAAATCTTAGGGAAGAATCAATCATGGGGTGATTCTGGACGTTATTGACCTGATAAAGCATAAATTATTTGTCAGAATATAGTAGATAATATTAAAGAACAAAATGAAAATTTAAATATGAAACAGTAGAATTTTGACAAATAATTTCACAAGTTATTTTTTTAGGCGCCAATTTTATTGACAAAGTCAGTGATTAGTATAATATATCGGATCATATATTGATGATATTAATCAAACACATTCAAAACAAAACAAATGAATGAATGCAACAATTTATATTATTATTTGGTTTGAAAATCTCCAAAATTTGATGTGATGAACCATAATTATCAAAATTTACTTAAAAAAAACAAAGACAAATAAAATGAATAAAAACACACAACACTAATAAACATAAACAGAAAGGGAGTGAAAGTGAGTGAGCACACTTACTGAGACGGCGGCTATTCCGACTATACACGTGCTCAATTTCAAATGCGATATTCGTTTTGCAATGATATTCGAATTAGAATAGAAAATTTGAATTTAATTTGATTTTAGAAATTTCTTTCAATTATAAAACTCTTAAATCATTTCAAAATGAATAATAAAAATAGAAATAATGATAATAATGATAAATTAGAGAAAAATAAGAAGAATTTTAAATTTAATTTGTTTGAAACAGATATTACATAAAATAGGTGTATTTAAAAGCTAGTTTGTGCATGAGCTATTCGTATTAGTAAAATTTTGCACATAAAGACCAAGTTCTTAACAAGTTGTAATGGAAGCCAAGATTTGTCCAATGAAGCAGCCTATCGTTATTTACGATGTGATAATCACAGATTTAGATAGAATTAGATTGAATGGAAAAAATTGATGATTGTCGGATATAACGAATTGTGCGGTACGTCTATTAGACAGAATTGAGTGTTTGTCTATGTATCACATATTTTCAGCAATAGCAGCGATCGTTTCAAAAACTATAAATCGGTGCCACAAATTTTAGCTGCCCATAATTCGCTAAAATAATCAAAATCACGAAATTGTTGTTGATCTTCGGCAGATATTGGCCTTTGTTCTTTCGATGGTGTTAATTGTGGCCGTTCGGATGTGAATTCATAATCGAAATTAGATACATCTTCCATTGATCTCTGTTTATTTGAATAGAATAGATTTAGTGTTTATTCATAATTTTCAAAAAAAAAAGACTTTCAACTTACCACTTTTGGTACAAACGGAGGACGAATTTTTTTCTGAAGTAAATTTTCGAAATTCATAGTCTATATAAAAAAAATAAAAGTTGAATAATTTAGAAATAAAAAATTTTGCACGCGAAATTCAGAATTCTTACTCGAAAAAAAGATTGTCGTTTGACATCTTCAGAATCACGTTCAGATGATCCGAGGCGTTTTTCTGGTGGCTTTTTCAACAACTAATTATTCAAAGATGGAAAAGTTCAATTAACTAAATTTCTTAAATAAAGAAAATCAACATACCCTACGCATCAACGATACGGCTTCAAGTGATAAAAATTTTGGGTATTTAACTTCTTCATTAACAATAGAATCAAATACTTCTTCTTCATCATCGCCAGGAAATGGTGACTGTATAAATAATTGATTTTAGACAAAACATGTGATATTATTGAATTCGATGCCTTACCTCACCGACCAACATTTCAAATATCAAAACGCCAAATCCCCACCAATCAACCGATCGTGTATAAGTATTTTCGGTTAATACTTCTGGCGCAAGAAATTCTGGTGTGCCACAAAATGTACCCGTACGATCACCATAACCGATACCTAATTTACATAGGCCAAAATCAGCAATTTTCACATAGCCTTCTTGATCGAGTAAGAGATTGTCAAGTTTAAGATCTCTAAAATATTTATTTGATTAGAAATTGACAAAAAAAATAATAATAATAGAAACAGCATACCTATAAACAATAAGATTTTTATGTAAAAATTCCAAACCCAATAAGACACAACTTGCATAGAAAATGGTACGAGGTTCATTAAACACTTGATCATGAATGTGCATCATTAGGTCACCACCGCATGCATATTCCATAACAAAACAAACGTGTTGCGATGTCTGGAAACAGGCGAACAAATTAACCAGAAATGGATGACGAACGGCCGTCACAGTTTCAAAGATTTGTTTCTCAGACAATAATGAGTCAATTTCATCGCGAGCAATAATGTCACTTTTTTTCAGTGCTTTGATGGCAAAATAATTTTTTGTGCGTTTGTATTTTCCAAGTAAAACTTTGCCAAAATGACCACGACCAAGTACAGCAATCAATTCAAAGTCATTCAAAGAAATTATTTTCGTAGATGGTGTGAGTGATTTTCGTGTCATCTGTGATTTAGCACAAATTATGGGCTTTGGTGGTGGTTGAGGTTGTTGTTGATGTTTAGGTTTAGGAAACACCGGTAATTGATAACCTTCGGGTGAATCTGGAGTCGAATGTTGCCTTTGGATGGATGCGAATTCGTCATCAAAAGGTTTAAAATTATCGATAATTGGTTGAAATGAAGCTGATGATATTGAAGTGGCCGATGATGAACCATGTATCTTCAACGAAGATAAATTCAGTTCTAATGGACTAGGGGTGGTGTGTTGTGCAGTTGCTACAGCTGTGGACAAAGAAGTTGTCGAGATTTCACCAATCGAAATGGTACTATTATCACTTAATTTGTTAACTGATGATGATGTGCATGGAGTTTTCTCTTGTTGTTGTTCGGGTGATGGCTCTTTGACAATTGGTTCCAAATTTATGGACACTAAGTTAGATGAATAGTCGGATGGATCTTGCGATGATTCACGTGAAATACTTTTTACAGAAATTGTATCTAATGGTTTGGCGAGCGTATCATTGATAAGCGATCGGATATCCTTATTATTTGGTGGATAAGCGGAATTTGATGATGATGATGATGAAGTTGAAGATACTGAATGTTCTTCAAATGATGAACGCGTGCTATGTGGTGCTGATGATTTTGTCGATTGTGGAGGTGTCGATGATTTGCCTGCAATGATTCGATATGGTTGAGATTGTTCGTTTGAGGCTAGTATTCCACCGACCATAGATATAGTCATAGATGTTGATGCTGGTGATGATGATTGTTGATCAATATTGGAAATCGAAGTTAATGACTCGGGCGCGCTTGCAGCAAAAGATGTGGCTACGGACGAAATCTGAGGCTGTTGTTGCGATTGTGAAAGTTGCTGTTGGGTTGCTGAAGGTGCTGTAGATGGAAAAGCTCGCTTCAAAAATCGACCCCATGCAGCTACGGTCATGTTCATTTGATTGGGTCGTAGGAAATTTGTATCGGTTCCTTTTTGACGAAACAGTTTTTGCCGTTTTAGACCTTTGGATCGTGGCGCAGTTAAAGTTGGATTGAAAAACCGAAATTCAGCAAACAATATCCCACATGGTTCCAATGGGATAGGTATTCCATGCCGATGATTGTCAATAAATTCTTCAAGTCGTATAAATTTCAATGCACACAATGAACGCCAATCATGCCAATGAATCTGAATTTCAAGTTCTTTACAACGATCCAGATCAAATGTAAAACGTTGATCCCATGCTTCTTGACTACATTGCCGCCAACTTGTCTGACCGACAGTAACATTATCTAATTTTAACAAAGCCATTATTTCGTTTGAAACCTCTTCTTTGATTGAATAGCTTTTCGATGAAGTGCGACCCAGACCTTTAGATCGTACGAAATTTTTCAAATCTATTGCACCAGAGCTATCTTTTTCTTTGTATCTTGAACGGCCAGGTATTTCTTCCAATAGATTTTTACAACCGAGTAAGCGTACTTCTAATCTACCAGTAACAGCAGCCGGTTTCGACATGAACGAAACTGTCGATGATGAAGAGGAAATAGAGCCACTGCCATTTGAGGAATTTTGACGGTCATTACGGAACGATGCGACATAATCAGAATTAGTGGCCAAAACGATAGTAGGAGAATTCAATCTCGAATTAGCTGATTGACTGGATTCCAATTCCTGCTTCAATTGTTGAGCTTTGAAACTGTTTGCCGGCAAATTGGAACGGCATATATCTAAAGCTTTGCGAAGAATATCGACTTTTTGAGATGATTCTAGCATCGATGATTGAGCTTCTTGCAATAATTTTTCACCGGAAGTTCTTGATAATGATCTAATTGCATTTTTTGCTCCTTCAACAACAGCACATTCGACACGTAAACGATAACGAAGTTCTTCGATTCGAAGATCCAACGATGGATGTGCAAGATTGTCATTTTGATTCTTGCCCAAAATATTAGCAGTGCCATTTTCCATGAGAGCTTCTTGTTGCTGTCGTAGATTTTGAATTTCACTTTTGACACGAACAATTTGCATGCGAATATATTCAATGCGAGTTTTCGATTCTTCATGCATCGAATGTGCTTGGTCAGCCAAAATTTTTGAACGTTTTTGATCAGATCGATTTTGTCCAGACGATGCAGCTAAAGTTTCAATCATATTTTCTGCACCTTGTTTAACTTTTTGTTCGATACTAATTCGCTTTTCAAATGTTTCTAATTGTTCTTGAAGTTGATCGATTAGTTGTTGATGTTTAAGGCTTGATTCGGTCTCTGATGATAACGTTTTTGATTTAGATTGTTGACTAGCTGTTTTATCGGATAAATTCGTTTCCGAAACTCCGATATCTCCATAATCAACATTCAAAGAAGTGTAATCTTCGCGACTATCTGATGATGTCTGGCTATCTTGATGTTGTAACAACATCATAGAATTGTTATTAGTATTATTCAAGCTCATGACATTGCTATAATGATTATTATTACTAAGTTTCTTATTACTTGACGACCCACTATGACATTCGACCATAAAACGTTCCAATTCAGCTAAATCATCGTTTAGTTCTTGAAGCTTACAATTGGAACTTTTGATCATTTTATCTACGTTAGACCAGGCCTTCCGATCTGTTGATGCTCGACGGAGTTTATCCGCACCTTCTTGAATTTTCAATTCTCGTCGAATTTCACGGCGTAGTACCTGCCTCATTAAATCTAATTTATCATCATCGGATATTAATGATTCATTATTGTGCGTTTGTTGTTGTCGAATAAAATCAATAAATTCTGGTGTGTTGATGAGATCATATTTTTTCATTAAAAAATTAAAGAATGACCATGATGATGTTAATGTTGTAGATGCGGATGAAAGATTAGGACCACCGGTAGCCATATTTACGGAGATTGGGCCACTAGTAGCACCAGATGATGATGGTGAATTTGACGCTAATGATGAAGAAGCCATCATTATTGTAACATTTATGCAAACACAGCAAAGAGAAAAATGCGCTTCACCAAGAGAAAACCGACGATTCTACCGTCAATTATGATGTAGTGAAATCTGAAAAATAAAAATAAAAATAAAACAGTAAAATTATCAAGTTGATGAATAAATGGAAATTCAATTAGCGATTTGAACAAGCATACAAAAAGGAAAAAACAGAATGAACATTTTTGGCAACATTTGAAACAGAATGTCGGAAAAATTTTAAAATGTAAACAAAATCCAGTCGAAAAAAAATTCTCGAAATTCAAATTCAATATAAATTGAAATACAAAAGAGCATAATCATATAAATCTCAAAAGGACTTGAATATTGAATTTATAATAATGGAAGTATATTATAATTCATTCATTCAATGTTCTCATTTATAGTGTGTGATATTCTAGGGATCGAATGGCATACAAAAGAACAGAATGCAAAAAAAAACAAAGTATTATAGGGGTTTCACACTACAGCAATATTTCATGAAATATATACACGAAAATATTTCAGCCCATAAGGTTGAAATGGACTGAAATATTGCATTTGAAATATTTCATTCACATTGCTGCTAGTGTGAAACCCCTATTAGTGAAATTATGACGCAAAAAATTGTCATGTTTGTTATCCGTTTTATTATTAAAGCCTTTATAATAAATTAATGAGAAATTTTATATTTGTTTGCATAAGTATTCTTCTTTGTCTTAATCATCAAAATGATAATGAGGATGATGATTATGATTACAAAAAAAAACATTCATATGAAATACAATTCATCATTAGTTTCAAACATCGATAGACACATTATTATATAGCACGATCTTTTTTCATTTCATTTTATTCATATCATACTATATCATGTTTATCGATTAACATTTATAATCATCATATAAGTAATTTTATATTTTATTGTTATTCATCCAATGTTCTTTGAAATATACATTCAAAATAATAAAAACATATCAAATATCATTCATCAACTATATATAATTTAAGAGAGAAAATGTTCATTGAAAGTTATTGTGGCATATAGAAAGATTCCAAAAAAAAAACAAAAACAAAATTCTGTCATATTAGAAATGTCTAAACAGACTTTATACCAGAAAAATATAAACAGTGTAAAAAATAATAATTTGTGAAAGCATCATAGCAACAACATTGATAGAGCAATCAATAATGCAAATATTTAAAACCATGGCTCATAAATTCGAATCAAAACGAATCATGTGCAATTAAACAAACAATATCATTATTATAATAACAACACTGACAATAACAGTAATAATAACAAAAAAAAAAGAAAAAATTACAATAAAATCGAGAATGAAAATTTTTCTGTTATCATTCTCATCATCATATTTTTCCCAATTATCAACAAGAGTTGGGCAATGAAACAAATAAACATTTTCAATATAAAAAAATGGCTAGAATCAGAATAAAACCAGAGTATTCATGAATTTTCACCAATAGCTAAATCTATTCAACAAAAGTTTAGTAATTCATTTTTTTTTTTGGTCTTGTTTTGCATTTTCGTCTCGTTACTTGCAATGAATCTCATTATTCATACAGACTAAATTGTTGTGAAATAGAAGTTTTCAAACAATATTAAACAAATGATAAATATTTTTCGGATACACTGTAGGAAGTCGAGTGGTGGTTTTTCTGAATTATGCTAAATTAGTACAGATAGAATTCAATTATTTTTTTAATTTTTTAGTTTGTTTATGATTTTCTAACCAAGTCAATTTATTGTTGATGGATAGACAAACAAAACAAAACTCGAATCGAATTGCCAATTCAAAAATCAAACCAAAATAATGTTTTATTTTGTTTTGAACAATTTAAAATGGATTTTTTTAATTATGGTTCGAGTATATTCTTGATAGACATGAAAATCTGAAATTATTTTTTTGAGTGCGTAGATTTCAACAATGAGTTTCAGTTTGAAATTATCGTAAAAACCATTTTGACATCAATTCTGAATTTAAAAAAATTCTCTTTCAGATATATTCTCTAGGCCATTGTTCGAATTTCGAAACAAATTGTTTCCGGTGATAATGCGAACAATGCAGGACAGAAGAATGAATTCAAGAATAAAATAAAAAAGTGAAAAACTAGTCGTTTTTTTTGTTCTATATCAAAACAAAATAGGCAGAAAATGCATACAACGCGTGAGAATCTTTTTTCTATTTTGAATTTGTTGGCCAAGGGTGTTGGTCGTTGTTTAGACAAAAAAAAAATAAATACATGTTTTTACAATTGTTAAAAAATAATGTATTAAAAGAATAAAAAATGTCAAAACATGAATCAAGAATCCAAGAAACACATCGATTGTGAAATAGAAAATATGTTTCAATTAATTTTAGCAGAGAATTTTTTCATTGTCAATTTTTTTCTAAATAACAGACGTTGAATTAATAATGTTTTCATCAAAAGTGAATGAGGAGTGAAAAAAAAATTACTTTTGTTGACGATAGGATCTGGTTGACAATTAACATGAACATCAGATAAACACATTGCCACATATATATCATGAATATAACTTAATGAAGATGTACTTTATTTATCTAAAATAAGACATTTATGAGAAACTAAACATAAAATTTAAAAAAACTGAATGATTTATTACAAATGTTGATGATGATTTATTATTAATTCAATTCAGCAACAAATCGATGTGAATTGTGATAAGATAGATTGGTTTTTTTTCAGATATTTCAGAGATTCAATGATGTAAATGAAATGTTTCCTTCATTATTCATTTTTTTTTTGTCGTTGATGATCGTCGAAAGCATTACATTCGCTGTCCATAAATAACATAACATCATCATATAAAAATGGTTAGAATAAAACAAAAAAAGATTCTTTTCATTAAGAAAAACTTCTGATATATGAAGCAAAACAGGTGAATAATCATCACATGTAATAGCGATCTCAAATTGATCTCATCACACAATTGTCGATATGTCAATGATAATGTTAAGCAATAATGATGGGGCAAACTAAAAGTAACAAATAGATGAAAACGATGAATGAAAAAGGACACAAACAAACAAACATAGACAGACAGACAAAATGAGGAAAGTATTTGTAATTCAAAAAAAATCATATTTTTCAAATGACTTTTATTATTAAAAAAATGAAATTTCAGAAAGATGCATGCAAATAAGTCAAAACTCAAATGAAATGGTCGTTAGTTTTGTAAGTATATGGATACTCACTTGCACAATGACTAACCGGCAAATAGAAATACATTCGGATCTCTTGAAGAATAGGAACCCCAAAACACCCTTTTGTAGAATAAGAACCCCAAAATGAACCTCTTGTAGAATAAGAACCCAAAACTGGTTTTCATGATTACAACAATGAATGTTGATATATATTGTTAATATATATTGTTGGAAAATTGAATTGTTCAAAATCATAAAATTTATGACATAAATCTTAAATTAGGTAGGTTAGGTTAGGTTAGGCTATGACAGTTAGGTTTTCCGGGTAGGAAAACCTAACTGCTAATAGAAATATTTGATTAAAAAAAACCAAAACAGTTTTGGGGGTTCTTAATCTACAAGAGATCTATTTAAAGTTTAGTTTTACAAAAAAACAGTTAGGTTTTCCTACCCGGAAAACCTAACAGTTTTAACCTAACCTAACCTAACCTGCCTAATTTAAGTTATCATATAAAATGTTCATTTACTCTATTCTTTGTTTTGTTTTGTTTAATCATTGTACAAGTTCATGAATTAAATGAATTTATATTGAAATTTTATTTCATTAAGAAAATCATTGAATGTGTTTACACTGTGTCGCTCGCGCCAAAGCATTTCATATATATAACTTTCAAGATGGTTTCTTTGGCATCCATTCATTCTTTTAATCAATTTTTTACTTTTGTTCCAGTAACTTTCAATATTCTGGGTGTGAACCCCCGTAACTTTATCAACGAAATTCAGCTTATGATTAACAGTTTTATGTTGAAATCCTAATTCTTTTTCTATACCCAAATACGATTTCCATTGATCTGAGTGTATGATTGAACCGGGCCTTGCGACTTTTTTAATGATAGACAATAAAGTCTTCGAATCACGCTTTTTTACTATTTCCATATAGCCAATACTCGGTTTAACACTGGTATCGACCATACCGAATACCCAAACCTGTTCTCCACTACGCCCCCGATTATGTTTAGGCCGACAAGAGAAACAACTCTCGTCAACTTGGATCACTCTTTGTTCCCCGCCTAATTTTATTTGATTTGATGTAAAATGATTCTGGCATATTTCTCGAAAAAAATTATAGACATCAACTATTGTTTTCGTACTAACGCCCAGCGTTTCCGAAGCATGTTTCTGTGATATTCCACGCGACCATAAAATCATTGAATGAATCCATGTATGTAATGATAACTTTGATCGGTAAAAAAATGAATCGTGCCTAATCGATATCCGTGATTTACAGTTTTTTTTAACGCATTTCCAAGTAAATTGATCAATAGATTTAGTATATTGCTCCCACTTCATCTTTTCATTACATTTTTTACATTTCATTTCAGATGCAATGAGATTTTTATCTTTTAACCAATTAATTAGTGGTAAAACTTCAGTATCATTGATCAAAGGCATCACAATCTTTCGTATTTCTTCATTCATATTGTGAATTAAATCGAGCTTAAAATATTAACAAACAAAAAACAATGAATGAATGAATGAGTAATAAATGATTTTTTGTGTGAAACCATGGGTCACATTTTAAACAACATGACTTTCATTGTTATTCTAATTTTATTGTTTAAAAATATGAAATACAAGAATACATTTTTAAACAATTTAAAAAAATATATGATGTATTTTGTTTGAATTTTTTCTTAATTAAGGCTTACGTAGAATAAGAACCCCAGAATGAACCTCTTGTAGAATAAGAACCCAAAACGGCTTTGGGGTTCCTATTCTTCAAGAGATCCATACATTCAAACAAACAATCATTGAAAATAATGCAACGAGAGAAAAAAAATATGATACGTCAATTCAACAATAGAAGGATACGCATGCGAATATAATTTATCATCATGATGATGATGATGAAAATAGACAAAATACAAAATAATGTTGAGAAAAAACCCTAAAAAACATACCAAATACAATGAAAAGAGAAATATATTTGATTTATCAATTGTTTAATGAATTAAATATTGAAAAATTTATAAAGTAAATACATTTATTACGGAAGAAAAACTCTCACCAAAAGAATTCATCCGACAAGACATGGAAGTTTGATGCATTTACGGAAATAAAAGAATAACAAATTGAATTAAAAATGTGAATTATTTTTTTTAAACAAATAAAATACCATCCAATTTCATTTGAAAAACTAACAAATATTGTCTATACACAAATGTGACGTGCTGTAGCGTATTACCCACCTACACATAAATGTACGAACAAACAAAACAAAACAAAACTTAGATATTAAAAAGTAAAAGTAAGTGACTTTAATATGTAAAGAAAAGAGAAAAAAAATCATTACTTTCACAAACACGATTGTTGATTATGATAATTATTATGAGTCGTATGATGATTATCATACATAGAAAATGCACAGTAGCATCCAAAAACATTTAGACAAGCCAAAGATATGGTACAAATCTTGATCATATATCATTTATCAATCCCTTGTATACTTTTTTAGCTCTAATACTAATCTATCGTTCTTGAATTATTCATTTTTCTATTTCTATATTTATAATCAAAAAAAAAAAATCATTGATAATTTCAATGAAATTTTTTTTCTAAATAGTTGTTTTTTGTTGTATTAATATATCTGTCCTTAGAAAAAAATCGAAAATTTTGATAAAATGAAAAAAAACATACAGATTAAATTTTGTGAATATAACGACCAAAAAGTAAGAAAAAAAACTAATGATGATGATAAAGGGGGCAACGAACCAAACTATTCAGAAGAAATATATCTTTTCAGCCGCAAGGTAAATATGAAATGTCACCAACATGCAATAAGAAAGAAAAAAAAATACAAATTTCTTAGTCATCCAATATGATGAGGTTATTTTTTTCTGAGTGTTACAAAATTAAAATAAAAATTAAATCATACCATATGATAATGATGACTAAAAAGGATGATGAATCGTTTTGAAAAAAATGTCGTCACATCATCATGATATTAAATAAATGATATATTTTGTTCTCATAGCCGAATTGAACCAGTTTTTTTACATTGTAATTACTATTCTAAAATTTAAAACAATTAACTGATTAAACATTGAATGTTCAATCATAATTGCAAAAAAAATATGCACCAGAAAAAAGGAAAACACCAAACGAAGAAAAATCAAATTCGAGTGGTCAAGAACACTTCAAAATTTCAAAACTGTAGTATACTTTCAAAAGGATTATCATAAAAGTTTGAACAAATAAGGACATGACAGTAAATATGAAAAGCCGTTCATGTTAGGTGAACTTAGAAAGAAAAATCGATACAAGGACAATTGTCAATTTCGGAAAAAATGATGTTTTCAGTCAACAAAAAATAGGGTTTGAATTTGTTCAAGAAAAAAAAGAAACAAATTTATTTGAGATATAATTCCTTTGAACCTGATCATTGAAAAGGAAAAGAAGAAAAAAATAGAATCAATAGCAAAGTGTGCTATCGAATTATCAACAATATTGATGAAGCCAACAAACAAACGATCATAATAAGTGAAAATAAAAACTAAGTCAAGAGGCTCGTGATAAATTCGAGGCTAACACATCAATGTGAATCCTTCTTTTTCATATTCATATTTCTTTCTCTTACATTATATTCTCTTTCTCTCATACACACCCACAGAAGTATCAAATAATAAGACAAAAATTTCTTATTAATGTTAAACACGCACACATATTATTTTTTCAACAGCAAAAAAAATGTGACAGAAAATACAAGACAAAGATGATGCCATATACAATTTTATTAAATAGCTAAAAATATAAAATAAAAACCTTATGAATTCTTTCTTCTTGAATCATTTTTTTAAAATAATTATAAAAACTTTCAAGTTCGTTCAACTATCAATATTTGATTCGTATCAATTGATGATTATTTTAAAACAAATGCAACTAATATTTATATACATGGATATATCGAATGGTAAAAAAGTAAGATAAAATGTTAAATCCTTTATATGTTTATAAAGAAAACATAATTTCACATACTTACTTGATGGATGAATTATTTTTTCTCTTTTCTTGGAATCAATGATGAATGTGGTGTTGGTGATGGTAATGATGTTTTGGATGGACGGCTCTGTTTATAAATAAATGTTGACAAACAATTATTTTGTTGTTGGCGATTAGAAATTAATTTAGATTCTTCATTAATTTATGTATGTCTTTTGTTGATTGTATATGACAAGTTTTTGATCAAAAATTTTCAGCAATTTCCATACAAAGAATGGGAGACAAAATTATATACACAAATATAAAACATTACGTAATTTGTTGATGATTTGAGATTGATATGCTTTACAAATGTTTTGTTTCGTGATTATGTTATTTGGTTTTCGAAATTATAAATCCAAACACAAATCCATCAATAGACGATTTTCGTTACAAAATTCAAATACTTTTAAAAAAATTCAATTAAAAACAATGAGTTTTAAAAAAATCAAAATAAATTAATAGTAATAGACTTACCAAATTACTATTTATTAAAATATTCAATAAGATGGATTTCTGATAAACAAGAAAAAATGAAATTGAAAAAAATCGATCAATAGTTGTCTTGGAATACATGTGGTTACCATTGTATCAAAGAAAATCATCTCAAACGATAAGATATATCACCTTTAGTGAATTGATTTATAATAAATTGATGACGACAACAAGATTTTAATGGGTTTACAATAAAATCCTAATCTAAATGCAATCAATGATTATTACTAAACAAATAAGAAGTAAATTAAACCAAACAACAGAAATCTTTGAGTACTAAATGTTATACAGGTAAGAACATGAATGGATCACTTTTGCAAAAAAAAAAGATATGAATCGAATTGTCTTATTCAACGATGAATTGTCGAAAACATGGAATCTCTATGAATAAAAAAAGAAATTGATTTTTTGTTATTGACGATTATTTCTTCTAAAGTGGCCTCTATCGTTGCGATACAGATTTAATGCAATTGTAAACAGTTGAAAAAAGAATCTTGTCATCTTACGCATATACACAATGTTAGATGGGTGTAATAAAAAAAACTACATACATAAAACAGGTATCTAACGAATTAAGAATTTCAAATACTTTGAAAAATAATCGATGGACTGATGAACAAAACAATAACAACAGAATTTCGCTGATTTAGAATTTAAAATAACAAATTTTTTTTCGAATCTAGCGAATTTAGTTATAAATCGACATATGTACAAGTAAATTAGCTGGCTTCTTATTTTCTTCTTCTTGTTTGGTATAGTTTTACTGAAGCTCAATTTTGATGAGCAGAAATGTTTGTATGGTTACTTTGGTTACCTGTAACCATGAAAAGTGGCGTGTGTGTGTGTCATAAGGGGTCCCTATCATTATTTAGTTTTAATACCTGAAATAGTAATCGTTATTTCAATATAATGAACTTACCTTCTTCACAGGTCGGCGGCTTCAAGTAACCTAGTGGTAACAAAAAAAAACAAGATAATCGATGCGTTGCTCTGTTTTTTTACGAAGTAAAAGGTTATATAAAGATGGACTGGTTTTTTTCCTTTTTTCAAGACAAAGATTGAAATTTCTGCCGCCTTTTATTGTGCCACCACCTGTACCATTTTTTCAAAAGAAAATAATGGTCATGGTATTGCTACCATCATTATCATCAATGCTTCTTGATTAATGATAATAATGGTTGTTTGTGGCCGAATTCACAGTGTCGATTTCGTTGTTGTAGTAGTTTTGGGCGCAACAGTTTATTCGTCGGAATGTTATTTACCATGAAATGAAATGAAAGAAAAAAAATGAACCACTACTCTTTTAAGTGGTATGTCTAAAAACTCAGCTAATTTTATTCATGTAAAAACGCATGCATTAATAAACAAATTCTTAGATTCCGCTCATAAATGACGTGGCAGAATTCTTATTCATTTTTTCACATGGCATGTAATAATCTGATATATATGAAATCATCAACAACCGATGATTATGATGTTGATGATGATGACTTTAAGTATGATCGAAAATATTCAAGAACACCAAAACAATTCGACGCAGAACGACAACAAGCATTATCTCGTCTGGATTTATCGAAAAAAGGTTCCATCGATGAGTCAATTGAATCGCTTGTAATTCAATTGAATAAATCTGCCAATTTTTACACTACTAGCTCGTGTTCAGGTCGAATTATTGTAGTAACGAAATCCAACGATAATGTTGAATCTATAAATGAAAAAAAGAAAAAAGGTCTTCAATGGCAATTTGTAACACATTCATTAATCAATGATGTTGAAGAATTTGTTCAGAAAATTGTCGATCATTCCCAAAATATAAGTTTGAACGAAAGTTCAACTTTAAAATTTGAATCCTTCATTCTACATGTACGCTGTCGAACATTGGATGCAGCACGACAATTATTACATTGTAGCATTGATTCTGGTCAACGTAATTCTGGTTTAATGATCGCTAATAGTGGCAATCTAACCGTTGCTGTTCGTAACACTCTAAATCTTGAAGTTCCACTAATAATCGATGGTAAATTAATGATCACTTTGGACTATCTCCATAAATTAGTTGACATTGTCAATGCCAAAATGGTCTCGAATTTTGATATGATTCAAAGATTTCAACGTAATTGTGAATTAAAATCAATTTTTTATTAAAAAAATTTACTATCGAATTTGATTCATAGATGGCGCGGTGTAATTGATTTTTTTAAATTTTGCTAATGATCGCATTCCGATTTCAATCGGATTAAATATCTGGTAACATAAACAATAATTCTTGTTTCCTCAATTATTTTCATCATCATCATTACATCTTCCAAAATATTGTTAATGATATTACTCAGAAAAATAGATTGATGAATGAAGAGAAAAATGTTTTCTTGAACCATATGACTATATATTGTTGATAACATATATCAAACAAGAAAACAAAAAACATATTGCACGCAAGCTATGTCTACTAAATCTTCTTATTTACTGTATCGATTTGGTTTCCAATCCGACCATCAACTATAGTGAGGAACTTTATTTAAAAATCTATTAGGAATAGAGAAAAAAAGTATAATTTCCGATTCAAATTAATCAAATCGCCTTATTTTATCTTTATTATTATTATTTTTATATTTTGATTCAGCTCCTTTTCAGGCTCCAATATGTTTTTATACATCATCAAGACAGATCCAGATTATTAGAATGTTTTATTTTTTTTCCTACCGACTTATGTATTCGTTCGATTATCATTATTATTTTGGATTTGTTTTTTTTTTTGTTTGTTTGGTATCTGATTGACAAAATGTTAATGAAGTGGGCGATAAATCTCGAAAAAAGGAAAGTTTTCTATCTTATAATTTTTTTCAAGAATTATTAATTCTTATAAATTCTTTTAATTTTTTTCGTTGTGTATGCTGAAAATATTTTTTTTTGTTGTGACTGAACAATGACTGATATTTATTCACAATAAATATCTTGTTTGTTTGTTTTTTTTTTGAAAATATTTTTCAATATTAGCCTGACATATTGAAAAAAAATCTGAAAAATGCCTTTCTCTTTATACTCTGTTTATCGATTGAATACAAGATTCAGTGATCCATATCTATTGATGCGGAGCACAATTGTTTGGTTTTTTTTATTATCGAACGGAATTTATTTCAAAATTCCAATTTTTAAATCGATTTGGAAGGAAGGAAAATGAAAAAAAAGAAGAATAAAAAGGAAAATGCCATTAACATATTTAATATAAACAGGTCATGATGGTGAAAATGAATGTGCCAAAATTATGATTGGTTGAAAAAAAAATTCAAACATTTTGCCAAAATTTTTAAATTTTCATCCCACAAAAAAATTCATTTAAAAAAAACTTTTCCAAAAAATTCTTATTTTTTCTATTCACAGATAAAAAGATGAAGAAATAATCGAGTATCAGAATTTTGCATATAAATGCAATTGAATATTCATCAAGACAAGAAGGTAACGCAATCGACCGCTTTTTAACCACTATCAAATGGCATATTTTTTTAAATATGTCACTTGTCATTTGAATGTTGTAATCGAATGGCTAAATTATCATCATCATTGCATTATTTACATAACAACATCGTGTTCGATTTGCTTGTTTTGCGTGTCACTACATATCATCATCACCGAAAATCAAATGAAACATAAAAGATATAATAAAAAACAAGAATATTCAAAGTAAAATGAGATCGTGTATGTTTCATATTATAATTTTTATTTTTCCTATCATATTTATTCTATTTTTGAATATTGATCAAATGATCTCAAAAACAAATAACAAAGATTTGATTACGTTCAAAGACCTTCTTTAGAAAAGAAGGGCATATTTTTTTGTCAACAAGAGAATTTTCGATTGATTAGAATCATTCATCATAAAATGAATGATAAACAAGTCGAAAATCCACGAAACGTACATAAAATGTCAAATTGATAACAAAACATATATGTATAGATTCGTGTCTGTCGTTCATAATTCATGTTCAATTCATTATATTGAATATATGGAACAAAAAAAAATTCACACATGTAATAGAATTGATAATGGCATGACCAACGTAAATAAAAAAAAATAATGGAAAGGAAAAAAGATTCGAAAAAATATTCTATGAAGAATTCAAACACTGAGATTTGATTACCTGCGATTTATTTTCCACTTGAAAATTATTTACAAGAATCAACGTCATCATTTATTATTATTATCATCATTTCTATGATCATGATTATTATTTTAAGCCATTAAGACGATCATCAACATTTATAAACACTGGAAGAAAGAAAAAATTGGCCAAAAATTTTTCAGATTATGAAATGTGAAAAAAGTAAACACACATTGAACATATTATATATTGTTATAAGTTACGTAAGTTTTTGTATTATTGCTGTAAGCGACATTTTTTTTTCTTATTTACTGATGAAGAAAGCACACAAAGATTGTCCATAAAAGTAAACAATACGAATAAATAGTTTTAATTTAATTTTTTGTTCTTTGCATTTAAGTATTTTGTTGATTTAAAAAAAATTTAGTAATGTTACTAGAACAGGTTTTTTTCTGACAAAGAGTAAAAAAGCTCAAACAACGATAATATCAATCTTAACCTTTGAAAAAAAATTTCATTATTCAAATGTCAACAATAATGCTCGGATAATTTTTATGCCTGAAATATTCATTTCTGTTTAAATTGTCGAAAATGACAGAAATTAAACAAAAATTTTATATGTTTGTAAAAGCGAATTTACGACTATTTCCATTGATGATTGCCATTTTGCTTCCGATTTTAATATGGTTACCATATTTATTGAATAATATGATTGATGATAATGGTGAACATGATTTTCGATTGATTCCGTTTCATGGTGATACCAGTAATGGATCACCATCATCTAATATCTTTTCTACACTTTTTGATTTTATTTCTGTCCTAAGTAAGTAGATCGGTTTTAACATTCTGAAATATATAACCAAATTTAATTTTAATTTGCAGTAATCATTACCGCGTGGATCCGCTATAAACAGGTGAAAACATGCCTGAAAGAATTGAACATTCTTCATAACAATCATATTCATAATGAACGTTTAAGGAATTTTAATTTCTTTTCCTTATCATTAGCATTAATGGTAGCAACTGGAGGCTGTTTAATGGGAAATTTTTCATTCAATGAAAATACTCTCACATTCTATGTTCATACAATTGGTGGTTTTCTATTTTTTCATGCTCTACTTTGGTATATGTTAATACAAACCTATCTTGCATGGATATTGAATCAAGATCCTCATTCAAAAGAATCTGTACCAATATCGATGATAATAACGACCGGAATTGGCTTCGCTAGCATCATTTTATTTTCAATATTTTCAATAATCGTTTCGTTGATAAGTACAAATATCGATACTATTCAAAATATACACGAACGTTATTATCAATCAGCGAATGATAAACACTACTATTGGTATAATCAAATATCGGCCATTAGTGAATGGATATATCTTCATTCATTGATACCATTCTATTTATGTTTATGGCGACGTATTGGCCATTTTAAAAACGATTGGAATCAAATATCATTTTGATCATCAAATTTATTGGCCAAAAAACCCTACTAGAGAGAGAGAGAGAGAGAGAGAGAGAGAGAGAGAGAGAGAAGAAAAAATGGTTTTCCATTTCCAGTTGTCATTGCTATTATTATTCTTTATTATTCGTGTAANACTATTGGTATAATCAAATATCGGCCATTAGTGAATGGATATATCTTCATTCATTGATACCATTCTATTTATGTTTATGGCGACGTATTGGCCATTGGAATCAAATATCATTTTGATCATCAAATTTATTGGCCAAAAAACCCTACTAGAGAGAGAGAGAGAGAGAGAGAGAGAGAGAGAGAGAGAAGAAAAAATGGTTTTCCATTTCCAGTTGTCATTGCTATTATTATTCTTTATTATTCGTGTAATGTAGGAAAACAACAATGTTTTCTTTGGGATTCTATCATCATTTCTATTTTTGGCTGCTGATCTGATGACAATGATGATGATGGTGATGGTGAATGATGATGGTGATCATCATCATCATCATTGTCATTACTAGGTTCCTTGTAACCAACAGCTGCAACATTTCACTTGCACGAACTAAAACAACAACAAATAAACGAATAACTTGATTTCAAAAAAGAATAAAAATATTACACAAACAACCATCAAAAAAGAATTCTGCAATAAATTTTTTCCCTATTCACAACACTGATACAAAATGAAAGATCTTTTTTTTAAAAAAAAAATCTGGTCATATTTATGATGATTCAATGGTACAGTTTGAGATATATAAAAAAAACGTTATTTTTCATGACTGAATACAATTATTAAATCTTTTTTTTTTGTTGTTTACATCATAAACTGTCAAATTCACTCTCATATTTGTCTAACAAAAATGAATATTTACGTGTAAGAAAAATGTTAAATTTTCTTCTATTTTGGATTCTAAAAATAGAATTCTTTATGATTGTTACATTTTCATTTTTCTTTTTTTTTCTGAAAAAAATCTGATACGGATATAAGGAGATTATGAAAAGAACTTTTTTTCAATCGAATAGTTATCCAAACCATTGATTTTTTGTGCCATTAATTCAAACAAAAGAATCATTAGTCTTTTGGGTATTGTAATATGGAAAAAGATTTGTTCAAATGACAAAAATTCACCATGAATCAGCAATTTGAAAACGATTTCAGAAAAATTATAGATAGTTAGTGTGTATCAACTTGTTGGCATTTTATTATTCAGAAACTGGTGCGAATTGTGCCAGAATTTAAAAAAATGTATTGCAGCAAAGCTATCTTTTCTTTTTAACTAACTTTCAAAAACGATGAGTGATGATGTAAATGTATAGAAAATAGCTTTTGATAAAAAAAAAATCTATAGTGACAAGATGTAATGATTGACAAATGTAGAATAACAGGCATTCACATAGATGAAAAAGAAAATAAATGAACAAAATTTAATCATTAATAAATTAGAATTTTAGAATGTTAACAAGAATTAGAATCAGTGGGCCATGACATTTTCGACGAAATCTGGTCTTGATGTCAACATATCATTCGTCTTGATATTCATTTTTTACAATTATATCAATGAAAAAAAAATTCGCATTAAAATGGTCTAATCAATCATTGGAAAACATTACCGGAAATATTTTTCGCGTAAAGAACAAAAAAATATAGCAAAGGTGTAATGTGAAAATAAATGAGGTGCATAAATTATTTTTAAAAAATATTTTATCGTGTTTGTTGTCGTTCGATTATCTTTAATATTTATATATGTTGATGATGTTAGTCCATAAATAAAATTGATAATAAAGGATATTGTTTTTTTCTCATTCATAAAAAATATGAATTTCATTAACATTATAGTAGCATGTCAATTTTATCTTTGTTTTTAATAAATCGGATGAATTTTTTTTAATGAATATGATAATGGATTTATAGCCATAAATCGAATGAATCAAAATAAAATCACGAGTTATATAATAATGAACGAAAACGATCAATACTTTAATAAAATTATACAAAAAATCGAAAATAACATTTTGAAGATGACTGCTGCCACTTAATGCCATGATAAAATAAGTTTCAAATATAATGTCCAGAATTCTAACCGGATAATCAACTTGTCATATAGTTATGATTTGTCGTTAAGCTATTTGATATTCTTTTATTCAAGATGATAGTTATGAAGACAAAAAAAAAAGTTTCAGAAAAAAACTAACATTTGGAAACGTACAGGTTTCTTTACATAAACTGTCTTGATTTTTCTAAAATATTCGTTAACATTTAGTTTCATCTATAATGAAAATAATAAATGAATCATCATTTTTTTCATTTAGTCCATTATGCTATTATGTGTCGTTATTAAGATTTATGTCAAAGATTGACGGCCTGAAGCGATACATATTGATAATTATTTATTAGCTAATTATGTTGAAACCTTAGAATTTTATAAAATAATAATTCTTTTCATATTTGGTAACATCTTTCTTTTTTTATGTCAAGATTTTTTTCTGAAGAAAAAAGGCGGAGCTCGAATAAAGGACGGACGGTTCATTTGATTTCATTTGATCTTGGTAAAAAAAACAATGATGACAAAAATGATAGGACTGTATCCCTACAGAAAAAACAAGCCATTATGGAAAGTTCATCATCATCAAATCGAATAGTATTTAAATTCATTCAGATATTTTTTCTTATTATCGGCATTATCCAGTTTGAACACTTTTTTGTTGTTGATAATTCTCTTACGCAAGTCTAACTATATGTAATATTACGATATACTAGACTCTTTAGATATACGACGCCCTAAAACAAAAACCCATATAAAAAAATGAGAATGAAAGCAACAACAAAAAATACTTCATAGAGGTATGAGACAGGCGCTGATTTGAAAAAACCAATAAAAAATAAATAAATAAATAACGATGACCAAATTCGGGTGAAATCCAAAATTTTCAAACAGTCAATGTTTGTTTGACGAATAACGAGGATCCTTTTCTCATCATTATTCACGAGTTTGAATCTTTTACCGGAACAAGTTGAAAAAAAATTTCATCTTATTGTTCAATTTCACTGTTTCGCTGTTCTAATAAATTTTTGAAAATTCTGTCGAAAGTTGTTGCATTTCGTAAATACAGTTGATTTTATCTGTCTAATTTTGTCATTTTATCAACCAACTGTGGATTACCATGAATTTTATTTTATTGTTTTTATGTTGTAACAAATTCAATAATAAAATTTTAATAAACTTCAAGAATTTTTCCTAAATCTATCAGAAAAAATAGTGTGGAGTTTGTGTTTTGAATGTTTACTGTCGAATATTTTTCAGTTTGAGTAAAAATTTCAAAAAAAAAAACATTCAAGTAAGTTTTTTTTTTGCTGTTGATTTTTTTTACACCATCTTATTATCTAATAATCGATTTTGATTATAATTGTTGAAACGAGTAATTTAAAGAAAGGAAAAGATTGCTTCAAATATTGCAAATAGCACCTACATTCAAATTAAAAATTCTTTAATCAAATATTTTAATATTTAATGTGAATTGGTTAATGACATGTGATGATAGTCCGTTTCTTCAAAGTTTTTCAAAAAATAATCACAAATGGTTTGATCATAACAAATTATAACTGTGATACAATTTTTTCCAACTTTCGGAATTCGTTTATTCTGGGAATTGAGTGAAAACGGTCGTTCATAAATAAATGCAATCGCAAATTATACCATCATAATTTTGATGAGAATTTTTCGTTTTTGATTCACACTTCTTAATCGATCATTGACGTTACCAAGTACAATTATCCGAACATGAAACAATCGTTTAATAGGAATAGTAAAAAATGAAACGCCCATCAATGCAGTTGAGCTGAGAAAAAAAATTATCATTTTGATTGTTCTTGTATCATGATGGATACATACATGACAAATAATGAAAAAGAAAAAACAATCGATCGCAACCATTATTTACGTTTCTGATTGAGATTAAATAATATTTTATCTATTGTCTGAAAAATATTTTCTCGAAATTTCAAATCATTTTCTTCACGTCAATGTAAACTTAAAATCAATAATGTGACAGGAAATATCGATTTATCTATTAGTTTATACCAATTAAGTCGATTTGAATCCAAAAGATCTAGCCAATCAAAACAGTTATGGACGTCATTGTTCAATTCAAAACACAATATACATCCAAATTCATTTGAATGAATATTGTAATATAGATTTTTTTTCATTGTTATTGATTGTTGCTAAAATTAGAAAATTTGTTATGGTGAATAATTTCAATTTTTTCAACTTGCGTGACGATAAAAATTAAATGAACCAAAATGTTATAATCAACAACAACAATAATTTATTATAATTCTAATTTTATTCACTGTTAAAAACACACAGAACAATTATTCGAATATAAAAAGCGTTATAAATGATTAAGAGAAAATTCTGTTGAATGTTGTTTCTCAGTGACCAGTTGGATTTTGAAATTTGTTCTCTTTGAAATGATTTTAATTTTCATCGTTATGGTTTGCATTATGGTGATGATCATAATGTTTTTCTTGATTTTTCAATGCACATTCCTTGATCAACCATTGTCTTGCCTAGATTCAAATCAGCAAAATGACATAATGCTTAAATCGCCAATTATTATGGATAATAATGATTATGGAAGTAATCAAAACCGATCCAAACTACAAAGTCAATTTCAAACCAAAACAAAAACAAATAATAATGATGTATTTGAACAATACATACCCAAAGCATTATTAGCCAATTTAAAAGAAAAAGAAAAAATTGAATTAGCATCTATGGCCATATTAACGGCGCCTAATGAAGTACAATTAATGGATCAGCATGTATTTCAACAACAACAACCAAAACGACCATCCTCAAAACCAGGAATGTTTTCCAGCACATCCTCATCAACGATAACGAAATGGACAAGCAATAGCAGCAATAATAAAATAAATTTACGGTCGACATTGGAACAACCACAATCGAGTCCATTTCATTCAATGTCTACAGCTTCATTTGAGCCAAAATTTTCTCATGTAGGATCACCAACTTCAATGATGGGCCCATCATCCAATATTCATTCTGATAGGCGTTTAATATTGATAACATCGACACCAGTTATGTTCAAAACAAATGCAAAACTTTCAAAAATTAGTGATGAATCATTGATCCAATCGCGCACGCAATCATCATTATTATCAAAAAGCCTTATAACCGAAAAAAAATCAAAAGAACGATCCAAAATTCAGAGTTATTGTAGTCAACCAAGAAATAAAAATGATAAAAGTAATGACTATAAAGGCAAATTGATTGGAATTCCAATGAAAACTCGTGTTGTTTCTAAACAACATCCAAAAGAATCGAATGTAGAGGATAGTTATAAATCGAAAATTTACTCATCAAATATCAATAATATTAGTCATCATTCTCGGCCATTAACATCCGCCCTAACATATCGGTCGTCTCAACCACGAATTGCATCAAACCAAAGCAGCAACAATAGCAACAACGATAGTAAAATTGAATGGACAAACATACGTTGACACACTTAATTTGATAACAAAATAAACTAACCAAACATATATAATCATATCGAATTATTAAACTAAGATTTCTATTTTCTATTTTTCATTGTGAAAGAATTCTAATTTTTAAAAAATTCTATTTTTTCATTTTCTTTCATTTCAGATTTCTTCTTCTTTTTTTCAAAATCTGCCAATTGCAAACAAATACAACAAATGATTTTTCAATTCTATAAATTAAATATTAATTTAAAATATCAATCCTGCCGATGGACAAAACAAATTTTCTGGAATTATAAAATTTTAATTTAAATATTTTTTTCATTGTGCTATTACATCATTGATCATCATCATCACCGGTCATGTTTTACATATAAATAGTGAAAGAGATTGACGTATTTTAATCACAATAAGCAATCGATTTTTTTTATCAAACTGAAAACCTAGTTATGGCAACAATAGGAGAGAATCATTTGAAATGGTCAGAATCGTCAATGTCCAAAACATATGATTTAAAATCAATACAACGAAAATATTCTTGTTCGAATCATTATCATCATCATCATCGAACAACAAAGCCGACTATAGCCATAGCAATAATATTGAAAATGACTCGGATTTTATTAGTAGTCTTTATATCAATGGCATGGCCACTGTCATCATGGGCACATTCACCGCCAATACCATCATCTCATACATCGTCAATTCCAATGACACTTTCTAATGCCGCTTTTCGACAGCGACTTCTATTTGGATCGTCAAACAAACAACAACAGCAATTCAATCCATACAACAATGATGGTTTGAACTATTATCGTTTATCATCACAAAAAAACAGCAATAATCAGAGAATTAAGAATAATCGTTTGGATAAACTTCGTCATTTATTAGCCAAAGCAGAAGCATTATCTTCATCGCCATCTCTTCCTTCATTGTATTCTTCGCCGCATGGTTTCAATATTAATCCGTTAAAATATTTCCATTATCAACATCAACAATCACCGAATAAAGAACCAACATGTGAAGAATTGCGTTTCCTATGGTCTATTAAACAATTTGTATTGCTCGATGAATTAGTCAATGAGAATTATTTGCGGAACAAAAACAAAGATACAACTCCTACAATAAATGTGAATAATGATAATAATATTCCAAGTGAAACAGATATTGAGGATAATACTAATGTCGGAGTCATTGACAATGGTAATGATAATGAGCAAGAAATATTACGGAAAATGTTGGCAAATATACCAAAAGAGAAACAAGTTTATATTACAAAAATTGAGCCATCTAATAGTAAAGAACTTGATGATAATGGTAGTGAAGAGGTAAAATTATCAACTGAAATGTCGCCACTGACATCGGAAAATATAGATGATAAAAATTCACAAAATGTCAATAAAAATGAAGCAATGGAAAAAACAGAAGCGGAAACTGTATCACCATATGGTATCGTGCATAACAGCCCTAGTTCTGCTCGTCGTGGTTTTAAATCGCAATTGCAACCGACAGCTGAAACAATTGGATTTTTCGGTGAATTTTTCGAAGATTTTTTTCCTTTACCAAACCGTACGAATCTTGTAAAAAGTCAGCGCTTAAATCAACAACAGTTACTCGATCGGTACTTGAATGGATACAATCTTCGCAATGGAAAACAGGGAATGAAAATTTCCTCACCATCAAGGCTTGTAACAGTTGGCAATGAAGATTCATTTAGTAATGGCATTGGACAAAAACTATCATTCAAACAAAATCGATTGAAGCAGAATGCTGAATCAAAGTCAATGTCATCGCCTTCATCATCAACATCATCGTCAAGAATAATGTTACCAGGATTTTGGCATGAAAAACCTGTTAAACCATCGGTCAATCTAATTAATTGACTTAGATCTAAATATGATTCCTGCAAAGCGCGATAAGTAACAACTGTCGATAATTTTAACAACATGAATATATTAACGGAATGTTCAACTGATTGGTATTATTGCATTCATTCTGTATTCACCATTACATTCTTTTAAATTGAGAAACTGTTTTTTTTATTCATTTGTATTTAGTTATCTCCTGAAAAAAAACTCAATCGCAAAACAATCATACAAATGATCTCGATTCAAAAAAAAAACCAATTGACATACATTAACAAGTACTCATCTTTAATTTACATTCTAGTTATAACTTCAAAATATTTTTCATTTCGTTAATTTACTTTGAGACATTGATAAATAAATAAGAAACAAAACTAATCTGTTAATGATAATCTCATTTATCAACACACACACACACACACACACAAACACATTATATATAAATGATCATCTAATCGAAAAAAAGTTCCTCATTCATTTATTCTATACATTCAACACATGAAATATTTATCCGAAAATCAGAAAAAGTTCAAACAACTAAAAATTCGAAAAAAACTCATCGAATCATATCATCAGTTTATTAATGATATTAACGATTTATAATCATAAACATTTTCTTTTATCATCATCATCATCAATATTCATATATACATAGCTAATGTGTAACGTTTTAGCCATACACATTATAAACCCGTCAATTCAATTGAATTCTGCTTACCTACATATTTCTCTAAATCAATTCAACAATCTTGATTGATTGAATGATGGACAAATAAAATCAATTAAGATGGCACTTCGGCAATCCATTTTCCTTGGCCAACACATCCAATCATACATACATACAAACATAAAATACCAACACCGGTATTGCATTCGGTGGTTTCACATTCTTTTTTCTCATTATTGTTTCATATATATTCGAGCCAAACTTTCTGTATTTCTCTTTGTTATGTCTTTTTTTCCGAAAAATGATCCAATGAAAATAATATGAATAAATGAAATAAAATCTGCAATGCCAATCATTATGGAAAAAAACAAAACTTTCCTAATTTGATTAAAAAAAATGGTCACCATTAAAAAAGTTTTTCAAGTGCCCTAATTTTTCTTCTTAATACCTGCGGGTCATCAATGATTTTACGAAAAAACAAACGTAAAAAATAGACACCGGGTATTAACGATTTTTATTACGATTTCAATTGGAACACCAGCATGAAAAAAATGGCACGAGAAATTCACCTGGACGACAATCAAATGAAAGATACGAAAATAGAATAGTTTTCAATATTGAAGTGCAACAATATTGACAATAACAATTTCAACTATCCAATTATTCGAACACTTTCAATATTTATAGATCGATAATCATAATGAATTCGATTTCATTGCAAAATTATGATGATTTTTTTTCATTGACGCCATTCTAGAAATTGATTAGTAGGTGTGGTGAAATTCATAAGAAACGACGAATAAATTTAATGTGTGGAATTCGATAAAAGATTAGCACCATTAACAAAAATTATTAAAAAAGTCGCATTTTTATGATAATAATAAATGATAAAAAAATGTATTTCTACCTACGCATGAATTGAAACGAAGACAAAAGTAAATAAAATCAATATTCTCCCGTAAGACTAGACTATCTATCAAATTCAAAATGAAAATAGAAATAAGAAATGATTCCATATAAATTTAATATGAGGAAAAATTCATTCATGAAAATTAAATAGAGAAAAAAAAATGATACAATTATATTTGGTTATCCAATATCTTTAATTCATGATGATTATAAAATGGGAAAATGGCTTTCAATTCATTATCATTTTAATGAGTATTTTGATTTGTTTTTTAAATTCTTTTAAAAATTCATCATGATATGAGAAAAATAATGATAAGTTTGTGAATTCAATCGATGAATTTACTTTCAAATTTGCGCAGCTATTTGCGATTCATAATTATTAATTTAGTTTTCTATTCTTGGATATTCATTAATTTTATTCTATTTCATTGCGTTTTTCCACAAACAACAACCATGCAATTGTAGAGATACAGAAACAAAATATTTCTCCTTCATTCGTTCTTCATTATTTCCTGTTGATAGTTTCTGGTTATTTTCTTTCTTTATTATATTGATTGTACATTGGCATTTGTATTATTTTTTCCTATTAATTCTGTCCATTATTTGTTAGTGTTTGATTTGATAAAGCATGCATCGGAAGAGGGTGTCAAATTTCGAAATTATTTGTGGTTTAAATATTGAATCAAACGGTAGAAAAACAAATTCAAATAAACTAAATAAATTTTTGATTAATTAAAATTTTCTACATTTACAGAACACGAATGTCACAATGGCTGGCCAGACTTTTCATTATTATCAATCATACCAAATGAAAAGCTAAAGGCAATAAATTTTTTCCGTCATTTTTTCAATTGTTTATTTTTGGAAATTAATAAAAAAAATATAAGAGAAAGAATTCACTGAAAATAATGTATGATAAACTACATCTACTTGGACAAACCAAATTATAATAGACAACAATTGAGATACAATTATCCATTGTAGAATTTAAAAAAATCAATTTATAACATACTTTAAAACATAAAATAAATGACAAATGAACCAAATTATCATTTTGAAACATTCATTTATTTAAAATTTATTTATATAATAATCATAATACAATGCATTTATTTATAAAATTGAAAAATCTAAAGTGGTACAGGAAAAATACACAATGTAAATTTAATTAATTTGTACAGATGAATAAAATGAAGCTCATATATCAGTCAGGATCCAAAAATTCGGGTGAAACAATTGGATAGAATCGATGTTTTGAGATGTATTTGAATGGAAAATTGGATACTAAATTTTATCTAAATATTTTAATGATGATCGTATTTACAATGTCCAATTTAATCACCAGGTTTCGTCATCGAAATGTCTAGAATAAGTCAGAAAAAAGAAATAAAAATTTTGAAAATTAATTATGAGTAAAAATTAGAGTAAAAAGTTTTTAAGAACCAATTTTTTTTGGTTGCTTAGGATAACGGAAATAAAAATTGCGGCTGTGTCACGACGGGTTGTGAAAAATAAGTTCAAAAACTCATCAATCAGTGAATGACTGGATGAATGAACACTACACATAACTTTAGATGATAAAGTCAATAATTAAAAACAGAAGAAAAATAAAATATAGAATGAAAAGAAACAACGATGCAAGCCTATATAACACTGATATTGCTACTGGATTCGTTTACAACAAAAAAAATTTCTAGGATTTTCATGAATGATTTTGCTTTCGCTTTTTTACGTATTTCATTGATACCGATGACGTCAACGTAGAATTTTTATGAAAGAAACAGAACCATTAAATAATGTTACGATAAAAATAATGGAAAAATAGTGGTTATGACATTAAACAACAAAACCAGATTCGTTTGAAAAAAATTTTTGAATGAAAATTCTATTGGATGCATTATATTTGTTGGAACGAGTATGGCACCGAGAATCGTGAGGTTTCCAGCTGCCAATGAGAAAAAATTCAATTCAATTTTTTTATTCTAGATTACGGGGTCAATCCATTTTCATCAATCAAAAGTATTTGGGTTTTTGAATAAACAAAATCATTTTTTAAAAACGGAAATTGGAAAAACAACTTTGTGTCGTTTGAAATATTTTTTCTAGACTTTGAACGAGGAAAATCCTGTTATTTTTACTCGATGCCAAAAGGTTTGATTTAATATCCAATTATATCAATAATGATGATAGAATTAGAGTAGAAACAATAATTTAAAGTTCATTCATAGCTCTAGGCTTTTTTAGAGCGAAAATTCGGAAATTATGACAATTTTTTATTAGTAGTGATATTTTCAAATTCAAAGGCTAATTCCATTAATTACTATTGGATATAAGAAAATTCTTTATAAATCATAGTGATTACTTCAAAAAAGGAACAAATAAAATATAGAAATAGAATTCGAGAAATGGCTTAAACGCGTAGGTTAGTCAAAAAATCTTTTTTAAGGTAATTTTTATGGACTTCAATGAATTGGCCTGAAATGTAGGTGCTGAAATTCATGCAAAATAGCTTACTCAAATATTTGGAATACATATAAAGATTTAAAGATTTCTTGAGAAATATGAACACCAATGAATTCATCTGAAGAATGAATCATTTGTAATTCTATACTTCGAAATTCATTAATTTATGTCAAACAATTAATTCGAGAATGAAAACAAAATTGATCTGAAAAAAATTAGTTTTTATATAGTGCTTAAACAAATGAATAAATGTAGATAAATGATCAAATAACCGATAAAAGAAACCAATAAAATAATTTAGTTAAGATTCAAAGAAAGATCCATGTGAAATTCTCGTAGGCCGGTTCTAATTAAAATCGTAAAGCAATAATGATTATGATTATGAAGGTGTTCAAAGATGATAAAATCAATAATGAAGAGTGTATCAAGTATCAAACGATTTGTTTTATAAAAGAACAAGATTTATCAGGCATAAAATTGCCAACGGCCCTTAGATTTATCTTGAAAAAAAGAATGCACACCGTTTTCATTTATTAAACAAACAAAGAGAAAAAAGTCAATTATTTGAATGGAAAAACAACAGAAAAAACGCATTTGCAAAGATTTAATTAAGACAACGACAATTCTGTCGTGAATGACAATAATAATTCAATACAATAAAATGACCTGATCAATTCATAATGTATGAGAAAGAGAATTTGCCAAAATGTAAATATATAACCAAATGAATGTGATGAAACGAAAAGACTAATTAAATGTCTAACAAAGCGGATAATGATATAGAAGTTTCTTGCAATATGTAAACATTCATGGGGCCATATACATTCATTCGAATTGCAAGCAAGAATTTTATGAAATCTCTAACATAATGAAACAGTGTTCATAAAAATCATAAATACCGAATTTTTTAATATATGAAAAATTAATATATAAATTATGCAGTGTCGCAAATGACAACAACAGAAACAATATGGTGGTGTCTGTGAAGCGAACACACACACATACCATCGAAAAAAACAAACGATTTCCCAAATGAAAACGAAATTTTTTCATGAATGAATGGACTAAAAATGATAATTATTAATAGTAATAGTAATCAAAATCAAACAATATGATAGTAACCAGAACCAGAACAAAACACAAAAAGGTTTCAACCAAGCAAATTTTTATATCAAATTTATAAAACAACTAGAAAAAGATACCCGAATCGGAACGAAAAAAAAGAATATTGGCAAAAAATTAACAACAAACCATGTTTCATTCATTCGATATTTGTTGGTAATAAAACTGAAAAACAAAAATGAATAGAAAAAAAACAACAATCAAATTGTCGATTTATTATTTATTGCTTAAAGCTAATTCAAAAAAAATTACACTGAAAGCATCAGCAGTGTCAAGCGTTTATTCATCAAATGCAGAATATAATTTACAAATTCATAATTTTTCTGTCATTGGTGTATTTTTCATTATTCTTTTTCTGCCACTATTGAATTTCAAATATGAAAAACAAAATAAAAAAGCAATAAAAATTTGACAACATAAATCTGTCAAAAAGATGAAACACCAGTACGACCTGAATACATACAAACTAAATCGAGACCATAACATCGTATGGTTTGCCTGGAAGAATCGACATTTTTTCAAGTAGAAAAAATAACATATTTTTTGTGATCAATTTAAAAAAGAAATGTTGAAAATTAACTATAGACATTTAACAAATTTTGAATGAAAAGTTTACTTAGGCAGAAAATTCATCAATTTTTTTAAAATGTTATTTTCGTCAAAAATCATCATTAATTTAATGATAATACGTAAAATTATGGATAACAAAAAAAAAATAAATAAATAAGCAAACTATAATAATGATGATTTCCAAAAACATATTCGCGGCATCCATTTATCTTTAGGGAAATGAGAATGTTAATTTAAAATAAACCAAAATTGGCATTTAACATCTATTTCTCTTTTTATTTTGCTTACGATTTGTGATAGATATGCGAAAAAATTAAAAATAAATGGAAAATGAGAAGCCTATCGGTATCAACATTTCAAAAATAAAATGATAAAAACAACAGAAATTCATATACATATTATTATAAATGAATGAGCAGATTTTAAATAAAAAACAGTAGAATAGCACGGAAACAACTGAAAAGATCTAGACAAACTGGTGATTCATTAACGGAAAAAAACCTAAGTAAATTTCAAAATATTTTTGGAAAAAGAAAAACGCAACGCATAAAATGAAAGGCTTCTCATAATAATGGAACGCTATTTAGTATATGATAATAATAATAATCGATTAATTGATGAGAAAAATAAAAAATAATGATAGTAATTAGTATTTAAAATGAGGAGAATAAAGAACCAACCAATGCAAGGAGTAAATCGGTATAATATTATAATTTATACAGGCGATGACGTACACATATTGATCAAGAGATGACGATAAAGATAATAATTATGGCCAAGAATCAATTAAATCAATTACGAGAATCACTGATGAAAATCACTCGTGTATCATAAAAAAAGTATTTATGTTAGTTGATCATTCATCCAATTAACAAGGCATTGCTGAAGAAGATGGAACGTTGTTTGGGTTAGGCGCTGAATTCGTTGATGGCAGCATCGACATCATCAAATGTGGCACAGTTTGAAATAACTGGGATAACGAATGACGAATAGCATGATGATTCTGTTGTATTCGCGACCGTTCGTAGTCATCATGACCTATTGATGCAGTCGATGACATTCGTACTGTTGATGATAGACTGGAAATGATACTTTCAAGATGTCTCATTACTTCGGGGTGGTTTACTTCAGCATCCTAAATGTGAATAAATATCATAAATGTTTTGATAATTAAACTGGTGGCAATCAACGGTAATTAAAAAATATATATCAAACCTTTAGATTTAGAATGGATTGTAAATGATGCAAGGATTGCTGCATCGTCAGATTTGGATGTACGATGCGTTGTGAATGCCGTTGTATGATAGTGAACATTCGTTCAATCTCTTCTGCAAGAACATCATCGATTATTGCAAATTTTGTTTAGAAAAAACTACCACTAACCGCTATATCCTTGTGCTTGAGCCATTTTTTTCCGACGTTGTTTCAGCCACATTTCATGACAATCTTGATCTTTCGGCAGCCTAAAATCAGAATAATAATAAAAATTAGAGCCAAAAAAATTATGAAATTGAAGACTTACATTGGCGGTACCATATTGAATTGATTAGTAAGCCATTCACAATTCAATGCTTGCTCGGAAGTAATACGTTTAGATGGATCCAAACAAAGCATAGCGTCTAAAAGATCAAGTGCAGCCCGTGGCATCCTGTTTGTGAAAAAGTATTCAGTTTGTTAAAAACAACAATTCAAGTACAATTGATGAACATACATTGCAAATTTTTCTCTTAAAACACGAGGGTAGGTGACTTTTGGTCGAAAAGATGACCAATAAGGCAAGTTTATCACCTGAAAATTCGAAAATTGCATTTGAGGAAATGGTTTGAATTTGTTTCTAAACTACTCACGGATGGCCAATTCGCTGGCGTAGGTGTACCGCAGTATTTACTTATTGCTTCTAATTGAAGCAATTCTGAATTAGCCTGAAATATAGTTTTGCCACGAAACATTTCGCCCAGAATACAACTGTAATAGATGCAAGAAAAATGATTTTCTAGAAAGAATCATTGAATCAGAAAAAACAAACCCGCAACTCCACACATCAATGGCCGGTCCATATCGCTCTTCGCCAAGTAATAGTTCGGGTGGTCGATACCACAATGTAATGACTTTGTTTGTATAAGGACGAGTTTTATCCTCTGCTGAAAACAATCGTGCTAGACCGAAATCTGCTAATTTTATCTGGCCACGGTTGTTCATTAATATATTCGAACATTTGATATCACGATGAAGGAAATTATTTCGATGACAATAGCTGAGTCCATCAAGTAATTGTTTCATTACATGAGCAATATTAGCCTCAGTAAAAACAACCAGACCACTGTCTAATAAACCCATCAAATCGTGGTCCATATATTCGAAGACTAAATAAAAAGCACCTTTGTCACGTTTGAATTCCAAAGCATCTTCTTTATCTGTGACAATTTCTTTTAGATTGACAATATTCTCATGGTTTAATTGTCGAAGAATTTTTATCTCACGGACCTATCAAGTGGCATACAACAAGAAATGTCAACAAAGAACAAAATCAAAACGAAAAAAACTTACAGCTGTAATAGGGAATCCCTCTTTTTCATTTTCAAGTCGAACTTTTTTCAAAGCCACAATACTATGAACATAAAAAAATAAATTGAGAACAATTAATCTAGAAACACATTTCTATCTTACCATTTATCCGTATCTCTTGCTTTATATACTTGACCATAGGTACCTTCGCCAATTTGAGAGATTATTTGAAAAACATCGACTGAACGAGGTTTAATATCACGTGCCGATGCTTGCTTATTTGGATTTACCAATCCAACAGATTTGCCAATTACTTTAGGACGTGGTAATGTCTTCAATTGACCATTTATGTTCAAAGTAATTGTACTGGATGGAAATTGAGGATGATGAATCGGTTGAATCCTTTCTATACTATTATTGTCGGCTATAATTAACTTAGTTGGCGAACTACTAATTTTTAAATCTGCAACTTGTGGCAATGGTAATTTGGACAGATGCGTAGCAGCAGGTATACCAGTGGCTGAAATAGATGATGCTTGTAGCGGCTGTTGTCGAATTGTTTGGAAACTTCCATTTTGCATGCTTGGCGTGAATGTTGTAGTTGTTGTTGATGTTTGATGTTCCAAAGATTGTGAATGGTCCGGTGTCCCACTGGATGTAGGTATTGGTGTTAGTGAATTTGATGAATCATTCATTAATGGTGTTCCAACATTCGATGTGTTTCCTGAGGAACGGGATGGCTGTTGAAGTTTTTTCATTTTGATTTTGTTAGCCAATTCGGCGGCTAAAGAATTGGATGAAAATTTCGTTTCGTTCAACAAAATATTTGATTTCGAAACTGATGATGCGGTTTTGTAATTTTTATAATCATAAGATGGAGACCTTGGGGATCGTGATCTAGATGAACGATCTCGTTCACCACCAGACATAATATTCATCCTAGTACGCCTCAAATAACTAGAACCAGATAATGATCCCATAGAAAATGGAGGTGATCGACTTTTCGAGCGAGAATCTGCTGGCGATCGATTTCTATCTCGTGTATTCGATGAAGAATAAGGGCTATGTTGACGTTCAGAGGTTGAACGGTAATAATCTCGCTCTGAACGATGATCTCGCTCATTTTCAGAAGATTTATGATGATGGTGATAATCTCGATCTGAAGACCTATGATGGTGATGGTAATCTCTTTCTCGATAATCACGACGATCTTTTTCTCGATAATCTCGATACGATGAAGATCGATTCTGTGATGATGGAGATAAAGTTCTATAATCTCTACTTGAAGAACGATCATATCGATCGCGGGGCTGAGGTGAAATACGACGATCATATTTAGATGTTTTTGATGATCTTTCCACAGGCGATGGAGAACGATATGCAGATGAAGAATGATGATGCGATGATGAATACGTAGACATTCCAGGATAATTTGAATGATGATAATGAGATCGACCCGATGATGATGACTGATGATTACTACCCGAAGGTGAACGAGGAAGTCTTCGCATTGCTGCCGTTGATGATGAAGATTTTACGGATAAATCAGGAGGAGTATATGACTGAGATGAACGATCACGATCTCTATGCTGTGATGATTTTTGATAATGACGAATAGAGGACGAAGATGATTTACTATCATAGATCGGTGATCGAGACCTTGATCTAGACAATTGTCGTTCACGGTGGCCATCACGAATTGAACGACTACTTGTTCCATGTGTGAAATAAGAATCTTTCGCATATGAATTCGATGATAGCTCATACGTTGTTGTGCGATGATTTTTACTTGATGTATGTTCGATTGTTGAACGGATTTTTGAAGATGATGAAGAATGATGAGGATTAGGGAGAGGAAGAAGACCAGGCAACGGAGGTAAATGTGGTGGAGTTTTTGATCTTGATCGATATCGATAAATGGTTGCTGATTTTTTCGGATTATCATCATTCGACGAATCAGAGCGATTATATGAACCGGAACGGATCAAAGTATCAGAACAGGATTGTTTGGAGGCTATCGATGAATGTGCAACTTTGGATAACAAAGATATCGAGGGCGGGGATGTAGTAGAAATATTTAAATCAGCTTCTTCCTCATCATAATTATCGGAATTTTGTTTTCTCCGTTTATAAGACGAATAATTGTTTTCACTTGAATGAGATTCATATCGAGGATGACGTTGATCATCATGTTCTAGTTCGTCGGATGATGAAATTTCATCATGTGTGGGTGTCACACGATTATCGGCAATCGTAGAAGATACCATTCGTGATGAAGAACGCGATCGACTTGATGATAATGCAGGCGGTGAAGGATTACGTGAACGCTCTAACGAACGGTTATGCAATGGTGTTGTACGCTTACTAAAATGATCATTGGAATCGGATGAATCTAGATCAAGGTCACTTTTGAATGATGGAAGACTTTCCTCTTCCATTGCATCCGGTAGAATTTCAACTTCATGACTTGGCATTATTTCTTGATTACCAACAGGATCAATAGTATCAGGAACGATTGTCTCTTTTTTAGCGAAAGAATCCTGAACAACATCATCGATAGAATCAGAATCAGAAATTCTTTCCGTCAATTCTTCAATGACATTTATGCCATGAGAATTTGTATGACTTTTCGATTTTAGGTCAGCGTTATCAAAAGAATTTTCATCTTCAAAATTCTCACTGTTTTTATCCTTATTGCCATCAGGAATCGGTGAGGTATCTGGAGAGATTTCTTCCGCTTCAATCATATTAGATGATCGGGAGGAATTGTCAATCTGTTGTTTTTCAGAATCATTTGTATCAGGATGTGGTCTAAAAGTTGTTGAACCTGAATGAACAGATGAAGATGATGACTGTCTCTGATAAATTTTTTGATGATTAGATGATTGGGTTTGAATCGGTCCCAAACGTTGAGAATTGGAACTTTCAGAAAAATTCGGATGTGACGCATGTTGTTTCAATGAATCATACGAATGAACATTTCTGTTTGTAGTTGAATCATAATGAATCTGTTTTGAAGATCGAATCGATAACAAAGGTCGATCATTATGATTAGACATACAATGACGTTCATCAACATAATCATCTTCCAATTCGCCTTCTTCGATTTCGGCTGAATTTGAAACATTATTTTTCTGCTCATTTAACACACCTCGATCATCATCATCATCTTTGAGTTCCCCATCGGAAATGTCTTCGACTTCTTCTTCATCATAATTATCTCTTTTTTCAGCAACTTTAATTTCCTCAACATCATCTTCATCACTGATGGCATCCATTTCATCGGCAAAATTTTTCGTTAATAAATTGGAATCACTGTTATTTTTACCTATATTATTATACAAATCTTGATTAGTTAATGATGATGATCGAGTTAGTGTATGGTCATAAATATTATTATGAGACGTTGTTCGATTCAATGGTTCACGATGGTTCGATCCATCATCATCCGATTTGTCGCCGTAATTAAAATTTGTACTCGATTTGTTTTGTTGAATGATTGAATCATCACAGCCACTATCACCCTCATCAATATCGGATTGAGGAATTTCACCTTCAGATTTCACTTCTGGCGAATTTTGTTTCGATATTTTCAATTGTAATCCCGGCGGTGATGATGATGGTATTTCGCCATCATCTAAAGAGGCATCATTATCGAATATTTCTTCGTGTTTTTTCTTCGTTTCAGGCTCATCATCCGACGATAACGGCGAATGCATAGTCAACAAGCGAAATAAAATGATACTAAGTTTTACTTACTTAATGATTCTCTTAATGCGAAAAGAGATATTATCTTGGAAAAATTCTAAACAAACAAAGTATATTTTTCCATTAAGACAAAAAATATCGCTAAACTCACTATACAACACACTCGTAAAACCAGCGGAGAGCAGCGAAATTCAATACTGTTCATAGATGCCAGTACGTAACCATTTTTTTTTATCATTACAGATGTTTAAGGTGGTGGAACATTATCGAAAACTGCGAATAAAAATTAATTCAAAAAATCACATTGATCCAGGATTCCATTTCACGAGTAGAAATTTATCTTTAAAAAACGGAAACTATAAAAAATATTCATTAGTCACGTGATAAGATCCAAAATTTAGGGTAGAAGCATTCCCAAATGTAAGAACGACAATGACAATTCACATTGTTGACTCATCATCATACTACTATCAATTACTATAAAAATGACTATTTTAACATGAATAGAATAGTTGAAATTTAATTCGAAAATCATAATTCACGAATACAGATCGCAGCACTATATGTCAACAAAAAAAAATCGAATAATTATAGCGGCAAAAAAATACGAGATAAAATTCGAACAAATTAACAAAGAAAATCAAATTATTCAAACGATTCAATTGTGTAATTATCATTGTTATTTTCAAATAAGACTGTATTTTCAGCTTTCGCTATCAATTGTTATTCGTCATCGTTATCGTTGTTAAATGTTGTCACAGAAAAAATTGTCTGACTTAGTTTCTGGACAATATTCGAGAAGAAATAATGATTTTAAAAAAATAACAATAAAACAATTGACTTTCGACTTTTGTGTATACAAACAAAAAATAACAAATAATAATAATCGAAAAAACACCAACATTAAGGACCAGCAATTTGAAATGACAACAAAATAGAGCATCATAACAATAATTTAAAAAAACTGATCAAGAAGACAATGGTAAAAAAAATTTCCTTAATTCTTCTTATTGAATTGGCTTTTGAAAATGATCATTTTGAGCAAATCAAAATGATGATAATGTTTTCAATTAGAAAAAGTTTGGTGTGTATTCTGAAGATTTTTGAAAATCTACAAAATAAAAACAATTTCTGAAATCCATACATGGTATTTTTTTAGTGGAAAAAAATTCTTTTCATTTTTTGATAAAATTTTCCAGGTATTCTACATGAGTAATATTTTCATAACATTTTTTTTTCATAAATAATAATTAATATGCGTGTATGTGTTATCATTCTGTACAAATGTTAAAATATTCGATATGTATGATTATGAGTGTTTACATGATTGTTTAAAATCGAAAATTTTTATCGTAACAATAATTTAAAAATTAAATAATTTTTTTCCGCAATTGTTGAAAAATAGATAATCACAAAATATATTTTGTTCAACGATCATCTTAATAAAATTTTTTATTATTATAAGACAGTTCGTTGATTATAGACGACAATAGGTGGCGATGATGATGTTGTTGATGATAATCCGGTCATTGTATTATTACCGCCAGTAAGTATGATACTATCACCAGAACTTGTTTCCGGACTATTCTGATGTATACGTTTTTGATTTGATAATGTTGAATCTATAGTTTGTTGATCATTATTCTTTCTCGTACAACTTTCAGTGTTTGTATCACAACATGTTGAATTCATTTGGGTCATTTTTTCATAATAAGTAAGAAGTGCATCTGGTGATGCTTTGGCCATCAACATCATCCGATTCCGTTGGTTAGAATTATCACCAGTATCTTTAGTATCATGAGAAATTAATTGTAAAAGACCACTACGATTCATTGCAATGGCTGCTGCACTATCATTATGCATACGATTTCGTCGTTTTTTAGTAAAATTCACCTATATAAATAATTGGTTCAGTTTTAAAAAATGATACACGAATTAGATTCAAAAAAAACATTCATTCAATGTTGATTGATTTTTAATGATTTAATTTTACCTGTCCATCAATCGGTGTCCTTGTAAATAACGATGAAATCGATGTATGTTTGTTATCATCAGATAGTTTAGCTTCAGGCTCATCGGCTGAAGTTGAATTTCCATTCGTTGGCCATGGTAATGTTCTTGAACGACCAATCATTTGATGATCAGTATTATTATCATAATAATCATAGATTGTCATCGTTGTATTTGTTGATGATGGATCGATTTTATTAATCATTTTGAGATCACCAGTATTCGACATGCGTTTTGAATCCTTTGTAGATTGTAAATGTTGATTTTCACAATAAGCGGCTAAATTTCTTGCCAATTGCAAACCATTTGATCTTCTTCTCTGTTTTTGATCATGTAGATCAACCGAGATGGCTTTGAATTTTTCCGAATCAAATATGGCATCGAAACTATGGCCAGAATCATTGCTATTTCCATCACCATCATTACCGCATTCCACATCATACTATAGAATTGAAAAGAAAATAATTTAAAAATTTTGATCATCAAAACTTTTTTTTCATGGTTTATTTAGATTGTCTTGATCAAAAAAAAAACATTGACTAATATTGATGGATAGACAATATTATCAATGTCCATGTAAATATTTTTATTAAATAATGAATGAAATCAAAGAAAATAAATAGATAAATTGTTTTGTAAAATATACAAACAAAATGGGTCACAATGTCAAGGAATATATTCATTCTTATCAGGTTATTACATCTTTTTATTCGCCTGAAAGTTTTTTCAAGCTATATTACTGTTTTCAGACTTTTATTTACTCAATTTTTTTGTCACAGAAAAAAAAGATAATTTGAATGATCATGTTGGTAAAACAAACAAACGAATGTCATCACTTGTTGAATTATATGCAGGATATATTCAAATGAGTGAGTATTATCTATGTCATCGTCACCATTATATAATCATAAAAAGTTCATTGAAACTATTTTTTCGAATTTGTTTCTATGTGTAAATATATTTAACTATGACATGATAATGATGATGATGATGGCTGTAATTTTATCATTTTTAATTACCTTCATCCCCTTAATCATCATCATCTGGTCACATCATTATTTGAATATCACTCTCAATTTTTTAAATTTATTTTTTTTTCTTGAATGTAGACAAAAATCTGAAAGGGCTTATCATGGATTTTTTAAATCTTAAAACTAGATTTTCATTTATATGATCGAGATCATCATCATCATCAGATCACGAAAAAGTCGATAATTTCATATGCAAACTATTTTAAGGATATACGGGAAAGCCTTTAAAATTAACACCAAAATCACAGCGATAGTATTTTTTTCTTGTTGTCTATGATTATTGTTTATAATTTAATTTTTGTCTATATAGACCTAATCTTAGAACTAAGAAAATTGTGAATGAATGTCGAAAAGATTGACATAAAATGTAATTTAGATAATGGATTATTATGGTCGAAGGATTTTTCAAAACCATGGTGATGAATACAGATTTACAAGATCCGTATACAATCACTTACAGGGATTACATTACAATCGGATAATAATTGTAATAAGAATGGTGATTCTAAATTTAATTTTCGACCATTTCAAATGCCAGCAGAAAAAAAAGAAATAACGATGACAAGATAATGATTCTTTATGATAATAATTTGATTTGCTGACGAATATTTTTGTTGGAAAAAGAAAATTCAAACAAATAATCAAATTACTTATGGTGTATAATGTTTAGGGAAAATATTTATTTACAATATTTAATTCATGTTTTTTGTATGGAAAGATATTTTTTTGATGTTTGTTTTTCCATTACTAGATTTGTAAAAAATGATGAATAGATTTGGTTTGCATTGATTTTTTTTGCAAGTCTATAAGAAAATTGTTTGGCTAGAGGGTGCTTTTGGCTTCAGATTTTTTCAAGATTCTAAATTTTTATTTAATTGAAGAATTTTCATTATAGTGTCGCTGCTTATATGTTGTTTTGCACCATTTCTTGTCATGTAAGGATTATTCAGGTGTACGCGACTATAAATGTATGTGTAAAGTGATCAAGAAGATTCAAATGATAAATTCACAACGAATATATCAATGCATTTGTAGAAATAATATTTTGCCGCTATCTGATTGGATAGAAAATAATTCAAGTTTTCCAAGTGTATATCCACAATTACATTAAGACGAAATATTAAAAAAAAAGTTTCGAGGACATTAAAAGTGTCGAATGTAATGACGACAATGACATAAATGTCGATTTTAACAACAGATAATTATTCGACAACATTGAACATCATCATCAACTATCAATAACTTTGTGGACACTCTTTTCACTTGATGTGATGTTTCAAAGTTTTTCGAATCATAAAATTATTCATTGATTAAATATTGATAAATAATCTATCAAAATAAATAAAAAACCTATGCTAAAATTGATGAAAGTAAAATCCTCATAATATAATAATGCAAAGCTGCTTTCATAAAAAAAACAAACGAACAAGAGAAAAAACCGATTCAATGACATTGAAAATTATAATGAATGTAAAAAACGCGTCAAGTTACGACGAAACAAAAAAAAAAACTTAAAATACATCTGATCATCATCAACAACTTGTCTTGTCAAGAAATTGTTTGTGTGATAGCGAAAGTGCCTCCTAACAAAAATAAATCTTTCAACAAACGAATGATCTGTGTGTGTGTGTGTGTTCAGAAAATGGCAATAATGATGATTGAAAATAAAGAAACATTGGATATAAACTTGGGATTTTTTCAACTTTTTTTTAATAAACGTACGAACGAAATCACGCACACGTTTTGTGAGGATTTTTTTTTGCTGTATAATTTTATTTCAAAAACTTACCTTTCTGATAATAGTAGTAATTGGTTTATTTGTATAATTATGATGATGATGATGATGGCTATTCGCATGATGTTGATGATCAGCTAATTGATTTTGAAATATGATTGAACCATTATTATTATTATTATTGCTTAAGGTTCCACCGGGTATATCTGGTTGTGAATCTTCAGAATTTGGATTACTTATGTATAAAGAACAATTTGATCGTCGTTTGGATAATACATCATTATTACAAACATTAACGCTAATACCAGTGTTGATACTATCCGATGATGATGTATTAATACTTGAACGATGATGTCGATGATGATTATTGCCAGGCACTTTTCTAATACCTTTTTTCAAAAGAATAATAAACAATATAGATTATCAAAGACTAATCAAATAATTTCACACTCACTATATTGATCACGATCATTCTTCGAACAACACAACCATAATAGGAATAATAATAATACGAATGTGGTTATAATGATTCCGCCTGTTTTTGAATGTATGTTTGTCAAGAATTGATTTCGAATAAAATTTTCAATTTTTTAAATAACTTACCGATGGAAAGATTGATCAAAAATTGATAATCTTGAGTAGTTGACCAATCAGTAAAATAATCATCATCTTCACCGGAACCATTGGTACCTGAACTTGTAGGAAATCCAGGTAATGAATGTGGTGGTGTATCAACAACATAATCGATCGAACCAGCTGCTATTGAACCAGGTTGAGAACTGATTGTTCGATTTACTGTTTGTGACTGTAATTGTGTAGGTAGAAAGGCAGCCGAAATTGAATTCGCTATTGTTGCTATCGTCGTTAGATGATTTGTACTCTTATCCGATGATTGCATGGATGAATCTATGTTTATAGCATTTGGTTTCATAGCCAACCAATTCGATGATTTTGATAATGAGGAATTGTGCTTGCTGAGGTGATGATAAGTATTTGAGATCAATAATTGTTTTTTCAATGATGACGATACGATTTGAGGTGTTTCAGTTGAGGATGCCGTCATTATTGAAGAATTCATTGGTGTGGTCGTAATTTTAAGAATTGTTTTTGAATTAGGCAAAAATGTTGGTGTCACTGACGATAGGGATGATGGTGGTAATGTTGTAGTTTCAGCATCCATCATCAAAGTAACCCCAGCAGAATTTGAAATCCAATCATTCCAATCCGACGATATTGATGAAGAATTTATTACAAGTTGATGTTCAATAGCAGAATCGAGTTGACTATTTACACCAGGGTCCGCACCAGATCCATTATCAATTATAAATCGATCAAAATCAGATAACGATGATAATGGTAATGGTGAAGAAGACGTTTCATCATCATCATCAATTGACACCATACCACTGTTGCTGTCATCGTCATTTGTCGTTTTATCGGAGTTGATTTTCAATATGTCACCAATTGTTGCCGATTTATTTCTATTAATAAGATTTGTCGATAATGAAAATGGATGATATAATGTGGTCTGATTATTTTGATTAATATTGGTTTGGACACTGTCGTAGACAAGATGATTGGGTTTCATTCTAATCTATACAATTTAATATCTTTAAAAAAAATTTAAATAAGAAAATTCAGTTTAATAAATGAACTTAGTTTCTTTTTTCGATTCAAGAAAATAAAAGAGATTAGCTATTTCATACAATTTCGTTTAGTTATTGAATTCATATAATCAAACCTGATAACAATGACAATCAAATAATTCAAAACTATTTATTATCTTCGATTGCATGCATTGCAACAAAAAACATTATCATGATGACCAACGATTTGTCGACATATTGCAATCATGAAATATGCCCAACTGAAACCGAAATGTCAAATTTTATAACAAGGAAAATTCACCCAATATAAAAATCGAAACATTTTATTTTTAGCATAAATGTGATCAAGAAAAAAATGGCTGACATGTTGAAATGGTCCAGCAGCCCACAAAAAAAAACTCTTTTTGAAACTTTTTTCTGCTTTGATTGTCATTATTAGTAGTTTTATTCTCAAATTCTAATGTATAAAATGTCGTCATAGCAACGACGATCAAGACAATGACAATTACAAACCTATCTTATTGGCGGATACCAGAATTTTATTCAATCGAATTATATTTATATAACATTCAACCTTTAAGAATCTGTCTATGCGTGCCATGTGTGAGCTATGATCCTTTTTTCCATTGCAAAATAAAACTACAACTACTGATAATGATGAGAAATGATCAGATCATTATCATTTACCGAATAAAGTTTTTTCGGCTCATTTCTTGCCTTTTGTATTTGTACAATAAGCAAAAAAGGAAAACAATAATCATAATGAGATATTCAACAACAACAACAACAAAATTCTGAAAATTTGAACATTCATAATTGAAATAATCAACATTTTTTCATACAGGTGCATGTTTTAAGATATGAAATTCACTTTGGAAAATAGATAGGTTCTCCTTTAAACTTTTGTTTTGTTTTGTTTGGAAATAATTGTACATCCTGTTTGTTAATTTTATACATTTGTTAAATGAAATCATAATAATGGTTATTTGATTTTTTCCCTGTCCATCAATTTAAATAGTTTAACAAACAAGTCAAAAAACACCAACGTCATCATGATTTTGTTGTTTTTATTTTCTATCGGTTCAATTTAATTCTTATTCAAAATATGAATATGAAATATGTTCAGCCTGTTCTGGTCGATTTTCAGACCAATATCAATAATGATTAAAAGGAAACAATTAAAATAGCTGAAAGAGAGAAAAATTTCTCAGAAAAGATCTTGTCAAAAGAAAAAAAAACTTTTCAACAATTCAAGTTTATTAATTCCGTTCAGTTCGATTTTAAAAATACACACTCTCTCAGCAAGACATCTACATTTCGATCGAATCATTTACTATTTTGGATCATTGTCTTCTCTTTTTGTTTTTTATTAAATGATTGAGAATTTTCATCTACAATGATTGATAAAAATAGAAAAGTTCTGATTGTTGGTGTCTGGTAAGCTTATATTTTGCTACTATAATTAGATGAATGGTTATATTTTATAGATAATAAATTTGAAAAACTATGGCAAAACAAAATGACTGTTAATTTGTAATAAAAAAAAAGAAAATTTCCGATCAATTTACATGAAACGGAAAAATGAAATGGCGAATTATATATTCAAATTGAAAATTGATCAATTATGAAAGGAATCACGGTCAGATACAAAAAATATTTATTTGTAATTATTAAATGAAAAACAAAATGATATTATATCATAATAATGATGAGGAAATTGATTTTAATTTCTGGTTTGTCATCGTGATTAATTTTTTTTCTATAGAAATTTTTTATTCATTATTTCAAATTTTGCGATCGTTTGCAACAATCACATACATGACTACCTGAGGTCAATGAAAAACAAGGTATGGAATAAATATTTTACTCTTGCCATTGGTAGTTATTAAAATGTTTTTATTATTATTCTATAGTGTCAAAGAAAAATTTAAACCACACCATAAAACATAACAACAACAACGACAAACAACCATACAGGATAGCTTCCTTATGCTGCTGCGACACCAGTTCCGTTTTTCGTTCTTTTTTTCCAAATAACGACAATTTTGATTATTTATTATTGTAAAAACTATGATGATTGAAACCATACAATTGTCATGAGATTTTTTTTTTGTATAACACGATTTTCGAAAATATTTTCCCTTTCGGCCAAAATACACACACGCACGCACATAAATTCAATTAGTCGCAATAGAGAAATGTCGATGTTGAAGTGAAATCCAAGCCATGTTTCATTGTATATATACAATACATACGAGCCAAAAGACACACACACAAATACCAATTGTATTCAAAGAAATGATGAATGGGGTTTTGAATTACAAAAATTCAATCAATGAAAAAAATAACAACAAACATCAAACTCTTCCCTATTATTATAATGATCGGATCTTTGAACTCTAATGGAACGATCGATTGATTGATTGATTAATGTTTCTATTTGAAATCAGATGATCTCGAATCAATCACGGTACCAGATCGAGAAAAAAAAACAAAATAAATTTTTTGTTTTTTTTCTGAAAACGTTTGAAAGAGAAATTGGAAAAAAAAAATATTTGACTACATACAGTACATCTACAATAATTTTTCATTAGGAATGAATTAAATTGACAATTCTTTCTAATTTTTTTTTTGTTCACAATCAGAAATCAAATTGAATCAATCAACCAACCGATAATTATGACATTGATTGCCATCAATTCATGTTAGATTTTATTTAGAAAATGAGGATAATAATAATCATCATCATTAAGCAGACCATATAAAACTGGTTTTTCTAACAAAAATAAAAATAGTGATGATCATTTTATGAACAAAATATATTTTCATTTAGATCATATGGAATTGAAACTAAAAAAAGAAATTCATTGTTTTATATGAAATGATTTCATTAAATCAATTAGTTTCGATTAATCATTGTTGTTTATTGTTTTATCCATCTTTCTATCAGAAAAAAATTTATGATCTTATCACACATCTATGATGACAACATCAATAATAACTTTATAGCCGAATAAATTCAGCATAATGAACATGTCGTGATTTACTGATCAGATCTTACATCGTCGTCAATAGAGACACGATTTTAGATAAAGTTTTCAAATTCCGAATTGAAAATATATTTCAAAAAATAACAAATGAAGACAAATCTATCATCAATTTTTCAAATTTTCAATAAAATTAAATCTTACAAACCAAACAAAAAGGAAGTGGAGAAAAAAACAAGATGAATATCATAAAGATAATCATCCCACGAATTGAAAATAATCTCATCTTATTTTAATGTTTCATTTTGAATTTTGTCATCAAGATAATGAGAATAAATCATTTTGTTTTTGTTTCCATAATGAACTACTGTTGCATATGGCAAATAAACAGATTCTCATATAACTTTGAAATCAGAGGCACACAAAACATTTTATGATTATTTATTTATGATAATTATTTTGAAACAAAAAACTTTTCACCCACAAAACAAAACAGAAATGTTCAATTGTTTATAAGCAATGAATATGATTTATCAATAGTTGAAAAATTCTTATTCAACAATGTTCAATGTGTAAATAATTTTCCATTTCTTTCGATCCTCGTTATCATTCTAGGATAAGTTAACTTATTATTATTATTATTTTGTTGTTGTTGAAGATCAAAATCTTTGCTTCCTGTAACGGTAAACATGTACGAACAACATGAAGAAAAAAGGCTAAAACAATCTTTGGCTTGTCTTACTATCTTTGAAACGAATAATCACCAAACACAATAATAAATGAAAGAAAATTTAAATGATGATGTTTTAAATGTTTATGTTTACATTTTTTTTTGATGGTGAACATCAATTTGTGAAAGTGTTTTTTCCCTAAAAAAATTAAAAACATTTTTCCATTATTTAGTTGAAAAGGATTCGATTTGAATATTGTCATTACCAAAATGATAAACATGAAATTGACAACAATAAATGTGAAACTTTTTATGCTGTTGTTGTCATCATCATCGATAATGGAAAGGATGAGCTTGTAAGCCGACGTCATATGAAGATTTATCACAGATCTAGCTATCAGAATCGTGGTAGCTATTTAAAATTTTGGCTTTTATAATCATGGCTATACAAAAATAAATCATCAACATTACATGAAAGTGATATCGACATGACTGTCAATTTTTTTCCTTATTTTTACGACACGAATTTATTTGGAAAAAAATCATCAAACAAAATTTAGCATATTGAAGTGATTGTGAAACTTGTGAACATTGTCCGAAACGAAAGAAATAGAAAAAAACATTTGCAATGAGATTGATCATAGCTTCAATGAAAATGATCCACACACATTATGGAGAAATACATAATATTTTTGAAAAAAACCTACGCAAATATTCAAGAAAATACTATATGATGTAATGACAAGTCAAATGTTCAAAACTTAATGGTCAATATTGGTGCCATTATCTTTTTCCATTATCATTTTTTTAAAATAATCATCAAACAGTACAATACAAACACAAACAAACAAACAAACAAACATATAACCATGACTTACTTGTTATAAATTCAATGTTTTTTTCTATGCTCGGTCCAATAATAAGAATCATACGAACAATAGAGAAGAAAATCAGTGGCGTTGATCATTTGACACAATAATTTGTTAATTCAAGGCTTAGAAAACGAATATGATCATCATTACAATGGCGATTTGATTAGAAAGAAAACGGATGACCAACAAGGATGTGGCATTTCATATACAAAAGGAAATTTGCTATCAGAAGGTTATCAAATAAACACAAACATTCACAACATTGTTAATGAAAATTTTGTTGTATTTGTTAATTCTTTTTCCTTTTGGGTGATCGATTGATGTTTGAAGGTTTTTTCTGGATGTTTTATTTGTTTTGATGTTCTATCTTGAGATGAAAATGAGGAAAAAAATCACATAAAACACAAACGATCACCAAACATGATGAAAATGATCCAAACAATCTGGATTTCAGAGATTTAAAAAAAATTCA